CCCACCTGATTTCGGGCAAATGACGCCGGTGATACGCAGCAATTCGACTGAGGCCCATTTTGGAATTATTGTAAATTTTTCCAACTGTGCAAGAAAAGAAAAAAATTGTTGACGTTTTTTCAGAAAACAGAATTTTTTTGCCTACAACTCAACTCAATTTGCAGATCTGTGTCATTGATTTTGTTGATTGAGATCCTGCCTCTTGTGTGCGATTGATTGAAAACGCAAAGGATTCGATTTTTTCGAGGGGCCATTAGCTTTTCAAGGAGCCAAACAAGCTTCTATGTGCTTTATAACAATTTTGCTTCATAAACTGTTCAAGAAATAGAATTTAATAAGCCATCTAACTGCGAGTGTATCTGATTATGTCCAGCACTCAGATGGCACCAGCTCTCATTTTTCAATGGTTCCTTTTATTTTATAAAATTAAGTTTAATTATAATTCATCTAATGTTGAAGGTCATAATTGTTCCGTAAAATTATTTTGTCCCCCCTCTCCCCACCTTATCATTTGATCCCCGATGCTGGTTCCTTTCAGATAAAAACAGACAAAGTCGTCTATTGACCACTAACACCTTTTCCTCTTCCTCCTCTACTGTTTTCCAGTCCCGTGCCACCAAATTCTCAGGTTAGTATCCCATCCTACCCATCCTATTCTTCTGTCCATTGTCCTGATTTCAACAATTAGATTTTACACCTACCAAAGTTTCCTATTTTTGCCCTTAACAGGTATATTCTATTATTTAGAGAAACAGACACTGCAAAGTTGTAAATTTTTCAGTGAGACTCAATCAATTCTGCCCACCTTTGAAAAATTGATCATCCGATCAAGGGCCAAGTGATGGAGCTATAATATCTGTGTCAGAGTGCTCACCGGTTCAGGAACTTCATTCCCATAATGTGTATTTAAAAGATGAGCACTGAATGCCTGGTTATTCAAATTATTTTTTGTTAAACCCCAAGAAACACCCGCAATAAATCCGCTTAAATTAACCTTTCTTTGAAGTGTTTTTAAATATTACACAACCATACTCGAAGTTTCTAAGCATTTATTTGACCGAAAAATTGTTTATTTTTTCAGGGCCTACAGTTGTGCCACAGTACTATGGTGTCCATGGTGTCCCTTGGGGCGTTTATCCCGCTAATATTATCCAACAAAGCCACTCAGCAGCCGCAGCCGCTGCCCAACAAAGGCGTCCTCTTTCGCCCACATCGGCTGCCACGGAATCAGCTAACATTCAAACTCAGGTAAATAAAGTAAAGAATTTAAGTTTTTTTGTCTTGGTTCTCACCCATTTGCAAATTATGGCAAAGCTCACTTTTGTTGAGTTCTATATGTATGATCAGGCTTACAAATCAAGAGAAAAAAATCACCTGTACTTAAACTCAGACTGGAAGGTAGTACATATTTTGACAACCCTTCAGCCTAGGCAAATCATCAATTGGCATCCCTCTCAACAGATTAATTTCCCTTACGTGAGTGATATTTCAATCAACATGTTGATGAGGGTGAAAGAGAGAATATCTAGTGATAATAATCGGTTTGCTATAATTTGTAAGTGTGAGAACCAGCAAAAGATAAGTTTGATCTTTTTACTTTTATGCCTTCATTTATTTTCATTTACTTTTTTTGAAGCAAATTTATACATAGGGATCAGTCAAATCTAGTAGGTGCTGTGGCTCAAAAAATAACCAAGTCGTAATTGAATTACACTATTTCTTTTTCTCAGTGATTTTAAAACCGCTCCATCTGCTCAGAGTTGCCGAATGAATAAGTCACTATCTGTCACCTCTTCTTCTTTCTGTATAGTGTAAAATGGCTATTGTCAGTTGTGCAGTTCAATCAGTATAATCAAACCACTTTCTGGTTTCTGATAGTGCTTGATTTTTATTCTATATAGTTGTACAAACATCATTCAACTAATTTTGTAAAATATTGGAGTGAAATTTGTATAAAGAACACATGTTCATTAACGTTATGTAAATATTTATAAATGTTTTTGTAGCTTTCTTTTTAAAGAAATGATTATTCAATCTTTGTTGCCCAGCTAGGTACAATTTCCCTCAAATATTCGTTTTTACATTTTAAGCTGTGCTCCTCCTGTGGCCTTGACAGGCTTTCAGTGTGAAGTTACTAACCCTCTGAAACTAACTGTCATGCACTTATTGGCCAAACAAAGGATATTCTTGAATTTTTACTGTCTATCCTGAACCTAAAAATAATAAATACACAAATTTAAAAATAATATGGAAGTTGCATCAATTTGGTCATGGACAGAACAGGTCAATGTTTGATCTTTTCATTGTTAATTCTCATTTTACAAGCATTCGAGTCCGCCTTTCGTACCGCAAATCCTAAATATCATTTGTCAGAAATAATAAAAACAGACCAGTTTATTGAATGAAGCTTTATTTTGTTTATTATGTCTCATGAAGATTCTGAGTCATCACAAACTGTATTAAGAAGTTGCTTGCCATGCTTATATGGACATACTAGTGCTAGAAGGAACTATGTTGCATAAAAAGCCTATGCTTATAGTTCATTTCAGCAATAAATACTCCCAATTATTTCATGTTTATCTTAATTGAACCAAGTTCAGCTGAAACTGGAACCTACGCTTTTGGCCTTTTTCGAAATAAAAATTACGATTTTGTTCAAATATATTCCTCTTGACTAGGGAGCTAGGGCCCAACATATCTTTTGTATATTCATTTACCTGCACGCAAACAACTTATGAAGTGCATTAACAATGATCAGTCCAAGTATCCTGTGTAGTAGTTGGCAAAAATCATGATGACGTCAAATCGGGAGAATGAAAATGACCATTAAAAATAGCCAGGCCAATCCCCAAGTAAATGAATAAAATGTCGTTCATTTTTATTTCGTTCTGATTCTCTGCTCTTTGTGGTTGTTGGGACAAGTCCCACCTAACTGATCAACTGAGTGTACAGTATAAATATGAATCTCAGGTGCAACCCAGTGGGTACCAGATGATACCGGCGTATTACGACCAGAATGGGTCGATCATGGTGACGCGTGGACTCAGTAATGGAACGCCAACCGTTCGCCTCGTTTCTCCAGCTCCTGTTCTCGTTAATCATGCTGCCGCTGCTACAACCCCTGGTAAATACAAGAATTTCTCGTCTGTTCCATTTTCTTCCTCTGTTCTGTTGCTTTTTATCAGGATCTAGGATCTCTATTTGTTTTTGTTTTTTTCCATTTCATTTATATTTCCATTTATTTTTTCTCTTATATCTATAGACCATTACTGAGCATAAAAAGTTTCTTATTAGCTACTTAATTTTAGGTATTAAAACAACTTGCAAAATTGCTATTATCCTTTCTGGTTGAAAAATATTGTGGGTGCAGGTTTATATGACACTCATCATCTACTCAACCCCTGTTTATGTTTTGATAATGGTTTTCGTCTGTGTTCACATCCTTGTCAGGCTGCAGTTCAAGGTGAAATATTGCTAACATTGCGATGCAACATTCATCGCTTGAAACATGTTTCCTGCGCATCTATTTCCTACCATGCTTGTAAGCCAACAGCAACAGTTAACTTTTAACTATCATGCGCAGTTGCTCAGTTTATGTTTCTGCGCATGGAGCAGCGTTGCTTGCGGTCAATCCTTGCTTGCAAATGGATAGGAAGATACTGCGAACTTACCAAATGCGAGTTCTATCCTTAGTGGTAGAGTAATGGATCAATCCCACATGTGTGAAATTTTAATGAGAAAACAAGTTTCCTGATACATCATGTATTATCTTGTCAAGTGATCTATTGAGTTTAGCAATTTTTAATCAGGAAAAATATGTGGTATGAACGAATTAAGCTTGATTATCTTAAGCGTTCTTACTAACTGTGTTCTTGCTTTTACCATCGATCTCTGCTTGCGAATTTGCTTCTGAGTTTATGGAGTCATGAAGCACATTGAGGAGTAATAAAATTTCTGATCGTCATTTTGGCAGCACACTTGCAATCGACTTCATGTAAAGGATTAGCTAATGCATCAGTGGCATTGGCTGTATTTATTCACAAAATTTTCAAGGCAAAAAGTTGCTAATTATTCCCCCTATTGGTTTATCTCAAATTTTGGCCCAGCGAACATCTTCTTGGCTTTTCGTGCCTAGTCTTAACACAAAATTTGCCCCCCCTCATGGATATTATGAATAATTACTTATTCTTTCTCACCTTGGGAGCCCTTCATATGCTCATATGTGCTCTTTCATTTACTGTCCTGAACATGAATGTTAAAGATATTTTTATGTTGGCTTTTTTTACGTTTCTTAGTTTTTTCTCTTGTTTTGTATCTCTTTTTTTTCTTTCACTTTTTTATGATGAAATATTAATTTTTGGGAAAGCCTTAATTTGTCAGTCTCAGAATTTAAGCGTCGTTATCAGAGAACACACTGAAACCTTTTTAGGTTTTATTGTCTATTTACTTGCCAATTTTAGCTCTGATTTCATCTGTTTCTGTCTTTCTTTTCTTTTCTGTTCTCTTCCTCCTTCAAACCATCTATTACAATTTTTATTTTATTGGCTTCATCTATTCCCCTCTCTTTTTTCCTATTTGTTCTTGTATCCTCATCTAGAATGTACATTTTACACTCCTCTGACTTCATACATTGTAATATCTTCTGTGCATAATTTAACCCTATGTATGAGGGAACATTAAATTCGTGACTAAATAGAAGCACATAAGTTGGATGTAATAATAAGTTAATCGGAAAAGAGGTCAGTTTCATACTGCCACAAACTTGATCACAAAAATCCAATCAAACTACTATTTATATGAACCGGGTGTCCACTGCACAGAGAAAATGCATATACCCTGTAAAAGCACAGATTTCAAAAGGTTGGTACGTTAGTACAGAAAATGTACAGATTTTCGTGACAAGTACAGATGTACAGGATCTTCGTGATGAACTTTGAAAAATAGCCCTGGGGTGTTTGTGGTCCCTCAACATAAAATAGTTCATGAAGTTCTTGCAGTTCACTTTCTTATGTTTCGGTTCACTCTAGTTCATTTTTGTATCATTCCTGCATTCTAGTTTTTAATTACGATTTTCGTAGCATTTATTTTTCACCACTCAAAGTTTGTTTGCTCAAAGTCTTAAAAGACGATTCTGTAACTACGGCAACTGACCCATCAGATAATTGACACTTACTACACGATTCTGTAACTAAGGCAACTGACCCATCAGATAATTAACACTTACTACAAAACAGTTTTGAACTGTTTTGAACTGCAATGCAGCTCATACCTAACAGCAAATTTATTCTTTGGAAGTAATGGGAGTAAATCTTAACATACCTTTGTCCTTTAGGTAGCTGTAAGTGTATTTTCCTTTCAGTCACATTAAATGCAAATATTGAGCTGGCAGATATGTGCACCCTCAACTCTGGTTTGCAGTGCCAAAAATTAGTCAATCAAAATGGCTAGTGCCTATGTTTCTTGTGCCCTTCTTGTCAAAGCCTGAATCTCTTTTTACATATTTCCATCAATTATTGGGATCCTTCAAAGCATCCTCATTTTTCTCTCATCCATCTAAATTCATATTTTCATCTGTTCAGTTATAGATATGTCTATACAATCTGATGTGATTGAAGCATCAGGCGAATCCGTGTAAATTTTCTCAACAATGCTGCATGCATGTTTGCTCTAACTCATCAATATCTGTAAATTTAAAAACTATTTAAAAACCAAGTAACCCTAATACATCAGTCAGTCCTCACCTTCTTTTGGTAATTGTCCTTTGACAGTGTATTTTAGAATTTTCCTATCTAAATTCAATGATAAAGTCTACGATGTCGCAAACGGAGATACCTCAAATCTGCTGAAACTTTAAAATTGCACCATTGATGATGATTCAGAGGGTTTCCCAAATTTTATGTGCAGTTTCATTACTGTTACTCAATCTCCAACTGCTTGTGTACATCCCCAGAGTCTGAAAATTTTGTTCTTTTCAGTTGATTTTTGAATCTAAACATGCCAAAGTATTTGGAATGCATAGCTGCTGAAGTCTCCAAAGTGTTCCTACTGAAAATCATTATCTCCAATTAAAATAACCTTCCTCTGCCTTTTTTCCCCTTTTTTCCAAAAAGCCTTTAAAAGTTTATCCGACTATCATCTACTGAATCATTGGCCAGGTTTTCAAATAATCATCGTTTAATACAAACAAACTCATGTCTATTTGGTCAGCTACCGAACTCTGGATCAAATACTGAAATATTAAAAATAATAGCATAAATCAGTCTGATATCTATAAAGTGTTAATGAAGAATTTGCAGGTGTCCATAATTTAGTGTATTTCATGTCTAAGATGAAACTACTAAGAGAATTGAACTCAAGAAAATCCTTGGTTTCTAAATTGAACTATTATTGGAGGAAATATGACAAACTAACCGAATCTGCTGAAATTCATGTGTTTAAATGGAAAGTGCCGCCAGATGACATCACAAGGCGGTATATTTTTTTATTTTTAAATATATTTTTCCTCAGTTTCCCATGTCAGAAAAAAAATCATGAAAATACTGCATATTCAGCTCTCAAATGAGGAAAAAAAAAATTTGTGCAATTCTCCATTGCTTCGCATGCTTTAACTCTTGTTTTTTCAAGGATGAGAAAAAATTAAGCAAATGTGAAGCACCTGGTTTTTTTAAAATTTATCTTTTCGTAGAAAGTAGATTCTAAGAATTAGAATTCTATCAATTTGCGTGATAAATGGGATTACTGTGTTTGCCATCGGAAAGTAATTATGATGTATGGAAGTTTATTTAAATCTGTACTCACTTTTTATCAGTAGATATGTCTAATTGATAAATTTGAAAGACTGAGTTGGAATGGACCCCAAAGCTTTTCTCACCTCAAGTTGCCAATTGTTTCCAAATGACATTTTATTAAGTTGAGAAGTAAGTTGTTTAAGGTGAAAGTTTAAATTTTTTTTGAAATGAGGTTGAAGATTTTTGCTACTCTGTAACCTCTTGACTCTGAGGATTGACTGTTCATGTATTTTGGTCTCTTCTTGGGAACTTCCGATTGTTCTACTGGTAATATTGGTGTACTAACATATGGTATTTGGTATGGGTGTGTAGGCTTGCCAGCCCAGACGCCGTCAGGATCGTTTGGCAACAATCTAAACTCTGTAACTTCGAGCCTTTCTTCTCTTGGGACAGGTAATTTCTCAGAAATTTTCCAGCTTTTCCGCACAGTTTAGTTTTTTGCGCCATTGTTTGCTTCAAAGAGGCTGCACCAGCGAAGAGAGTTGACAAGCTGCTCAGAGTGTTTTTAAGTATGAATTTCCCCCTTTCCTGCAAACATCATCCGTTTATTTGTTCGTGCTGTATCTATTTATTTTGTTTTGTTTTGTTCTGTTCGTGAACTTTGTGCTTGCATTTTTCTTGTGTGTGTTATTCTTGAATATTAGATTAACTTTTCTCTCTGGCCTTTTTTTTTTATCTAGCTTTTTCCATTTTAGAATCTTACGTCTCTGCTGGCTATAAAGGCAGAAAGGAATAAAAAGGATAAAATATCCACCAGGCTCCTAACAATCTCAGTGTAAAAAGACTTTTCATTTTTTAGTTTATTCATTTTTTTTTTTTTTTACATCATTGGAACGCTTTTTTTTTCAGTGCAGGGTTGTTGTTTCATCTCATTAATATGATTACCTTGACAACAATATCATCTCTTATTCTTTTTTGCGATGTAATAAATAGCAAATTAGAATCAGTATTTTGCAATGTTCCAGGGTTTCCTAATTACTACCTTGTAGCATTACAACAAAATTCTAACATTTAGATGCTAAAGCATGCTTCTTCTCACCCTCCAATATTTCAATCATTATCAATTTTTGTAATTTTTTCTTCCTGTTTCTACTCTTTCCTCCAATATGACTGCTGATTACACTTAGGAACCCTCTAATTCTTGGAGTATGATCTAGTTCCCTGCTTCCTATGCAACAAGATTCTGTAGTGTGCAGAAATCACCTGAAATTATGTAAAGAAATTTTGGCACCCATGTTTGGATCCATTCTACGCTCTTTGCTGATACACTGAGAATATGTCTCCTCTTGTGAATATCCACAACTTGGAGACGAATAATTGCCATGATCAAGTTTTGAAAAATTGACGATTTTTTTCACCATTAGGGGATCTATATGCCAGAAAGGAGTAACATTATTCCAAAAAAATGTCAATTTCATGCAGGCCAAATTTAGTGGAATCTCAAGAACCTTTATTCAGCTTCGAGCTGCAGATCGGGGAGTTTTCAAGTGAATATGCTTACATTTTTTTTTTTATTTTGTGCTGTTTTCAAGTTCTTGTTGGACTATTTTAAAAAGATCAGACCTCCCGAGAAAACAGACCTGTTTTTCAGGGAATATCCACAAAGCTGAAGATTTTAGCACACATGATAATTGTTTTGCTCAATCTTGAAATAACAGAGGATCTCAACGGTAACCTCAGGCACTAATAGCATCTTTTATCATTTTTCTCTCTCTGAACTATTGCAACAAGCCAAAGGTGAACTGACAATTTAGAGGTTTTTGAACTCTACTCTTTTTTTTCTTTCATCCTTTTTTTTCTACAGCAGCGTGAAAATAAAGGTGCACATGGAATTGTCATCCATTTCAAAATCCAGTGTTCGAAATGGTGCATTATCGTTCTATGAAGTGCTCTTTTATTTGGAATTGAAGTGATGTTTTATATTAATCGTTAATATAGAATTTGAGTATCTTATCGTGTTTGTTTGTTCTGTCCTTACAGGCCTTGGACTCGGCTCAGGAAGCTCCGGACGAAGAGATTCTTTCGATAGAAACACATCCGCCTTTTCTCCATCTTTGGACTATGGTCGAGCTAAGTGGCCTCAGAATTATGGAGCGCTCGGTAATATGATCCTTCACTTTTTCAGAATGTCTTCCTTCTATTAAAATTTTTATGATCTTCTAGATGCCATCCGCAGAACTTGAGGGAGTGCTCATAATTTATGTAACACACTTTTTCGACATTTTTGGCCCTCTCCTTCCCTTAATACGCTTTTGTTACATTGGCCCCTATCCTAAGATGTAAAAACTGAATGGCGTAATGTTCTTCTCAACCCCCCTACTCACAGAGTGTTATGTCATCTGTGATCGGCCTCTGAACAAATCTGTAGGCATGAGTGAAAGTATTTAAAGCCATAAGAAAGGAATAAATTTTTGTTGCAATCATTCATTGTTTTTTAAAGCCTCCTTCCCTCATTTATTCCAAAAGATCTAATAAAAATTTTAATATGGGGCGTAGATTTAAGTCAGTAGTTAGTTGAGAAAGCTGCGTTAAGTTGAACAGTGAAATAAGTCACGCATCATCATCCAAAGACTGCCAGGCTGTGAAAAGTAGTCTTTACCAACAAGACCACCAACAGGTGGTCAATGGAAAGTAGACAGCAAGGACTGTTAGGGGTCGTGAGTGTTTCTGTTTTCAAGCAGACTTATTTTCTTGATTTTAGAATATACCAACTCTCAGTCAAACATAATTCGGAGTTGTAGCTTTGTTATGAGGTGATTGGTGAGTTCCTTGTCTAAATGCGCTCTGTGGAATCTGTCCTGTTTTACTTTCTAGTACATGTCCTCTTTTACAAAAGATATCCTCAAAATATTTTCTGAAACCCCCTTTTAAAATGAGCCGTTTTTGTGAAAGTAAAATCCTCTTTATTGATATGATATATATCATCATAAGAGTGTGTTCCTTTACTTATCGACTGCTGCACTGATCCATTTAGCAATGCAACTACTTTTGAAGGATCGATATAAAAATCAAATGGCTGACAAGGGGAGCTTCCCAAGTGTAACCGGAATTTCGAGTTGAAATTTCGCATGAAGATACTAGAGATGATTTTAGGGATGCCGTATTTTTTCGTTTTTTCGAATGGGGTCGGGAAAGCCCTCAAAAAAAGGGCTAAAGATGCGGAAAAAACGCGTGCGCTAGCGGCACAAGGTAAACATAGGTGATAGAGGCTCTCCATCCTTATCAGTTCCGCATGGCCAAACGGTAGCGTGCTCGCCTCGCAAGCGGGAGGTCGTAGGTTCGGATCCTGACTACAGCCCGTAATTTTATTTTACTTTATGCTTGTTCATTTTTCACTTACTTTATTTTGCACCATTCTCTCCGAAAACCGACTTATGAGGTAGAACACGTAGTGACTGAAGATTTTTTACAAATGCTGATAAAAACTCGAAGTTTCCTCGGATTTAAACGTTATATATAATTGAATAAACAAAAACTCTAAAACTCACCAAATTTCGTCGCCAAGCTGAATTTTCGAAGTATCAGTCGAATCTGTATCTGTATCTGACTGATACTCCGGAAATTCAGCTTGGCAACGAAATTTGGTGAGTTTTAGAGTGTTTTGTTTATTCAATTATATATAACGTTTAAATCCGAGGAAACTTCGAGTTTTTATCAGCATTTGTAAAAAATCTTCAGTCACTACGTGTTCTACCTCATAAGTCGGTTTTCGGAGAGAATGGTGCAAAATAAAGTAAGTGAAAAATGAACAAGCATAAAGTAAAATAAAATTACGGGCTGTAGTCAGGATCCGAACCTACGACCTCCCGCTTGCGAGGCGAGCACGCTACCGTTTGGCCATGCGGAACTGATAAGGATGGTGAGCCTCTATCACCTATGTTTACCTTGTGCCGCTAGCGCACGCGTTTTTTCCGCATCTTTAGCCCTTTTTTTGAGGGCTTTCCCGACCCCATTCGAAAAAACGAAAAAATACGGCATCCCTAAAATCATCTCTAGTATCTTCATGCGAAATTTCAACTCGAAATTCCGGTTACACTTGGGAAGCTCCCCTTGTGAGTACCAGTCGATGGAGGAGGTTGAATGATATGTACCACATTCTTTTTTAAGGGTTCCTGTCTTCAGAAACAATTGTTTTTCCTCTATTTTTTCCCCTCATTTCATGAAGCAAATGGTGAAGAATAGTGCACACCGAAGGTTCAGCCTCAGAATACTATGTGAACATTTCTAAAGGTGTCCTACAACTGAAATCGGCAAGGTATGTCAGTGAGCTAGCTGAAAGCCGCAATGTAAATTTGCTAACCACCCGAGATCTGAGCCAAAGGAGCTCCAAATGCTGATCGAGGCAGTCAGCATGGCGCGTAGCACACTCACTATCCATGACTGCCATTCTGGTGCCACTGATCTCTCATAGAAATAGCTGCAGTGCTGTCGCTGTTAGTTCATACTTATGCAGCAATGTCAGTATTTAAGCAGTATTGGACTGAAGGAGAAGCTAAATCCACTGAATGTTGCAGGAAAAAAATAATGAAAAATATTGAGAAACAAATTTTTCAGTAAAAACGATAATTTTTGTTGCCTGGTGGTTAACAGAGTTATAGCGGCAGAGAAAGACTGGGCTATTGCCTATGATCTGAGACCGTTTACATAGTATGCTTCTGTGGCAGCTTTAATGTGCACTGCTCTTATATGCGAGTTTTGGAATGGGTCTCATTAAATTTAAGGGATAGAACAGGGTGAATTTTCCCCTAAAGTTCGTGTTTTCTTCCTGTATCTTGAAGGCTCTATCTGGAAAAATGAATTTTACTCCAAATTGAATTATTGCTGCTCATATTCGAGAGCTCAGCTCGGATTGCTAGTGTTGCTAGGTTTGAGCCATGTCTCCCCAGTAAAAATTGAAACACCAGTATGTATCTTTACCCCGAAATTTTTGTGACTTTGGCAGGCACGGTGACTGCTTCTCCGAGCCCCCTCGGGCTAGCCTCTGGTTCCTTAACACCACCTCCCGCTCTGGGTTCCTCCTCAAATCTCCAACTCGGGGCGCTTATGGGCAACACTTCCTCTCGAACAACGCTACTCTCAGCAGCTCCCGGTGCTGAAGGTATGTCCAAGTTCCGCTCTAATGGTACTCTCGCTACTAACGGTGAGTACCTGAATGGTGAGTAAATTGAAGGTTTATTCAACTAAATCCTCATGGCATTGTCTGCTGCTGCTTCTAGCTACGAGAATGTCAAAAATCCTCAAGAAACTATGAAGGGATTTTTAAGCAGGAAACATTAGAGGCTCATGGAAAATAACAAGCCTAACTTCAGATAATGTGCCTATACTGCCTTCCAATTCAGAATCTGAGAGAAGTAGTTTTGGTCTGAGAAAATAAATCCCAAAACCAGATAATACCTAGCGGTTTCTAACTCATGAAAAAAAAGTAATACATTTTAGGTCAACTGCAATCTAGACAGTGTCAGTACTCTTTTTTTGTATTCAACAATTACTATGATCCGAGACTTTCAGATATAAGATCTTCAAGAGTGTAACAAAACCAAGAAATTCGCCGAGTTTTTCCAGAAGCATGGCTAAATTAGTACATGTTCTTTATCTGATAATTTCAGAAGCTCGAAATTTTAAATTAGCTTGAATTTTTTTGTATCCTGACAAGTCTCATTTTGTCTAGGAGCTAGCTCACCTGTTTCCTAAATTTTTTTTGGACTCGAACCGATTTTGCAATTCTGTTGATAGTGATTTTATTCTTTAGTCTCGTGAGAGAGGGGGAAAAAGGAAAAAACTAGAAGCCAGATGACAAGTCTCATTTATTTTAAGGGGTCTCCCATGCCATCATTCCTCTACATTATATGGCAGTCAAAGAATGAGTTTCATTCTCCTGGGAAAAGATATTTCATTTTTTTGGAAAGTTTATGAAACGAATGAAGTCTGTGTTAAAATTTACAGAATAATTTCATTTTCCATCTCCCTCATACTTCTCGTAGCCAGTTGTATCATACGGACAGCGCCCTGAAAAGACTTGTAACGAGGTGCTGGTTTTTCCACACCTGCTTTACAAGTGTCTACCTGAGAATTGCCATCTTATCTCAGGTCTAATTGTAAGAATAAACCTGAATGTGTGGAAGCAATGATTGAATCTTAACTCTGTCCTGCCTTAAATAGATTTTTGTCTGTAATTAAGTAAATATTGCTGTACAGACTTAGTAGCAAGGTGGATTTTATAGTTACAAGCAACTAAAAATTGTACCTACAGAAACAGGAGAAAGTTGGGGTTGATAAACTTTTGTGTGAATTCATATCTGAATTAGCAATGTTTTGGCGCTGAATGGTTTCTAAATCTTTCTAGACATGATAATAGAATGAAGTTTGGAAATTAGTCGGAAGAACATCCTATTGGAAGAAGGCTTATATGAAATCCATGTAATTTGGCTTTGAAGAGTTAAGCTTCATAAATTTGCTCAATTTTCTCACATGTTTGATGCAATGAAGTTGTCATAAAACCTTTGATCTCAAGGCGAGTCTTTTATGCAGGTAGCTTCGGTAAAATCTCTTGACACACAGTCATTTATATTTTATTGTTCTGCAACCTTCCAGACCTGCAAAATGTGCAGATGAGGAATAAAGCAACTATATTTTGAGAGTAAGATGTATTAGGTTTTGAAGGTAGACACAATTTGGTATCATGAAATTTTATCCTCGCTGCTAGAGAACCCATTTTCACTCCAATGCTGTGACAACTTCAGTGTAATCTTTCGTTGTGAGTTAAAATTGAAGAATGTGGTCTGAGTGTATGTGTACCAACAAAGAGTGGATTTTTACATATTTTATACGTCTGGTGGGTTTCTTTATTGTGAATTTTGGTTTGTTGATTTTTTTTTCTTCCATCACTGTTGTACTCGAAATGATTCAATATCTTTCTCTGTCTCTTTCCTGTATGATTTCGGGTTTTTGCAGGCTTGAGTTTGGACACGGTTCCTAATGCCTTTAAAAGTATCTTTGTAACTAAGTGAGTCACCATCTTTATTTGCTGTTGAATCTTGTCCAAAGCTGAATCCGTGTAAACATTCCCGTTTCTCTTATAAACTTGCATGATGGAAGGTATCATCCAATTTCACATCTTTACCAACATGAAGATTTAGGCTAATGAATGTTTGCATGTCTTTAAGTTCTCCCAGTGCAATATAAAGTTAATGCAATTCAGTTAATTCAAGCAAGGTTAAGAATCTGTAACCGGCTTGATTGATAGAATGTGAAGCAATCAATTAGAACAAGTCCTAGGAACAACAGTGGTTGTTTCTCTCTCGACTATCCTTAGAATTGGCAGATATATGTTTAATTGACTTGAAAGAGTTTTAATTTAGTACCATTGAAATGTAGATGAAAAGATATTCTTCGTAATGAGGTATTGGTTTGCATGGTCTAAACTGAAATTTTTTATACCTACTGTGCTGCACTGATGACAGGCCCAATTAGACCCGATAAAAGCCTGCAGTTGCCTTTCTAATTCATCGTAACTACAAAATATTGTTGCACCAAACAGAACAGGTCTCGTAAGGGAAAATTATGTTCGGATAACCTCTTTCTTTCTATGATGAGACATCAGCTTTAGTCTGAATTTAAACGCTTGTTGTTCATTACCTAAATAAGTTGAAAAGGGATCCTCTCGTAGGCAATGACTTAGCAATATCGCGGTGAGCCTGGCCGGGGGCCAGCAAATCCTCACCGGTATCAGATTTTGAAAATTCCCTGTTTGCATGAAACTGACCTTTCTTTTATTTTTTATTTTGTATCATCTAAATGCACAGGCTTTAATGTATGTAGAATTTTGTTTGATTTAAGTTCCCATTCTTTCTCTTCTTTCAAGAAAAATTCCGATCCCAAAAAAAAAAAAATTCCTCTGGATAAAGCTGAAGGGTCTCTCTTTCTCCGGATGGTTTTTAAAGTATCAAACGATAAAATTTCTCTAATTTTCATCGCCATTGCCCGCCGACCTGAGTGCACATTGGTAAAGTGTAAAACTTGTCAAGATGGAATGTGTTTACCGGCTCATTTAGTGCCGCTCTTTTTCAATATTTTGGACAAACTACTCTCCAGAGTATGAGGAGGAAACTGTATGGGTCATTAATTTAGCCTTGATACATTTGGTAGATTTCTTTATTTTGAAGCCTATTTAGTAGAGTCCATTATGTATTAATTCTGAAATTATGAGGACCTCGGAAAAAAATCGTAACTCGTAACTCGAATCGGAACTAGTCGTATGCTCCTTTCTAGACTGGAAGAGAAAATTTTGCATCAATCAAGATCAAGGCTCCAGAGTTTGCGCCTGACCTTAAGAATTACAGTCTCATCGCTTTTTCTGTGGACCCGAAAGGCTGTACAATAATTTTTCAAGGACCTCAGTCCTTGGAACAGAATTTCATCTACTAAAATAATTACTTCCCAACAATGAATCTTTAACCACCAAAAGAAAGTAGGGAATAGACATGCAAATATAGAAATCCATCTTCAAACCTGTAGTGTCTCCTCAGTGACTTCGAAAATTCCTCTTTCAGTCACAAAAAAAAAATGAATTCAATGGTGTTCTTGAAGATGCGAATATTCGATTCTAAACTTCTAGCGTAACAACACGCTTGTTCATAGGCAAAGCAGCATGTATTTATATTCGGCCGAGTCGGAAAAATTGGTGATCATTTTCTAAGGTTTTCCATTAAATTCCAAATTGTTTTTCTTTTTTTCAGGTGCAACAGCCATGTTTGGCACTCCAACTACTACATCCTTGTTTGCAAAGCTAGCCATGCGTCCCAATTCCTCACTTGCAGGGACCTCAATGCCTTTAGACCCTAAACCCACTGGACGTAGCAGACTGCTAGAAGACTTCCGGTATTGGAATTTACTCGCTATTATTATTTTAACAATTTTCGTTGTTTATTTTGATGAAGTATCAACTATTTATCATTATTTATTATCATAAATAATTTTTATTTAATGTGATACTTCAAATAAAAATAATTCTTGAATTGATATCATAGCAAATGCAAGGACAAAAGGCTCGTGGTGTAGACCTTCAATTCTCCTTAAATTTTAGGGTAATCTTGTTTTTGGAAAATTAAAACGTACAGTATAACCTTCCACACAACTGGGGTTGAGGAGAGCCACAGTAAATTTTCAAAGATGGAAAATTTTAAGAGAGCAATCGTTTCTAGCAAATTTACTGACGGCATATTATTATTTAATTATAGTTGCTGTTTGCTCCTTACTTGATTTTTTCAATGTTTTCGGTCAAGTTTCAATACTTGTTGATGATAGCAATCTTTGACAGAAAATAAATCTGCCACCTCCAAAAATTCGATTTTACTGGAAAGTTGTTCTGTTCATCTTTTTAAATTTTACTCTGTTAGTGCTTCTTTTCCTTTCTTGAAAAGGTTCTAAGTCAGGGAATCTTAAAACTTTGGAGTCGAAAAGAAGCAAAAAAAGTCAGGGAATCGAAAATGAAGAAATTATTGAAACCCTGTTTTTGCAACAAGCTCTACGGGCATGGCATGTAGTCAAGAGCTGTATTTAGGCTTTTTTGCGCCAAGTGCAGTAAATTTGTTTGCGTCCCCCTTCCCTGCCATTGACTGAAAATTCCCCGCCCCCCTCCCTCAAACAAAAGTTCAGATAATTTTATCGGTGCTAATTACTTTGAGACAGACAACATGGAATCATGTTGTTGTCTTTTTTGTGAAGATATCATCATACTCATATAATTCTAACAAATCATTTAAAAAAAAATAAAAAAAATAATCGATAATTTGCCGCCCAGTGCAGTTGTACCTGTTGCTTTTGCTCTAAATCCGGCTCTACATATAGATAGCTCCCTTAATAAATGATGCAAAGGTGTGTTTTTAACAAATATTTGAAGAGCGCTCTGTGAGAATGATCTCCTGCTCTTGTTGCAGGAATAATCGCTACCCCAGTTTACAGCTGCGAGACCTGACCAATCACATAGTAGAGTTTTCTCAAGACCAGCATGGCTCAAGATTTATTCAGCAGAAGTTAGAACGTGCTACTGTTGCTGAGAAACAATTAGTCTTTTCCGAAATCATTTCCTGTGCATATAATTTGATGACTGATGTTTTCGGTAACTACGTTATTCAGAAGTTCTTTGAATTCGGAACGCCAGAACAAAAAGCTACTTTGGCGCAAAAGGTATGATTATGCTGTATTTTTCTTTCTTTCTTTTTTTTTGTTTTCTTATTACATGTTGACCGCTTGTTAATTTTATACAACAAAAGTCGAGATATTGTTAAAAGTAATCGGATGGTCGCACTTCACAACGGAATCTTGGAAATGAAGCAGAAATTTGTCTCCGTCAATGTTAGATTTTCTGGACTAAAAGAGCCATTCCTATGCAATTGTCCCGGCAAAGTTTCTAAAAAAATTTGCCTCGAGGATGATCTTCTGCATGAGGAGGTTCGGATATGACCAAATTTTACTGTCATATCAAAGTGTTAGAATGATCTGCACCATTTGAAATTATTGGTGTCATGTTTGCTTAAGTTTCCGATGTTTGCCAATATTTGCACAGTCATAAAATATCTTGAGTTACATTAGACGCAAGAATATTGCAGAACGTTTAACTTTTCCTTGCTATACTTTTAAGATGTTATTGTACCCACAGTTTCTTTACCTCACAAAATCTAAGAAACTCGCTTTTTATTTGTGTGAGGAGTATGAGGAGTATTTGTTTTTCCTCATAAGATAGAAACATCTTTTCAGCATCTTATGAGATACTAAGAAACATAACGTAGTGCCAAGGCCCATTGCTGAACCTGTTGTGCTGCCCACTCTCTCTGAATTTGAATTTTATTCGATTTTTACCCTTTTTTTGTAGGTTCGAGGTCATGTCTTGCCGTTAGCGTTACAAATGTACGGATGCCGTGTAATCCAAAAAGCGCTGGAGTCAATATCTGGTGAACAACAGGTTGAAATCGTACGAGAACTTGATGGACATGTTCTCAAATGCGTCAAGGATCAGAATGGTAACCACGTCGTTCAGAAATGTATTGAATGCGTTGATCCTCATGCGCTCCAGTTTATCATCAATGCATTCCAGGGACAGGTAACTATTTGATCTGGTTTTCTAGACATTTTTTGAATTTGTTTTGGCTCACTAAAGAGCCTCTCCACCCCTGCAGACTTCAGACATTGGTATTTTCTTTGCTACCCAATCAATTATGTTTTTCGGGTAACAAAAAAAATCAATGCTGTTCTTTTGACCTCCTAGTGGTGACTTTTTAAACTGTCACAGACTCCTCAGGCGCCAAAAGGGGCCTCTGAAATCGTTCCAGATGTTAGCCCTTAATTTCCGTCATAGGTATTACACTTCTACAGATGATCAGCCTTAAAAATGGATCAGATGAAAAAAATTATATATAGAGTTAGGAGAAAAAACTCTTATAGGTGTCGAACATTTTTGCAAGAAAGCGTTCGCTCTTTTCTCCTTTTACCCCTAAATAAGCCCTTTATATTCGTGCCAAAATTTTTGTTATCGAAGTTAACATCCTTGTCTCAAATTTCCCTTCTGTTCAGTTTCGCTTTCTTTGATTACTCATTATATGTGGAGGTCCTTGTTAAACTCTTGTCTTGGTTATAGTGTGATAACGAGACAGTTTGATTATGACTGGGATCTGTAGTGATGAGATCAGTATTATTGATAGTTCATTGGACAGCTCTAACAATCTGCAACAAAAACAATGGCAGATTCTAATATTATGTCTGAACTTTTTGTTTTTGCCTCAGATGATATCCCTTCCGCTGTGCAGGAAATTCATTCCTTATTTTCCTAATTCGGTGAAATTTTTCAGGTTTTGTCTCTCTCCACGCATCCCTACGGTTGCAGAGTTATTCAACGTATCTTGGAGCACTGCACTCCTGAGCAAACAGCACCGATTCTCGAGGAGCTCCACCAGCACACGGACACGCTTATCCAAGATCAGTATGGCAACTATGTGATTCAGCATGTGCTGGAGCATGGGAAACCAGAAGATAAATCCCTCTTGATCAATGCTGTCCGCAACAAGGTCCTCGCCCTCTCTCAGCACAAGTTTGCATCAAATGTTGTAGAGAAGTGTGTCACATACTCTACCCGCGCTGAGAGAGCTTTGCTGATTGAGGAAGTCTGTGGATTTAACGACAGGTACGAAATGGTTTCATTATCCGCTTATGATAGTTGAACTGCAAAATATTGTCACATAAATTTGTGCTCTACCCCTGCACTCTGTTTGCTGTCGTGCGGAGACTTTGGCAGTCTTAGTTTAGTCATCAAAATATAAAGCGAGAGTAACACATATGAATACTTGAGTGTGGTGCTGAGAGTGTACGTACCTTGGTTCCATCATTCTTGAACAAGAGCGATTTTACATGTACCACTAAAATTAGTTTGGATTAGGATCTGAACTTTCAGGAGCCATTTTCAGTCAGCTTTTTTGTCTGATTTCTATGATTTTTTTAAGAAGATGTATTTTCCTTTTATCTTTCAATGCAGAGGCATTTCGAAAAGTTTTGAGAACTCGTGGACTAATCTCGTAAGACTTGGAATTAATTTATTATTTTCAGTCCTGTCAAAATCCCCTTTCATTCAGTGGAACTTAAACATTGCGTAAGTAGGCGAAAAAACGGGACCTAGCCATGATTCCCGAGATGGTAGGGTTTCCAGCTAAAGCGAGTCCCGACTTAGCAAGGTTCTACTGTATGTATTGTAGAACAAGGCTCTTAAATTAAAGGAGGACTTGCGTATGTACAAAAATCACTTTCTTTAATGTCTCTCTCGACTGTTTTTTGGTTAAAATACCTTATGCTTTTTATCACCCAATCGTTTCACAATTACCTTCCATTGTAATATTTATTCTTAATTTTCCTTGGCTTTCTCTACTTTAATTTTCTTCGTTTTATTTTGCAGTGCTCTTCATGTGATGATGAAAGATCAATTTGCAAACTATGTTGTGCAAAAAATGTTAGATGTTTGTGAAGCACCACAACGCAAAGTGCTCATGCACAAAATTCGACCCCACTTTGCATCTCTACGGAAATATACTTATGGAAAGCACATCATCGCAAAGCTGGAGAAATTCTTCCTCAAGTCTCCATCCTCAGTTGTGAATGACCTCGGACCCATCGGGCCTCCAACAAACGGTGTCTTGTAATTGTATATCTTGTAATCTTGTAAAGAAATTTGATTCGCTGTCCTGGGAGATCTCATGCTCCTCACATCTGTAAACGCTAAAACTCAGGAGAACTTCATCTATAAGTCTAAATTTCGTATATTTTTAAATCGTGACTGTACAGGCCTTGTGCTATATTCTCAGTTGAGCAAGGCTTTTGAGTTTGTATAAATTATTCTGTTCGTTTCTCCTCAAGTTAGAATTTTATAAGAATTGCATGAAGAATTTTTAGTATTTTTACTGTATTTAACCCAGAACTACGTTGAATATTCAGATCGACAGCTTAAATCACTCGCTACTCCATTAATAGGTTTGTTATACAAACTATCGATTGAATCATCAATGTCTCTTACATGAAGTTCATAGATAGAGTAGACTTTAAAAGCGCTCAAGGCTACTTTTCTTTTTTGAGTATCCTATTTCTCCCTTTTATCTCCAACATCAAATTTCTAACCAGCATATCAGATCTAGCTTGCTCAGTGTCATTCAAATACTATACAAATTTTACCTTGAGCGTATTTCCCCTTTTTTTTTCTTTTTTTTTCTCCTTTCTTTTATTCCTAAACACGTAACATAATGTTAATGTCAATCGACCTTTTTGTTTATCTCTCAATTGATGAACTTGAGAAATTCATCAGTTTTAAAAAAGGAAACGTAAATTTTTAATTGAATCCTTCCTTATTTTATTCCTGCAGACCTTCTTTCCTTTCATTTCTCTAATTATTACTTTTTATTATGATAATGATATCTCTTTGTAGTGGTATTATCATCCTTAAGATTAATTTTATTTTAATGATATTATTTATTTTTGCCAGTGTTTTTATTACTCTTATCACTAACTTGTCTCAAATTATTATTGGGTGGTTTCTGAAAGTCTTAATTTTGGTGTACTCTTATCAACTCCCCTGTTTTAATGCACACACCGATTGTATTTCATCCTCTTGATCTGCTTTGTTTTGACGACGCTGAAAGTTTTAATGTTTTGTCTGTTCTTGATTTTCCATGAAAGTAAAGTGAGCTTGGACGAGACAAGCTACTATACAGTTTCAAATCATTGTTTTCCATTTCCTTGGTGTTTATTTTTATCCTCACAGTTAATTTCACATCAATTTAATGTATCCTGTCAGCACATACAATCTTATTTTGATGTGCACTAGTTAACATCAATGTTTCACATCGTTTATCTGTGTAACATCTTGCATAGTTTGAATATTCAACTGTGGGATTTTCCTAATCTGCATGTCTTGTTTCTCCTGTCAAACTTTGTATCTTCATGTAATAGTTTATAGAACTACCTAATTGCATGGTTTTTCAATGTCTCGTATGAATATTTAACAATATGTGGCTATTATTGTACTTGACGTGTTTGTCTAAGCAGGTTAATATTTATTCCTTGCCCTCTATCAATTATGTATATGAACGTCAAATTAAGAGTTCTCTCCTAATTATCTAGAATTGTAGTCGATAGTTTCAAATTTTCTTCCCATAGTTTCTTGTTAATCACTCAGATCAGTATTTAGACCACTTTTCACATCTTTTGATAACTATTTTTGGCACTCTAAAATCATAGACCAGGAGAATTATCCCTATAAAATAATACTTCACTCCCACTGACTATTACAGGCAAATAAACCAATTAGGGTGTCTCAACGACTTTTTTTTGTCAACCTGTAACAATGGATGGGGATTGTACTCTAATTTCAGTTTTTATATCAAATTTTTCTTCGAACAAAATTTTATGTTAAATCAAAATTTCCAAGCACTGAACTTATTTGTAGAAAAAGTATATCTCCCTAATTTGAAAATGATCAATATTAACGCATATATACAAGGGTCAAAGTATGTGAATGTCTGAGTGAAGATGTCTATCAAGAGAAGTAACCATTTTAAGGGGTTTAAAAGCACTTCAGACTCTTAACAACCGAAGTACCTACCATAAACTTGAAGGCTGGATTAGCTATATCTTCCTCAGGAAAAGTTTAGTCTCTCTGCATTGTTTCTCACCCCTCCCCCTCCCCCCCCGCTAGTTTTTTGCACGTCGACTGAAATTTTGCCCTCTAAGTAAATTAAGTGCAGCTGCCCACCCGAAAGTAGCCTCATTACCAGGTTTTTTTCAATGTTTGTTTTGGCAAATACTTTAAATTATTTCAAGTAGCAGGTCTTATTGTTTGACGTTTTATCGCTTAGTAACTTCAATCCCTTATTTCTGTGACTCATTCAGATGTCTAAGTCACTCTTTGATTTTTGAGTGAACCGATTTCTGTGGTTTTTTTTTCTCCACTAACCTCGATTGTTTTGATTTTTCTGACATATGTTCTAAATTTTAAATATCAATGAAGAGCATTGTAAATAGGAATTTTAATCGAAAAAATCTATCAGCGTATCACAAGCTCTTATCTTGAAGTGCTGTCTGAATTTGCTGTGAGTCAATAGTCTAGCGAATGAGACTCTTGAACTTTTGTATATTTTTCTTTTTTAAATCTTTTGTTTTCAAATTCGACTAATCGTATTCGACCCGTTACACCTCTGTTAGATTGTTACATTTTTTAATTTCTCTTCTTGATTTGTTCCCCCTTTCATCTGTTTTAAAGTCTCCTTAAAACATGCTGTAAAATATCAATCATTGGATATGTTATTTTTATTGGAAGTCCAGTGATGAAACTGTAAATGTAAAATACTTGTTTAAATGTATGAATTTGAATTATAAAGTAAATAAATCTATACAGTTTTTTATTTGTCTATTATCTTTTTTACTCTCTTTTTAATTGGTAAATCTGTAGTAAAGTATTTTGTTGTGATGCTTTTAAACTGTTAGAAGAAAACAAAAAATTTATTGAAAAATGTAATTAATTATAAAAGTTGTAAATTAATTTGTAAAAAAGAGGTACGTAAAAAATGAAATAGATCATCAAAGTGAAATGAATCCACAGTTCAATTGAATAATTTTTAATTTTTTACTCTTTCAGAGAATTATCCGATAGAAATAACCCTACAATTCCAAAAAGATACCTGTCTAATTTTGGGACTTTTACTTGTTCTGATCTCTTTCCATCCAGAATGTAAATTTTGATTTTCAATTCCCTACCATTAACTTATTTTATTTCCCCAGTGAAGCATTTCAAAAACATTTTTTATTGATTTGCCTAGTATTATCGTCACTTTGATTTATTATACAATGGAAGCCATGCCATCGTTGATTTTGCATAGTAACATCATTCAGTACAGTAACATCATTCCAATGTATCATCTCTCATTAAAATTTAATTGTGACTAAATTTTTAAACTGATTTCAGTCTCTTAAATCTGCTGAAAGCAAACTCTTGTGAGTCTGCCACATTAAATTATTCAGCACGTATTGGGCATGTGAATTTGACAATGTTTTTCAGTCTCATCCCCATCAACTAATTCCATTTTTTAATCAAGAGGAACTCCCACTTAGTTAGGCAGGTTTCTTTTTAAATGGAAAAGCAACTCTCCACAATAAATTTGAAAGGAAACATGAGTATTGTTTATATGATTATTGTAAATATAAAACCTGTATTTAAAAGAAGGATTTTATGGTTTCGAATATCAGAGGAAATAATTTTGTTGTCCACCTTTTGATTTTTCATTTCATACTAAAACAACCACAGCAAGTTTGCTCACCGGGAAGCTTTCTATTTTCAGTCATCTATAAAACATTTTTATTTTTTATTTTCAGTTCCCCCCCACCAAAAAATTCCACATTTACATATTACAGTTTTTGCGATAAATTTTCCCCAATCCGTTTCATGTTCTAATCAGTCGACACTTGAATCAGCCTTTTCTACCTTTATATTTGTTTCTCCATTATCTTCATCCCTTGTACTATAGTTTGTATGATAATGTATGTGTATGTGTATACATGTACATTTTTGTACATCTCCTGTTTTCTTTTCTCTCGCTCTTGTATTTTTTGACAATACCAAATCCGTGGCAGTAAATAAAATCGACCCCCAAAACCCTAATATTCTTTAAGTTTTTGTTTAGAAAGTAAGATTTTGTAGCTAATGTAAATTTTTGTCTTATTCCATGATAGGTTTAGTTTGAAAATAATTTTTTCCCCTTTTGTTTTGTTAACTTATGATTGTTGTAATAATTGATTCGGCTTAGCACCCTTGACTCAAAGGTTCCTTTTACTGAATAGAGAGGTTAAAAAAGTTGAAGGTTTTCTTATGTAATTCCTTGTCAATCCATAATTTAGTCTGTATACAGAATTTATCTCTGAAAATTACATTTTTTTTGCAGCCACACTAAAGCCCTCAAAGTTTTTCAATGAAGATGCTGATTTATCTCTCTAAGTGAGTCATCGATAGAGTTATATGAATACAGCTTTATAAAACTTAGAATTTTTTAGAATTTTCCCAGGTGTTTCACTGTAGGAAAAATCGTCTTCAGTGAAGATATTATTTTATATGTTAGAATCTACAAGATGTTGTTCAGTATTCCAACATGAACTGCATCAAAAACTTTACAACTACAGAAACGAGTGAAGGCATGTTGTTAGTTTTGTGATTAGTTACATTTTCAAAATTGAAAAAGAAGGAAGTAATTTCCCCTTTTCTTCTTTTTTAAATCCAATAATTTAATAATCTGAATCACCTTGTTTCATGATATATACACTCTCAATTTTGTAACGGAGGAAACTTTGATGTCAAGGAATGTTTGTCAAAATTCAATTTTTGAAAGAGAAAATGTTGTGCCTTGTGGCTTTGTAGCTCCTATTAATTCAAAAGTTAAGACTTGAAGCTTTGTAAATTGTATAAATTGCTAAGTCCCAGAGGGGAATTTAATAGAAAAATTGTACCATCCTTGCCAGGAGTTCTCCCACTTGAACGGCGAAGTCTTATTGAATATTTCCTCAATTTATTTTGGTTTTGCATTCAAAATTTCTTTCCGATCCCAACATGAAGTCTATCTTGGTCCATTTTGCAAGCATGTAATGTCAATTCTTTCTGAAAGAGCTGTGATAAAAAGAATGCAAAAGTTACAAGATTATTGCAAAGTCTTTGTTTCGTTACTTCCTATAAAGGGTTCCATGGTTTATTTTTGCTGGTATGACTAGGTGAAATGAGAGAGAGCAAATACTATGCTGTGTCTAGCTACGCTTTGCTGATTTCCTGTGTGATCAACTCGGTATCAGCTTTGTGATTTTTGTGTTGTTTTTTAAAACAGCTGTTTCAGGTCTTTTTAATGCTTTTTGAATGAAAACTTACTTATCTCTGAAAGTAAGGACTCCCTGTTTTTCCTAATCATACACGGAGTAAAGTTTTTATCATATTAGCTTTAAGTATACTTCAAAATTGCCCAGGTAGGCTTTACTGCATTTGCTGTTGAGGAGTGTCTCTTTCACTAATGATAGGTAAGCCAAGCTATCAGCTAATTCTGGTGGTAACTTGCTTAACTCACGTACCTTCTTTTTGTCAGGTACCCCCAAGAACGCTGATCAAAAGTAAGGGATATTGTTCTGTCTATCCAATAAAGCAGTTACCTATATTTCAGAATCAGCTTGCTCTTGTGACTAGCCAATGTTTCAACAGGTATCGTACATTATTGTCAATCGTATCTTATCATATGAAGATCTTCAGGAATGCATTTCATCTCCCAGAAAGAGGTATTTCTCGAAAATTAAATTATTAATCACTACACAGCAGAACTTTCTATCAGGTGATCCTTAGTCAATAGGGACGAGACTAGCTACCTTGGTGCTATGCAGTGACCACCCGTTCAGAACTTAGCACTGAGACCTTGAAAAAATTATCCATGCTATTTGTTTTTACAATAACTTTTCAATTGAACTTTAAAAAGTACATTTTCCTTTCTCATTATTTTTGTTTTTCAGTATGTCTCATCCCTGAAAACTCAATTTCCCTGATAAATTTTCATGGTGACGGTGTCTTTCGTCAAAAATTCCGTAAGAAATCTCAACTTAATTTTTCTCCACCAGTAGATACTATCTCTTAATGGTTTTAAGATTCCTGAAGTCTTCAACTGAGTTCTGATTTTAAGTCATTATTCTCCTCGTTATGCTAATGTAGATGATTCTTTATGAGATCTAGGTGTATAATTGTATTTTAATTTAAAGAGTAGATGCACAGAGCTTTGCTCACTGGCAAATCCTGTCTATTGGTATTGTTTAGTAATACTATTTTACTTTCTTTCTAGTATAATTAGTTTATCGGCCCTCTGAATTCCTTTTGTTATTCAAAATAAAAGGTTTTCCCTTTCATGTTTTCATCTCTTTATCAGTTTTATTTTCTCTTTAATTTAGGCTAGTTAAAAATTTAGCTATTGGAAAATGTAGCACCTACAGTATGTATACATCAAATTATCTGAATACAAGGTATCCCAACACATTTTTACAGGGCGCTCGTCGAGTCATCCTGTGTCTCAATAAGCATTTGGATGTTGCGCTGAATTTCAACGACCTAACTAGTCATAAACGGCTCATTGACTAGACCAGGGTACCACTGCATTTATTCAGGTAATTTGGTGTCAACTGTATTATTGATTAAAAATATCGGATTTTAACAAAGATCGTTCTTTCCGCTTCATCATGTGATGTTAAACTTTGAATATTTGAGGGCAACAGAAGATTCAGTTGTAATAGGTACCTTCAGTGCTTTGCCTTTGGTTGAATTTGCGAGGCGGCTTGTTTTGATTTTGTACTCAGGCTCATACTGTGGAAGATTAATTTTTTTTTTTTTTTTAGAAATTTACAAGTTGCTCAAGCCGATCGCAGGATTCAAAATTGCACTTGTATGAGGTATGCACTATTTAGTAATGTTTGGCTACTTTAGTGGCACCTTCAGTAGTGGCAGCTTTTAGTAATTATATTTTTGACAGCATTTATCTAAATTAGCCATTTTCTTTGTTTCGAAAATTTTCTGTTTGATCACTGTAGATATTCGACTTGTCAGGAAATAACAAAAATGATTAATTGTAGCGGCTCATTAGAAAAAGTGAAACAGAGAACAAGATTTTCACAGCTGTATATCTTGTGCTGCTGCTCTAAGGTGGTAGAAGATTACAGCGATGAAAATAGGGTAGCTAAAAATTTTCTTTTAAATGTGTTATCGTCATTACACTTAATTTCTCTGTTCAGCTTGTGATCATGTCAGGGTTACTTTAGGTATTAATGTCATTAATTCCCTACTGCTACAAGTTCGTTTACAAAATCATAAATAGGTTGCTCTTGCATCTCATAAAGATGCTCCGTATCTATAAAAAAAACAAAAAAAACTAGAAGTAACAAAAATTCGTTGGTTTGCAGTTGTAATTTAAACGCATAAAAAATTTGGACCAGTCATGTAATTAATTTTTGTACATTTTAGTAAACTCATAGTGATTTCTCATCCTATTAATTTAATTTTTTAACTATTGAAAGCCCCCTTTCTATGAAGAAAGTGTACAGAAATTTTTTCTCTCTCCCTTCCTTATCGCGCTTTAATTAATTTTATGAACATTTGAACTTAATTTTGTGTACAGTGTATCAACTTAAATTACTTCTCACCCCATGTAATTAATTTTCTCCTTCTTTTTCATTTGATATAAATATTATATATATATTTTTTTTTTAACTTGTTCATTCAATTTTTTTTCCTTTGTTAAATCTTCTCAAAATTTAAATCAAGTGATTATTTTCAGTGGAGTATTGTTAAGAAATCTTTTGTAAAAATAAATGTTCTTTCTTTGTAATCTATTCTGTTTCATAGTTGCGAGACAACCTGAGAAAGAAGTTTCAATTTTTTTGTTTACACTAAAAGCTGTACTTCAAATTTGTGAATTTTGTAATGCAACTTGGTGTGTTCCGAGTACGGATTGAGAAAACACATTAGAATTGCAGAAATTTTCTGTGGCAGAATCCTCTCTTTTAATGTATTTACACTGTAAACAGGTGTTGATGAATTTTAGAAATAAATTGAAAACTGCAAACTACGTGAATCCTGTACGGAAATTGTTTTAAAAATGTTATTTTACTTAGCCCTCTGTAAATAAAATCTGTTGGAATCAGATTCATCAGCAAACTAAGTCACTCAATAGATCGGGCGTAAAATTATGAAGGTGATCAGTTTTAGATTTTCGAAGTTATTTTTTAATTCTTATATTTCATAATTGTTATATGAAAATAGTTGTATGATATTACTATAAATTGTTGAAACGTAATCGCAAAGAACTTCCTACAAGTGTAAGAAGAATGATTTCAATGAAATCTGCGCATAAAATTGTATCATTTCATGTGTGGTCCTATTTATGTCTATTATTTATTATTTTTATTCAATTTTTATTTTTTCTTTGTCTTAATAAATTTGTATGTAATTATTTTCATGGCATTCAAAATTTCTTTTTTTTTCTGATCATTCCCTTTGAAGCCAAGCAACTCATAACACACCTTTTATGCAGTCTCAACCTGCACTAGCCACAAAAAGCTGCTTCCAGATTATTTTCTTTACAAAGTTATCTGTGAAACACTTTGTTTCGCAATATGTTGAAAGAATTTTTTTTTTTCACTCTATTAGTCTAAATGGAGTGATTTTCTGTCCTCACTATGAATGTTACTCAGTGTGAATGTTTCTCAGTAATGAAAATTACAGAGTAACTCCATTCCAAGGTTGATTAATTGACTCAAACATTTCATTTTCCCCAAGAATTATGACTATAACAATTCTGTGCGAAATTTGGTTGATTTATAAGTGGAGAAATAAGAGAAATTTTCAGTAAAAACCGCCCTACAGTTGCCTCCAAAGAAAAAAACACTAGTAGAAATCTAGCAACGCTGAAATGTAGTTACATTCTATTGTCTGGGTAATGACAAATTTTACATGTGCCAATATAGACTTGTGCCCATTTTCAGGTTAGCTATTCAAACGCTACCTTGAGGTTTAATGCAAGATGAATTCTTGTCATTCTAGAAGAAAATAAAAGTTATCCCAGATGAAAGAGTTGATTTAATTATACCATTTTATTTAAAAATAATGCAGTAAAAAAAAAAAATCACATAGCAGCTTGAGACACGCAATAGAATATTAACATCACAATTAAGGCCATCTCACAAATTGCTGCCTAAAGTAATACTTAGAGTTTGCATTGCTGTTTCATTCTGAGTTCAGACATGAATTTTGAGTTTTAGCTGATTATTCCTTCTCAAAGATTAGATTGTTTTTTTCTCCTCAAAGATTTGGTCATGCGATCATGTGGTACAGAAGATGGTGCAAGTTTTTGTACTTGGATCTCCTGGAAAGAATGGTTCAAATGGTTGTATTAAAATGCAAAGGGATAAAGAATACTTAGAAAGAAAACAATTCATTTGCAGTGCATATTCATTTATTAAAAGGCGCACAGGAAATTAAGAATGAATCTAAAAAAACTCAACTGACATAAGGCCTATTTTACTCTCCTGGCATTGCCATATTTATTTTGCCTCCACGAAAATTAATTTTATTATGAATTGATAATACCTGGGAGAACCTGCAGATCCAACATTTGTTGCTATGGATGAGGAAAACCCAGAAAACCTCACCAGACCTCATTCTGAAACAAACTGCACAAATCTGCGTCAAGGACTTTCATATTCTTTTTCGGTTTTAGGTCCATTTTGAGAGTAAACATGAGATACTTAACACTAAAAATACTTTGAAGTACTATATGAATACACTGGGCCCAAAAATTGAAGGGATATTTGGGAAGAAAACTATTCACTTGCAGTGTATATTCATTTATTAAGGGCGCACCGGAGGTTTTGAAAAAATCTAATAAAAAAAACTTGGTTGATATAAAGCATATTAATTTTTGCTCTCACAGTATTGCCATATTTAAATTAAAAGAAAAAAGGCTGTTCACAAAGATAAGAGAGATTCATATGCTCGATAAACTCTTCATGAATTCTCCACAGTGTAGATCTTCATTTTTACCTTATTTTGGTGGTCTTCTCGATTCCTTCCGTGAAGCACAAAAACTATGAGGTGCTAGAATTACTGGATGCAACCTTAAATGCATTGTTTTTGTAGAACCTTAGTTCATCAATACTTTCTAAAATATCATCCAGTGCTCTATGAGTCAACTTTTTCTGGGGAGTGTTTGCAGAACAAACTGGATTCCACCGCCTATAAAGCCATAAAAAAACCAATCATTAAAAAACAGCACAAAAAATAAAAACTTGATCACCTGATAACACAGCACAGTGCATGCAAGCTAACTCCAATTTCAAGGAACCGTGCGTGGGTTTACTTCAAATTTTTAGTAAAGTAAAGTAATAGATTTTCTAGATAGAAAGATTTCAAAATAGTCGTTACGGCAAACATTAAAAATAACAGGATTTTTAATACAGATCTAAAATTCGAAGTAATGGAACCCAACGTCTTGAAATTTGAAGCAATGGAACAAATGTCTTACAATTCGAAGGAATAGAAACAAACGTCCAATGATTCGTAAGTTTGGGACAAGAGCCAAATGAAAAGATGATTACCTAAAGGGGCAAGAACACAAGCCACCTCTCGCTAAAGTGGGGGTTTTACTAAATAAGTGCAAAAAAATTATTAAAAATTAATAAAGAAACTTGGAATGGGTGGGGGGGGGATGTATAGAAAACATTTGCTATTCTTGCGGCTACATATTATATTTAGTTGGGGGATAAATTGATTATTTTGATTGTAAAAAGTGGAAGAGGATCTAGTCTAGAGCGTTCAGGAGCGGTAGCCAAGATGATCATTGTTTAAAAAATGTCCTCCCCTTTACCAAGTTGATCGAGAGAACGTAGAGACTCCTGAGAGCAGCTTGTTTTGAATCGACAACAAGTGATAGTGTTTTCACCTCTTTTTCCATGCCTTCATTTCAATCACCATTATCAGCAGTTGCTCTAGTTTTGACTTTTTTGGTGAACGAATCAGAAATTTTTCAAAAGACATCCTTCCTTAATGGACTGGAGCAACTTCTGGGCACTTCAATACTGGATGAACTGCGTAGTGGAATAATGGCGTTATCAATATCAAATTAACGAAGCCAAGACGGTCTTCGAATTAAGGAGCGTGCTGTCCAGAAACTTAGCATTGCGGAGTGCTTAACGCATCTCTCTGAATTGCAGAGCAATTCGTCCTGGCACCTTGAAATTACAGAGCTATTAAACAAGCCGCTTGGCTGAAAAAAATCGAACTAATGAAGAGAGACAAATATAATACTTTTTTCTCAAATTAGCAAGCTTTTTTCACAGGGATCAACCTCACCTTCGAATTAACAGGCCATAATCTCTCTTTCTTCAGGCCATTTCTAATTACCACTTACACACATTACACCGTGCCACCAATTGAGATAAAAAAAATATAGAATTGTAACAGAACAAGGTAACTTTTTCATGCAGTATCAAAAATTTTTCATTTTGGATACATGATCTTTTAACATAGAATGCATAAACAGACACAATCCCAGTTTCATTCATAAGACAGAGAGAACATTGCCATTTCATTTAAGTTTTGAAATTACCTGATCACCTCTCTGATCGAAGTTACATCTATTACCCGAAAGTGAATGTGATTATCTAATTTGGGCAAATATTTTCTTATGAATACTCTGTCATTTGAAACAGAATTACCGGCCAGAGGACACTTTCCTAAAAAAGAAAGAGAGATTAATTCAACATTTCAAAAATTACCTGATTAATTCTTTAACAGTGGAAACATCAATGGTTCGATAGTGAAGGTGGCTGCTGAACTTAGGAAAATATTTCATTATGAACATTCTGTCAAATCCTACTGAATTACCAGCTAAAGGACAAATTCCTGAAAGAATGACAATTCAAATCAAAATAATTCAAGTTACATTAAAACAGATTAATCACAATGTAAATAAATACCTACACGTAAGCACGGGTAAAACATGTTACAGAATGCCATCTGTTTTTCACAATCTGGTGTTTTCACCTTGTGGCTTTTCCAATTTGCCTCATGGAAAAATGTTTGATTTTACAATAAATTGCCCAATTTTATGGCTAATTGTCTAATTTCACAGCAAAAGTGTGATCAGTCTCATTTTTATTTTGAAAAATGTCTTAGGGAATCACGACTCAAGATCGGCCTCTTGTTTCCTACGATCCACAATGGCAAACTTCAACATTTCTTTCACTCAGCCTTATATTGTAGAGATAGATCACATTGAATGCTGGAAAAGAGATAAATACTTCAATTCATAAAAAAAAAGACTCAGCTTTTTGCAGCATTTAGAATGAGCCTTGATCAGCTTATTGTTGATATTGGTATAAAAGTTTCAATTTTTAAATCCATTTATTTACAGGAACAATGCTCAATCTCCCAGCAGACTTTGTCAGATTTAAAGAAAACTGCTGTTCTGAAAATTTTGACGAGTAGGTATCAGTTCAAGCTTACATTCAAACCTACCTATTTCAGATAAAAATCAAAATTCATGCCTTAGCAACAAAAGAAACCATACATCCAGACTGAGCACTTTAGTGACACAAAAATATGTATGCACACCTACGGAAGATGTGAACTTTTCCAAAACATGCATTTGATAACATGTACATAGAATTGACATAAATTTTGATATGTTGAATAAATTTAACTATATGTTCGAACACATACTGCAAATTATACTGTAAAATTTTATTCTTCTCAAGTTTTATTTAAATTATTTGATGCAAAATAACAGATATTGCTACTGCATACCTGGTGGCGTGTGTTCTTGAACAAATTTTGTTAGAATATTATCTGCATCTTCAGCCAGCAGACCACTAAGTTTACATTCAGTTGATAATCCGGACTGTTAGGCGCACATGAAACAGGTTTACCAAATAAGAAATTATGAGAAGTACTTAAATGGACCCTTCAACATGTAATATGTTTCAAACAAAGTCTGTTGACGAAGAAGTTCATTATTTCCTTCTAAAATGAGCAGATTATACAAAGAGCTCGCCTCAGAAAAAAGTTGGAACATCTTGTAGCTAGTCTAAAAAGGACTTCAAATTATAAGGACACTTTTTCAGGACAGATCACCCTTCATATTTTAAACTTGGTGACACACTTTACACTTGACTGTTTTAAATGGGAGTAGGTACTATTGCCGTAAAAATTCTACCAAAAACAGATTTGAAAAATGGATGATCTGATTTAATTCTGAAAAAACAAAAGAACAATACAAATAAAAGAAAATAGAGAGATAATTTAGACCCTTCTGCTTAAAATTACAACTTAGGCTGTCAATATGTACTGCAGTGAGATATGTATTTTTAAAAGAAGAATGAATAAGTTTAAGGGTTCCTCAAAAAGTTGGATGATTTCTTCCTCCCTAAATTATTTTACTTAAATGCAATTCGTAGAGAGACATCTTCGAATTGGTAGCTTAAACAGTCTGAGCAAGAGAAGCAAGAAAGAGCATACTTGACCGTGAGTTTTTTTACACCAATCATTCATATTGTTGATTTCTTCTTCATTGACATTTAAGATTAAATCATTAGACTGTGCCACTATGTTTAAGTCTTTGTCAGTTATCACAACAGCTGCCTCCATTATTTTGTCTTTCTCAGGGTTCAGTCCGGTCATCTTAAAAATCAACAAACAGAAAAATGATTATTTCAGATACTAAATATATGAAAATGAACGTTGAACAAAGTTCCTTATGATGTGAAAATTACTACTATCAATAAGTAGAGAAGTTAAGTTCATACTAAAAATTTTAAGCGAGCATAAGAGAAAATAACTTATTAACATGTTTCCATATGCCCAAAACATGGTAAATAATAATTAATTTTTTCACCCTGGTGAAAGTGGAATATAATTGACCTTGTCACCACTGTGACAAAATCAATTATGACAAATTATGACAACGATCACGATGGTTTACGGAAATAATTATGACGTCCCTCTGACGTCACTCTTAATTATTCAGATGTCAATTGATGTTATAATACCATATAATGTCACTGTGATGGTAAAGTGTTCAGCAAGCATTACAGTGATGTCACATTAATTTACAAAACACACAGTAGATGTCATTATGACATTATAACAGTGATGTCGCAAAGTCTCAATTTTACTGGGGAAAGAGTGAGTGCAAGGAAAAATGTCAGTTCAATTAAAAGGTGAAGCTTATTTAGTTCTCCCTTTTGGTAAGCAAGCTCCTCAGAGTCTGGAGTTTTTTCTGGAGAAATATAATGAGCAAATGTTAATACCAACCTCCAGATCTACCCAAATTAGACGTTGCGAAAAATCGTCTCCTCCTGCACTCATTCTGCGAAACTGATTTCTGGCAAAACCTGAAACAACGAAAGAGCATGATTATTGGGCTTGAAAGCTAATTTACAATTGAAGAGGCTTTTTGAATCCTGACATACAATATTATACAGAAAAAATAACAATGACAATACTGTAAACAATAATGCATTCATTAAATTACACCAAACATAAATCCTCATACATATGTAATAGGCTAATCCCGAACTTAATTGGGCAGATCGCAAGAGGCCCAGGCAGATTAGAATACGCCCAGTTTTTCCTGGGCTGAAAGTTTCTTGGATTGCATAATTCCTGCCAACAGGATTGTATAACCACTGAAACTTGAGGCCGAAAGTTCAAAAAAGTTAAATGATGCCATTTTAGGTTAAACAGAGCTGCTTCAAGTGTTTTCCGCTAAGACTCTCCCTCTTGGTCTAAGTCTTTCATTTAATTCCTAATTAAGCCCGATTTACCTAATTCCATTTTTCATCCGACAAAAGCGGAACAAAAGTTGGATGCAAAGTTGAACAAAACAGAATTTGCTCCAATTGCTGTTGCTATGTTTTTTTGTCAAACGGATATCACATATCTCCATTGGCTTCCAGTTCATGAAGATACAGCTTCGATTGATGTCGATCGGAAGATTTTGATTCAACTTTCTACTTAAGATTTCATTCAATTAATGCTGCCAATTGGATAGACAGTTGAACGAAGTGTTGTATGTGACTTCAGTTCAAGTTTCCTTTCAACTTTTCATCAAAATGTGGTGTTTACGTTTCAGTAACACACGCTCAAACTTTTCATTCATGGAAAGCAGGATAAATGTTAAATGAAAAGTTGAAGCATGTGAATTGGGCTATGCATGGAATCCATAATCTACAATTTCAGAAAAAAGGCTGAAACTTTTATGAAAGATTCGCTCCTTGCATATCCTCAAATGATAGATCAACTATGAAAAATATACCTGGAAATGTTTTATGGACGGTTGATCGCATACAAATCGGTCTTTTGGTCAGGACGACACCATTTAGACATCTGACCAAGTTGTGGACAATACATATTTTTGAACAAAACATAGCCATTATGTGAAGTAGAGATTCTTCGGTGGATACCCTCAAACCCTAACTTCAAGTTACATTATATATGTAAGATAAGTTATGATCCTTGGGAAAATACCATTGTCGTATGGGTAACACAGACAATTTTGTTTTATTAGCAGAGGCTGAGGGATATGGATTATTCACCTGTTAACTTAGACTAGGGGGTCAATCTACAGAAAATTTTAGAAAATTCTGATGCGAGCAGTGCACACGTCGAAAGAATGAAATGATAACAATAAATGTACTGCTGATACCAGATACTGATAACTGATACTAGAGATACCGGAATTTCTTGACAAGCGATACCTCACACGATTTCGATATGATCTATTGTTCTTACCTCTCCTCATGATAAACAAAATTTTTCACAGGATGCAGACTTGCCAACTAAGAATAACCTACAGACACCGTGAACGCCGCTTTTGATGCTACTGACAACAATGACATTATTTTAATTAAGTAATTGTTGATGAATGATAACATTGATAACATTGATAACACGATTGAAAAGGAAAGCGCTCCATCGCAATTCCATCGACCGATCGATATGTTATCACTTTTCACGATATGTATCGAAGATTGTTTACATGCCGCGAGCAACATGTTTAACCTCCAAGCGTTCCACATTATCACATCTCAAGCAGTGAAAGTACCGAGCGATGGAATTGTGTCACGTCATTTGCAGGAAGAATAAAAGCGCTCATTTCATAGTCATGTTCTAAGTATTTTGTGCATTGCTATGTCTTGAAGTTAATGAAGTGTACCTCTTACGTGACGAAGTCTCACACTTCTTTCTCCAAAGTCCACCAGCATGTCTGAGTCCGAGGTTATCAAAGTTGGCTCTCGCAAGAGCAAGGTAAAAAATTTTTTCTGTTCTCTATGGTCCGATGTTCCTTGGATTTGTGTCACTTTTTAGTAAGTTGCACACTATTTTTGCCTTTGACTGTACTCTTTTAGGGAGTTGGTAGGAATGAAGGTACGAATCATCGTTACGTACTTTTTAGAAGCAGGACCCTGTACGGTGTTATATTGGCCAGCATCACAGGGATTGAGAGAAGAGGGGGTACATAAATAAACAACAAATTTAGCGTTATCCAATTTCAGGATAGTCTTTTAAGGATGTCACATTTTGAACCGCAACTCTCATGAATTTTGACTTGTGTGTTTGCATCCTTTCAAGCTGCATCTGTGAGGTCCAAGATCCATCCATATAGGTCAGTCATTGCGTAGACCCCCCCGCGGGCGTAGATTTCCCCGCTCGGGGTAAGCCCCTTTCCATTGGCTCGTGACGTCAGCATTACTGCCGCGAAAACCAGAAAAGTCGGAAACAATGCTTTTCTTATGGGAGAGAGCAAATTTTTCTTAATGAATCATTTAAATTTCTTACTTTTAAATCCTTTGAAACTTTCTGTGTGTCGAAAAGAACGTTTAGACATTAGCATTCAGGGTTTCGATTTTGCCGAATTTGTGTTCCTTCATTTTTACAGTTTACTCTGCATCAGCCATTTTTACACGCGAATCTATACCACTAGATGGCTTGTTACATCGCTGACTTCAAAAATCATTTAAAAATATAAAAACGCAAATTCAGCTGAATTGAAACCCTTGTCGCTAATTTCTAAACGTTCCTTTCGACACTCAGAAAGCTTCAAAGAATTTAAAAGTAAGAAATTTAAATGATTCATTAAGAAAAATTTGTTCTCTCCCATAAGAAAAGCATTGTTTCCGACATTTCTGGTTTTCGCAGCAGTAATGCTGACGTCATGCGCTGAAGATTCTCATTTGGGTTTCGGGAATGACTGACCTATATGGATGGATCTTGGTGAGGTCTACTAATTTTAGTTTAAGGGTGGTTTCTTACTGTGACTCAAGTAGAGAGAAACATGTCATCTAACTTATCAATGGTTGTCATATGCAGGAACTAAAATTAAATCAACATGGCATGTATCTCGTTGAATAATCGGCATTTCTTGCAACAGAATTACTGTGCACCTATAATGAACTTAAGGTGATTCGATGGACGCCTTATTTTTTGTCAGAACAGCATGGGATATGTCGCATCAATTGGTTCCATTTTTCAGCTACTCATCATTTTTCTCGAATTTTGAGATCGCAATCCTGTTGTCAGGAGACTAAAGCACTCACTTACCAATTTTAACAAAGAAATTCAACGTAATAAAGGCGTGATTTTTTAGAAAGAAAATATCGCATTCGGGTGCAGTTTCGATATCAGTATCGAATGCAATGTTTTTTCTCTAAAAAAAACCACACCTTTAGTACGTTGAATTTCTTTGCCGAAATTGGTGAGTGTTTTAGTCTCCTGAGAACAGAATTGCGATCTCAAAATTGGAGAAAAATGACGAATAGCTGAAAAAATGGAACCGATTGATGCGATATATCGCATGCCGTTCTGACACAAAATATGGTATCCATCGAATCACCTTAACAGAGTAATGCTATTTGAGATCGCCATAGTTAACTCATCTGTTTGTGCACGTGTAGAGCTAACAACATGATTATTAGTATACCACTAACTAATTTTGCTATATTGAATAATCTGAACAAATATGAAAACAGATATTCAGAGGATGAAATTACACCTCTCTAACTGTCATGATCTTGATTGTTATTCTCTTGCGGAATCTTAATATCTGAACTGATTTAATGCACACAGCTCATATCATTTAGATCACAATTTTATACATATGTGCAATCACAAGTATATTTCCTTCAATGTATTTTCTCCATGCCTTTTATGATTCAATGCCTCCTTGCTTTTAAATTTTACAGCTAGCAATGATTCAGACAAACTTTGTGATAAACAGGCTGAAAGAACTGCATCCTCATTTGAATTTTGAAATAGGTAGGTATCTACTGTGTTTTGGAATATTAAAATGATGTCGTACAAAAAATGTCCAATGAAATTGAAGATATGATCTGAAGTTTTTTTCAGTTCCAATATGCTATGAAGGTATTTCCATTTCAATATGCTACGTTTAAGCCTTTGAATTTTCAAATGAAAATGCTATCATGTTTATCAATGGCAAAAGGGCGAAACCGTTTACCTCCCCTCCGTGACATTGCAAACTTCCTGTCATACTTCATTTTATTTCTTTGGAAAACTGGTCAACATTTTCTTGCAAACTTTCCTGATTTTTCTTCTCTGACAGTAGAATATTTTGTATGAATCTCAAGTTAAAAAAAATGGCATGCTTCTCTTGGAGAAAATAAAATTGGTACAGGCAGAAATTTTAAAGTACCGCATTAGAGATACATGGTTTTGCACTTAGGCCAATGATATCCTCTTCTAGGACAAGACTCAAAACCAATCTGCCCCTAACTTACCGTTTTAAGTTTTAAAATAGGAGTGCAGAATCTCCTAGACCGTATGAGCACCTAATTGTATACAAAAATAGGAAAGCTGGCTCACATAAGCTTGAAATTAGCATGGTTTCTGTTTGATTATGGCCTCTGCTCATAAGAAAAGAGCAAAAAGAAAAAAGAATGGTTGTAACAACAGAAAAGCTAAAAACTGCTTGCATACTTGCATCATGGATTGATTTAGATCAAAAACGAAATTTCAATCTTCCAACTCACGAAACAAAAATCACTCTACTAAGTTTATCTTTCGTTTAAAGGTCTCTTCCATTGACGGCCACTTGTATTTGAATTGCATTATGGCCAGATTTCTCGATAATCCATAAATGGATGTCTAAATTATGGATTTTTGATAAATCAGTCATTGTGTGTTGGAAGTTACTCCTTGATCCTCAAATGAATGAAATGCAGCTGTCTGTATACTAAAAGAAGCTGTTCAGTGATAGTACGCTCAATCTAAATTTTTCACTCATTTATTGTTCATTCATTTTTCAGAGTCTATGGACACCATTGGTGATAAAGAACTGCACAAACCCCTGCCGAAAATAGGTGAAAAAAGTCTCTTCACCGCTGAATTAGAGATTGCACTGAAAGAGAAGAGGGTTGATTTTGCTGTTCATTCACTGAAAGATTTACCCACCCTTTTACCGGAAGGTTTAGTTTTAGGAGCTGTATGTAGGTAAGTTACCTAATATCAATAATAAACCAAGAAAATATACCAAATTTACCTATGAAAATACAAACAAAAAAAATAATACTTACTTGATACTTATTGCATTGCTGTCAGCCTTGCATTGCACAAAACATAAGTGAACACAGCTTTTTCTGCTCTTTTTTACCCTAATGGACTGCTAATGGACCACTAGACAAGGTCAGGACTATGTATTGTATTAAATCAAGGGTGAGGCTGGAGGGATGCGTCGCTCGTTGTGGTGTCTTAAAATCTCCATTCTCATTTTATTTTATCAAAAGAGAACTAACCAACCCTATCGTTCAAAATTTTTACAGAATATTCCTCACACACAGTAATTTCACCATCGAAGTGTTACGTAATCAAACTTCCATGTACAAAACAGTTATTGCGAAGAAGATTTCCCACATCAATCCTAAACTTGATATCATTGTTTCTGAAGTGGTAGTCCTCAACAAACCCAAACAGTTTGACTTTCACAATTTTTTTTTTTAAAGTTTTGAGTGATATTATTGATCTAAGTAGGTATACATTGGCTAGAATCAGTTAGAAAAAGTTAGAATGTTCTTCTCAGAAGGACAATCAAAGTCCATCAGAGTCGAATTGCATTCCAGTTAGCTTTCATCGATTTTGAAAGTAACTCATTTTCTTTCTATTGGGTATTTACTATTATTTTTTGTTCTGCGCTTTCATAAAATTTGTGAAATCCGCAATAACCATGAAATAAAGTAAATTAATTAGCTAAGGCTGAGGACTAAATGCCGTTCATGATTTGACGCAAGCAGTTTCTTTATGAACTAGATGCGAGAGTGTACAAACATGATATTGAGGGCTAACGCGCAATACTGCCCAACTGACAATTTTGGCAAAAATGAGTTAGCGGCTTCGCCGCATTCTGCAGTATGAAGTATGCAAGCTGATGATTTTAGTTTATTTTTCAATTCTGTAGGGGAGTGCTGCAATGAAGCTGTAAGTATGAAAAAATTGCAAATCGGACCTTAAAATTACAGAAATTGCAAAGTTTTCTCTTTAACTACAAAATTGTCAGTTTGCAGTTAGGCGGTATTGTTCATTAGCCATCAATATCCACTCAGGGGTCGATTTGTAAAATTTTTAATGCATGAATGGTTTTCTATCACTATGTGGTCTACTCCATGTTCCCATGACTAGGTATATCATTAACCCATTCACATACTATTTTTTTATGAAAATTTCCTTTAGCAAATGGGTAAAAACTATGACAGGCTTGTAGAGCATGCACCTGATAAAAACTGTAGCGATTTGTGTGGCACTGTCTCATGGAGAGTCCGAGATATAGCGATAAATTTGCCCATGATGTGATTCCCTTATCAATGTATTTTAGGCCCGGTTTTTGCATAATAGGTTATACTTGTAAAATGGGAATGAGTTAAGAGTCTTTTTTTACCTCCATTTTTGATAAGGGTGTTATTGTGAATCAAAGTTTTCTGATGATGAGTGAAAGCTGATACAGAAATGAATCAATTTATCTGTGAAGTGGTGCTACTTCAACTCTAACTTAAAGTGTGAGTCACTTTAAGTGCCATTTTTGTAATCTGACTTGGCCGGTTACCAATAGAAAAAATTCTATGATCTCATGGCCCCGTTCATCATTTTTTTTTTTTTTTTCTCAGGCGAGAAGATGCAAGAGATGTTGTTCTCTTAAATGGAAAGTATGAAGGCACAAAGCTGAAGGAACTTCCAGAAGGAAGTGTTATAGGTAAGACAATTCTATCTTATAAATTCAAACATATTCTACAAAAAAATTCAACTACATCAAACTGGACAGTCGTTTCCCCTCCTTATAGAGTAGTCACATTGGATGTAGTTGAAAGAATGTGCTCACCTTCACAGACTTTTGTTACCCCAAAGTTTTGGATTTAGCATTCTTCCCATTTTCAAAATACATACCAAAGACATTCATGATCAAAGATTCTTATGGGATTACAAAAACTTCTGAGATTCCAAAAAATGTTAGTGATTTGTTTATGTTGATGGAGATTTTTGGTTTGATCAGGCACAAGTTCACTCAGGAGGACTGCTCAACTTCGCCGCAACTATCCTCAATTCACCGTAGAAAATATTCGGGGCAATCTTGAGACAAGATTTAGAAAATTGACCTCGGAAGAAAACAGCTATGCTGCTATTATTTTAGCATCTGCAGGTGTTAAAAGAATGGGATGGCTGGATCGTATTGGACAGGTATGTATTTTCAGCATTGAGATGTGATTTCGTTCTCAATTATTTTTTCTTGTTTGATGCGTTGGTTTGGAAAAAAATTTACGAGTATCATTTATCTTGTTTTCTTGTCTTTGGTTAATGTAAAATGACAGACAAAATATGCATTGTTTTTGAAATTCTTCATTTACTATCAGTTATTCCAGGACTTAATACAGTAGAAAAATGCACCAATCACTTGAAAAATGATGAGATGATTTAATGTTGAGATAACTGCATCTGTTTTTTTCACCAGATGATGTTTGTACATGACCATTGGAGATTAATAACTAATGCTGGAACATCTCAAAGTCCCGGGCAGAAAAAGTCTTGTTTTATTCATTGCACCTTAGTGGTCACAGAATGAATCGTCAGGACCACTAGAGGCCAATTTGAAAAGCTACGAATAAGGCCTTCAATTAATAAACATGTCTGGAAGAAGAACTGTACTACTTGAGTTTCTGAGGACCCCAAGTGCATTCATGTTTTTGATATTTTTCCAGGTCTTAGATGGAGAGGAAATGCTTTTCGCTGTTGGGCAGGGAGCTCTTGGAGTTGAGTGTCGTGAAAATGACCCAAAAACCTTATCATTATTGGAATCACTGCATGATTTTGAAACTGTCTGCTGTGTCATCGCTGAAAGAAGTTTTCTACGAAAACTAGAAGGAGGTTGTTCGGCCCCTGTTGGTGTTTACTCAAAATTCAGTAATAATACGATTCAATTTGTTGGTGCTGTTTGGAGTTTAAATGGGAAAAAAGAGCTGAAGCTTGAAGAAAAATTGAATTTAAATGAAGCATGCCCTGACTCTGATGAAACTGAGGAACCTAAATCGTAAGTGCAGCGTTAAAAGCCTCAAATTAGAGAATTATCAAATTGTCCATACAATCCTTCACTTCTGCATCACTCGACAATCATAGGCATTATTTTTAAAAATCTATCATTGGTTTTAGACTTTATTGATAGTCCGGGCTGCAGACAAATTTTTATCTTAAGGAGCTTTCAAGTATTGTGCAGTAAACTTGGGAAAGAGGGGGTTCGAGTCAGTGTATTGGTGTATTTAGAGAGGAAGGAAAACTGAATTGCAGGTTTGTGTAAAAATCCAAGTAACAAAAACTGCACATTTTTTTTTAAATGAACAGATTCTTGGAGCTCCTTTTGCTGATCGTGAAAAAAAGGATCCACATAGCATCCACAAAAAAAGCTTCAGGCTACCGCAACCTAAGGTGCATTACAATAGTGCAAGATTGTAGGAAGGGGAGGGATCAGAAACAGTGAATCACATAATATTTGTATGCCACTTCAAAAACAAGAATCAGTGGCTAAAATTATCTCACCCAGGATATGTTTTGGTATTCAGTGTGCTCAAAAGTGTCAGAGAAAAGCAATACATTTTCAAAATGTTTTGAAGCAGGTGCCTGCTATTTCTGCCATCACTCCTGAGGACAGTATTCTCTCATCCATTATTGATGGACTGGGGTTGGTTGGAAGGGGGCATTTATCGTTAGACACAGCTGGGGCACACTGGGGACTGACAGAGACGGCCGGAAATAAAGTGTTTTTAATGGGTCAGTTGCGCTGGTCATAGACTCGTGTTTTGATGCTTGATTCTTGTAGATTAGCTGAAATTAATAAGATCTGTCCTAACCGCAACTTTCTACGTTCAATAATAACCGAGATGTTGCCCTTTGAAAAGTCAGGTTTTTGACATCATCCACCGCAGCAATGACACCCTTGGTCTCTTCCTCTTTTGTTCGATCAGTGATGCAGATGGTGTAATGCGAAACTTCAGTGACGTTAAAAGTAAACAAACTGAGGTGAACTGACTGACCGCCTAATCTCTTCGCGGCGAGTGCGTTGTCTCCTGATAAGAAGATCTTTAAAGTGCAAATCTGTCTGTTTCTTGAGTTACTTTTTATGTTTAACATCATTGAAGTTTCACATTCCACCCTCTGCATCACTGATCGAACAAAAGAGGAAGAAACCAAGGGTGTCACTGCTGCAGTGGATGACGTCAAAAACCTGAATTTTTAAAGGGCGATATCTTGGTTAATATTAAATGTAGAAAGCTGTGGTTTGGACAGATCTTATTATTTTTTGCTATTCTACAAGAATTAAGCATCAATACACGATTTTGAGACCAGCACAATCATCATTGGATATGTTACTGCATAACATCTATTTTATTATTTTTCTGAAAGGTGGAAATTGTATTGTTTGATACCCAGCAGCACTACCTAGTAAAACGGTTTTGAATCGAAAATTGCAAATAAACTATAGGTAGCGTAAGAAGTCGAAAACTTGCTGACCCCTAGTGGATGCCCATTCCGTGAAATTGCTGCTCCCTTTCATAGCACTTTGCATTTGTATACAGGTCAAACTGTAAAAAAAAGGTTTGAGTTTTTTAGTCTGTGTTTTGTTCACAAGTTATGAGCTTCACCATATTTGAACTGCAAAATTGGCAAACTAGCTCATTGAAGACTATTCTCAAATTACTGGTAGCTTTGAAAATCCAAACTTTCATTGTTGAAGATCAGAATAGTGACTTCAAAAATTGGCTCTCTAAAACTTTAGTCGCATTTTACTAATTTTATTTTTAAACTTTAAATTTAACCAGACACAGTGTCCATCCCCTCATTTCAAGCTTTTTTTTATTGTATCTTACATGTGGTTGTTAAATCATTTTCTCTTCATTTATTGATTCTTAATTACGTTTTTTCTTATTTCGTATGTCTGTCTACTAGTTAAAACTTACACTTTTTTCATATCCATCTGTTTCAGGAAACTTATGCATCTGGAGAAAAAAAATTTTGTTGGAATCGCTGCTGGATCATTTAGTCTATCAAAGCTTGCAGCTGTCGAAAATTTTGGCGAAGAAGTCGCAAACAATTTAATCAAGCGAGGTGCCTCAGAAATTATGAGTGAAGCTAAAGACGAAATAAAGCGATCGATAGCAGTTGGAAATTCTGGTGAAAAGGTTGTAAATAATTTAATCAAACATGGTGCCTCCATAAATGTTATCACTACCAAAGACGAAACAAAATTGTCGACAACCAGTTTGTAATGTTTATTTTGTTATGAGCTTATCTAAGTAATTTCATTGCCATAAGCGTAGCTAGAAGGCTGGTGCCCCACGAAAAATGTGATTGCTTGTAGCCACTTCATACCGTCAGTCGTACGTGGATAGTGAATGGGTTCTTGGTCCCCCACAAAACATTTACAATCATGCTCATGATCATGGCATGATTGAAGTGTGGAAAATGTTAAAATGTTTCTCTGTACATAGAGTTGTTAATCAGTATCTTCTTTTGTTATTAAATTGTTATGGATGAATTTTTGTTGTCCTTCTAAATATTTTTGGAAGATTGATCTGCTTTCATGATCATACCAAATAGACATAATATTGACTGTGGTAGTCATTATAGCAGTAGTACGGTTATTTTTACCTCTCATCATTTTTTAACTGCTTTCCTTCGTGGTTGTCAGTAGTTTAGCGATGTTTTATAGCTTTCACCGCCATCTTCAAGCTAAAAATGTACATTTGCCCCATCTTGTGGATGCACGTCAAATTAAAAAAACTTATCACTTTCAGTAAAATCAAAGGCAAAAAATTATTAGAATACTAAATCACTGAAAGATTAGCCCAGGAAAGTTAGAAAATGAGGATGGCCCAGTCCCTTTTTCTCACGCTGATCACAACTGTCATCTTTGATCCAGCAGCTGGCATTTCGTTCTTTGTTTCGGCACTAGGTAGGGAGAGGATCAATGATGCGACTTGACTCTCTAGTTCCGAGTTCAACCTGTAAATTGTTGTTTTGGTTCTCTTTATCTCCGGTTCTCTGTGGAGGTTCTTTTTTTTATGCGCATCTGCAAGACAGAACAAAATCGTATTTTTAGTCTGAAGTTAGCTGTAAAAGCAATAATGCATCGCTAATCTTACCAACAATCACCAAAGAAAGCTGTTGAAAACATGACAAAAGGTAATAATAGGCAGATATTCAGCCACTTGTTTTTAGTGGCTCTTTTTAAAAGTATTTTTTGTTGAAGTTTTTCCTCTACTTTTTTCTCGCATTGGAAGAAAAAAGTTAATAGCAAATGTTTGTGACTTTGATTACAGTAATCTTTTGTTACTTATGAAGGTCTACCTACTTAAGAAGTTAATGTAATTTGAAATTTAACAATGCGGTACTATCCTCCTGTCGGGCCCAATTCAAACGGTCAAGCATTTCTTTCAACTTTTCTTCTGCTTTTAGTGAATGAAAAGTCAAATCATGTGATACTGACACAAGAACACAGCAGTCGGATGGAAAGTTAAACCGTATCCGCTGTCACCCTCAATTATTTGTTCAACTTTTCATCCGACAACCAGAGCCAATCAGATGGAAAGTTATACTAAAATCTTTTGACCGACACTAGCGGAAACTATATCTCAGAGAACTGGAAGCTAACTGAAATACCTGATTGTCGATGTAACGATATCGCACAACAGTAATAGAATCAAATTTTTGCATGGTTTTTTTAACTTTCCATTCACTTTTTCAACTGCTTTTGTTGGATGATAAGTGACCATGTGAATTGGGCTTCATAGCCTGCATGTTTCTTTTACGTCTTCTTCTATAGGTCTCCGAGAAGATCAGATTAGTCGCTGTCACATTTCAGGAATCAGCTTCGGCTACAGGAAGTAGTATTTTAACTCTATTTCCTGAAAATGCAATTTGGCTGTTTTTTTAAAGGAATGCAGCTTCTTAATCCCTAAGTTTTTTGTTGAAAAAAGGTAGCACTGTTTACAATGAGAGATCATTATAAGTGAATTCAAGACTATTTTTCTATGAAGTAGCTAAGAATAGCGTAGTACCTGACTGAAGCTCATTTTTTTACCTCCTGATTATTTTAATAAACTTTGTTCCATAACTGCTCTTGCTTTAATTTATTTCAAATTAGTTTCCTATATCCATCATCCTATTTCAATTCACTAACCAGCTAAGTATACGAGTTCCAAATTATTGTAATTGAGCTAAGTTTGCTTTCCTCTGATAATCACCAGTCAAAATAGATTTTTCAAAAATAGGTATTATCTTTAAGGCGAAGGCTACGTGAAAAAAGTAACTGTTTTCTGAAAAAAACTTCTGTCAAGGCTGTCTTAATTTTTATTTGTTTAAATTTTTTTTTCCTTTTGGTAGATAAATAAAAACCCTTAGTCTAACAGATTCTGAGATAGAGAAAGAAATTAAGCACCACAGCGCACATTTTCTCTTTGAAATTGCACCTCGAACACAGCGAACACATCATAATTTTCCAAATGCCTCTCATATTAGCTTTTTCAGTGTTTTTCAGTAGAAACTCCTGCTTGCTGAAAAACCGTTAGCTGCTCAATTCAAATTGATCACTCAGCTATGCTTAGAATCAAATTCCATGTAATTAAGTATATGCTGAACGTAATAGTTTGTTTTTCATGGGCGTTTTAACCAAAATTGATTTGAGTTCTTTCATGTATGTGGAATGCTCAAATTGACCTACCAATTCTGATGTGAACTAATGCAAATTTCTCATGTACAGGTTGATTTTAGACCTTTTAAAGGCAATGAAGGTGTTTCATGTGAAGTTTTTATTAGAAAATAGGTAAATCACGTAATGCTTCAATTTTTACTTTGTTGAATTTTGAATTTATAGTATACATCCAACATCTTCCATCCAAATAAGTCTGGGAGGAGTGCTAGGTTTCTCATAATCTGTAGCTCCACATGAATCTTGCAGATTTTCTAGAATAAGAAAATAATAAAGAAGCCGATTTTATGATTCTGAGATCCCCCTCTGATTCTGACAAAACTTGAAATTGTTTACCTATGATACCTATCAATGGTGTAACTTCTAAACCATATTGCTTAAAAATGTGCATTCTTTTTTCATATTTTTTAAAACAAATACCGCTCAACATTCTTGTGAAAAATTTTGCGAAAATAATTTTAAAAGAGCAAGATTAATCAAACACAATTTTGTGCATAAAAAATTAGGTCCTCTTTTAAAAAGTTAAGTGTGACAGAAGGTTTGCAACATTGCAAATCTTTAACAACAACATCTTCTTGCAATCATCAACATTGCTGGATTGCCTGGATGTTTTTGTAATCTCACTATTGTTCTTTTGGCCCCTTCTAATATTCTTCTGAATAACTTTTTTTTTTTTTTTTTTTTTTTTCAAATAGCCCACAAGGGCTAATTTTTTTTTTTTTTTTTTTTTTTTTTTTTTTTTTTTCACTACTTCAAATAGCCCACAAGGGCTAATCCCACGCTTTAAGTCCCATCCCCCCTCCGTCCCTACTGAACCAGCCCCAGGCAACCATTGTTTGAGACCATCAAACTCGGGTCGCCTGGCCGGGAATCGAACCCGGGACCTCCCGATTATAGAGCAAGCGCTACAACCACTATACCATAGGAGGCCGACTGGATGTGGGAGAAGAGACGCATCATTTTCAAAATAGAGGCTGTAGATTAAAAAATATTGCCTTCAATTCTAGTTAGCAGCCAAATCCCAGAGCCTGTCTCAAAAATTGGTCTGAAATTTTTTTCCTTGTTTCCAAGTTCCGGCATCTCAACTGAAATATGCTATTAACAAAAATAGGTTTCAGAAAGAAGAGGGACACAAAAACTGGAGTACGGACCATTTCTGGTCACTTGATTTCAAAATGCTGTTTACTCTTATTAATACAAAAAAAAAGAGAAAGAAAACTGTATTGAACTTGAACACTACATTTATTGATGAAAATATGAATAGAATAGTCGCGAAAATCTCATTTTTCAGAATTTTTGCCTGTTTGATAGGTACTATATATTTCAGTTGAGATGCTTAAACTTGGAAACAAGGAAAAAATTTCCAAACCGATTTTTGAGACGGGCTCTGGGATTTGGCTGCCACCTAGAAGAAATGATCTGGGGGGTGGGGGGGAATTAATCGTCTAGGAGTTAAAAAATCCAAGAACGAAATTGGCTGAAATGATGCTGAAAGCGCCTTGCTTTAATATATTTCTCATGGATGGGCCTTTGCACCAACTTTTTAGTTATCCCTGCAAAGTTCGAGAATGATACTTTGTCAAATGTTCCTTGGTAAAATGCCAATGTATTTAAACGTGATTAATCAATTTATTTATTATAGGCACTTATCGAGTTTTGCTTTACTATAAAATTACTGATTTAACTTACTTAACTATTACTTCTTTATCTTGGCTCACATTTCAGAGTATCACATTTATTCATATTTTAGCGGGAATGTTCTCCTTCTCTTCCATTGGCTGTTCAAAATAAAACCTCAGTTGTGACCAAGTAGTCAAATAAAAATAATTCAAAGGTACATGGAAGCTATCACCACAAAAAGTTACACTGATACACAAAAGAATGCCGTTAAAACACAGCGAATTGTGTAAAATACTGTAGCACATAAAAAAATTCAATCATTTTTTCACAATTTTTCATACCCGAGTTTATGGGAAGTTCAATGAAATCTCTTGGACTTTTGAAGTTCGGACTTGTGCGACCATGGCGAATGGTGATGTGTTACCCAGAGTTGCATTTTGGACAACTATTTGGAATATTCAGAGGACATCTTCTATTGCAGAGAATTCAATATTTTCTTGAGAAATGGCAACTTTGCAACTATGTGTCAACTTCTTGCAGCCTATTTGGGAATCATGTTTCCCTCCTTCCCCCCCCCCCCCCCTCTCTCTCTCTCTCTCTTTCCACGGTAATCGCGAACCGCGAGTGTACATCAATATTTATCGGTTTTAATCGTTCAAAATGAGGATTTATAAGGATCTCATCACAGGTAAATTAATTTACAGCTTCTTTTAGATGTACGTCAATTTCATTTCAAGAGCTTTTGCTCTTTTTAAAGGTCTCTAAACTGAATTCAAAAATACGTGTCTGTGCAACACCTTCCAGGTCAGCGACATTGCTGCCAAAGGGGTTATTCCAGATTTTGGAAAATCGCCCCTTATCACTCACTAAACAACTCTTGCTACTCATTAATCCACCTGTCATGACAGTAAATTTTTCATTTGATGGCTCTTTTCATTCTATAGCAGCATCTTTACTTCCAAGTCACATCGTTATCTTTAAAATTTGACGAGGCCGAGATTGATAGAGGTTATCAGTTGCATGTAACTCACAGTTCTTTATCATCTCAATTTATTTCGCTCACCTTTTCTTAGTTAGAACGGCTTGGACTGCACCTCTTAACTTAATGCAGCCCTTCTGTATTTAATTTCATTTGAGCAGTCATAATATGTTTCCGTCTCATGATAACCTGTAACTGGGCCGCCTGTGAAAGTAACAGGGTTCCTTTGTTCAGACTGAGGCCCTGATCAAGCAATCATCAGGGATGTGCTGTACGCTGTATGCTTCTTCATTCACTTCAGGTCCTAACCTGATTCACTCATGTGTCCTGATAACAGAGCGTAACGAATCGCGAGAGGGCATTATTTCACCGAAACGTGAACTGGCCATTGTTAAAGTGGTTGGGTCATCAGGGTTTTTTAGGTGATCGGAAAAGTATCAATTCACCTTGACAACTTCTTCCTCCCAGGAACTTGTGACAAAGCTCTTTTGCCAATTTAAAATCCTGTCTCCTTCAAGCTATGTTATGATCCAGAGAGATGTTTACCAAGCTCGTCTAGCAAAAGTAAATTAGAAATGATTTCACTATTGGTATATTCTTGATAAAACTGTTATTACTAAGTAAACATGATTAGCATCTCATAGTTTTTCTCTGTTTTTCTTGTTTTCAGGTGATGAGATGTTCTCTGACACCTACAAAATGAAATTAGTAGATGAAGTTCTGTATGAAGTCTACGGGAAGGTAAGATACTTTCCACCTTTGAGTTGTTCCTCCTTCAGATCATACTCTAAGTGAGCTCAACTCCAGAATGTTGCGGATGTGCATAAACTGCAACTGTAAAGTTCATAACTCAAATTATGGTCGGACATCGGCACATCATGCCAAATTTGAGCTATATAAAAGAGGACATCAGTAACCTCCCCTCGTCAGTTCGTCATTTGCACCTGAACAAGTTGGAGGTTTGGCTAAAATTGTGGCCTCCAAAGTTTGTGCATAATTTTTTTCAATTTTTTTTTAATGAGTTTAGAGTGTTTCAGTGGTTTATCATCAATTGCAAATGAGAGGCTTGGAGCACAAGGCGCATTACTTAGTGCAGTTTTTGAAAATATTGAGATATTAATGATTTCAAGTATAATCAGTCTTAATGCATCTTCTGTTAAAAATTTGCTCCCAAATTCAAATTTTTCAGCATCGAAAAGTCAGTTGGAGCTTTCTTTCAACCATAAGGATCCATGTAATTTTGAAACTTCGAAATAGCAAATCCCGTACTTGTGCGCCTTGTCCTCCAAGCCCCTCAAATGAAGTTGAATAATTTACGCAGGAATATAAGTAAAGCTGAAGAATTGTTTCTACCAAATATGTTCCAATTTTATCACTTTAAGTAAGTCAAGTTTCCATGTGTTGAATGGTCAACAATGGTTCTTAACTAACCCTGAATTTAACCCTCCTTTTTGTTTTTAGTATGAGTCAAGGAAGCATGGTGAAATCCAATTAGATGGTTTCAATCCATCTGCCGAGGAGGCTGCAGAAGGTACAGATGAAGCCACTGAAAGTGGAGTAGACGTTGTCCTCAACCACAGATTGTGTGAAACCTTTGCATTTGGAGATAAGAAATCATACACCGCTTACTTGAAAGATTATATGAAGAAGTAAGTCAGTCAAGTTCAATATTTTAATTAATTTTATTTTTGATTAGTCAAAGTTATTTAAATGTGAAGGTAAGCACCATTTTGATGCATAGTGATCATAGACATGAAGGCAGTACTGGGAGCAAGAAATGAAGCCACCTCTCCTACTGGATTCTTACGCCGGCTTCACCTTCTCTCCATGCTTTTAGATACGAGTGCTCTGTCTTTATGTTTTTGATACTGAATACCTCCCATTTTAGGCTTGTGACATTTTTTCATCATATTGAAACCATTCTTTTAAAAATTAGATCTATAGAAATTAGGTGCCGGTTTCATGAGAAATGTTGTTTTGGTGCCTTAAAAGTAAGAATCACCTGGATTGTCCTATTTGAGTCTCGGAAATTATTGTTCCAAATCAATCGACCGCTTGTAACCTGCTACAATTTATTGGAAATCCAAAAGTCCAATTACAAGTTAAGTCTTTTGACTTAATTTCCCTCATTTTATTCTGAGTAGGAGTTTAGAATAACTGGGGGCTGATCATCAAAAGTTAAAACCAGCTCGATGAAACATCCTAATGGGACATATTCCATGGTTAAGATTTCTTGTCCGTGTCTTGTCTTGCCAGCATAGTTTTAATTATCGGGCCACTGAACTGAAAGTGCTATCTCTAAAACTAGCTCTTTTTGTTTTCCAGATTATGTAGCAAATTAGAAGAAACAAATCCCGATCAGGTTAATGTTTTCAAAACAAACATGAACAAAGTAATGAAAGACATTCTTGGAAGATTTAAGGAATTACAGTTCTTCACAGGTAAGGATCGGCTATTAGTTCATTTGTAATCAGCTGTAATTTGAATTTGAATTCAATCCTTTGTCTCCAAGTTATGTAGATGGAGCAGTGGTAACGAATTTTTGCAAGGTCCTAATATGATTTTTCCAATGTAAAATTTTGTGAAAAAACTGGAAAGTTAAAAAAAAAATTCCTAAAAGAAGAAAAATCTGATCGAAAGCCAACAGTCGAGTTGAAGTAGCAAAGCAATGCTTGAAGCTGAGTTTTTCAGCTGAGAGAGTCCTGCCTTGCGATTTCTCAGAGCCGCCAAAATTATCGTTACTAACTAATTTTTATAAGAGGATTTCTCTGCCAACTAGGTTAAAAAAAAATTTGAAAGAATTCCTAGGAGCTAAATTTACTTCATACTTCCAGAAAGTGAATTAAAATAATGATTCCACTTTGGAGAGCTAAGACTTCCCTGTATCCCAACCCTTTTAAACATGTTCAAATTAGATAGAGATTCTGCATCCAATCCTTGTTAATAGACTGATCTAGTGGCCACGTCATTTGACAGAATATCGAACTCAGTGTTTCCAACCAAAATAAGTAACATAAGCTCATATACAAATTCAATGCGAGTTAATTTTATCAAAATTATGTCATTGACAGATCATAAATCAATTAAAGACTCTTTTAAAAGGAGAAATTTCGAACGGAAAGGAAACACTTAAACTCATTTTACCACTATGGCGCTAATCCGAGATAAGGTTATGTGTATTTTTACAATATTGAACCATGACATAGCCACTTTAGCAGTGGCGTGGCATGAATGATCGATTGTCGATATTTCCCCATTTGAAGCTATGGTAAAGAATTGATTATTAAGGTGTTTTTTGCGAACACCCTGTATATCGATCCTTTTCCGTAGGTTTAAATTGCTGATCAATCGATGAATTGCATAGCACGCCAAGCCACTGCTGTTAAGTATCTATTAATTCATAAGTTATATATTATTATAATTAAAAAGTCTATTATCCTCAATTCATTGCTCTTCCAATGTAAGGTCGTATCTTAATTTCCATTTCATCTCTGTTTTACTCGAGTTCCATTCTTTCTGGGATTCTTACAGAAAGTGAGGTGTGCCCTCACATCAAGAAAGCGATGAATCGCCTATAGATGTATGATCTTTTTCTCAATAGGAAATCATGTAAACTTATTACCTCTCATAATTTGTTCCTCCTCTCATTTTCAGGAGAATCAATGGATTGTGATGGTATGGTAGCTTTAATGGAATATAGAGATATTGGTGGTGAATCAGTGCCCGTTCTAATGTTCTTCAAGCATGGTCTCTTGGAGGAGAAATTCTAGCACAATTTATACCTTTACCTCAATTTACTGAATCCATTTTTACTCATGTGTATTTTATGTAAGTATGTCAGGATCACCATTTTCTTAAATATCTTTCTTGTCAGCCAATCAGTAATTTTATAGGCACACCCATCACCAACTCAGTGATGTATAATTTTTTCCCACCATCAGCAATCGATGCTGCATATTTTGGAAACCTTATAGCTACCTAGTCACTTTCCTACCCTGTCCTTCAGTTTAAAGGATTTTCAAGAAGTAATTTGTGGTTTAAATCAAGAACAAAAGGACATTTTTTTACCAAGAAAAATTTTTCCCTGTTTTCAAAATATTTCTCTGCAAAAAGGTGTTTACTTGCTATGAAAAGCTAGTAGGGTCAGAAAAACTCGAATGATAGGGTAGGGTGGAGCGTTTTATCCAGAAATCATCCAATATAATTTGGCCGTTTAGCGATTAATGCTGCTTGCTAATACAAAAAAAAAAGAAAGGTCTTGTTGTATACGTTTCAAAAATGCTATCTCATGTAAATTAATTGAGTCTATAAGGCTGAGTTGGTAATTGCAAATTATTTAAGTGTGCAAAGAGTCAATCCTAAATACATTGTTGAGATATGGTGCTTGCTAGGTGGACGCAGAACTAGACTCATGGTGGGCTGTTGCAAGCTAGATATTCAATTTGGGTCCATGAAAATTAACTCAACAGAGCTACTTTTGATTGTTGAATAAATAGAAAGAAGACCCATTTGTATCAGTAATAATAATGAAACAATAAATTTTAAATATAATAGTAATGAATATTAACCCTAAAAAATGACAAATACGGACAGACTTGAACCCAGAACTGATGGCCTGATCGTTAGATGCTCTATCTGTTCAGCTATTTACACCTGCATTATCAATCCTAGAATCAGCAATATTTTAAATATTGAGTCTTCGAACACCCTTCCACTCTCAACAGCAACACAGCTGATTAATTACGTGAACGCTGAACTTTTGAATATGGATGATTTTCCAGCGCTTTTGATCCCCTACCTTCCTAGCGCCCTTCCCCCCTCTCCTAGATATACAGTCTTCCATGGCTAGAAAAACTTCATGGGTAGACGCCACAATGAATTTCGAATAGCTGCCAGTTGATGTCTTGTGACAGCAGCTTTTTGCAGAATTTATCAAGAGTGAAACTTTCCTCAGCCTTTGAAGAACTTAGGAGGCACTGACGATACTTTTAAAGGCTACAATAATTCTTTTCACAAAAATTCTTATTGGAACCATTAAAGGATTTAGGAATCCCCGCTGTTCGCAAATTCTCCATTCAATCAGGTGATTTCTTGAAAAATTGCTCTACCCTAATGAAGGGGGGGGGGGGTCCCATGCCTAAAATGTTGCTGAGTGTGAATGAACCTGGATAAGTTGTAAGGATTCTTTTTTAGTTAGTTTGAAAAAAAATAAGATGAAAAGTACTAATGTTTTGTTTCCCTCTTTCATTCTTTTTTTGTAGATAAAACAAGAAGCTTCCATAAATTATCTGTTGTGCTGACTCAACTACTTTCCTGATGGACTCCGCCGGTTTCTATACGAAAAATGTCTTCAAAATGGCACAGTCAAGTCTTTGAATGAATATATTGTAACATCAAATCGGCACTAATCTTATCATCTTTATTCAATGAAATTCGATTAAAACCGATGCAACTTTTGCTAATTGGGTTCTTGCCTTTTCTTTCTTCTTTCACATGCCATGAAATTATCTGTGCATGATTTTTTTTCCCTCTGTTTCAATTTACTTACATCACAAAGGATGTGCCCCATTAAGAGGGGTTTTTTGTCCCGAAAGGTTTGAGGGTCTAAGCATGCTAGCCTTTTAGTTTAGATCCTAAAATATTGAGAAACATTCATTTTAGTTGCACCGGTTGTATCTCTAAGGAATTGCGAGCAGTTGAAGTGCACTGATTATGCAAATCACCTGCCGATTACCGTTCACTGTGCGCTGATTAGCTTGACCACTATGTGCCCATCAAACGGACTATGCTCTACATTAATGACCTAAGTATTGTAAATTATTTCAAAAACTATTCTCAGTAACTTTTGCAACTACTGAAATTGAACCGAAAAGTGACATAAGTTCACTTTTAAGTGCCAGCACAAGGGACTACCACTTTCATATTCGAATATTTTAATCTTTAGTTCACCCATTAGTCCGGGCATTATAGAAAAAATAGAAAAAAAAATTTATATATAAGGTTTTATGTGCCCAAGTTGTTCATTGGGGGGTCAGGGACTCCCAGCAAAAAGTCCCCAAGAATCCCCTGTACGCTCGACCCCCCGCCCCCCCAAAACCCCCAAAAAATCGACCTTTCCTCGGTTTTTCGTAAATATCTCTATAAGAATTGGTTTTAGCGAAAAATGAGTTATTTAGTGAATGAAAGTTCATAAAATTTCCAATAAAAATGACTTCTATGAGTTTTTTTGTAAAATGACTTTGAACCCCTCAAAATGGCCGCCGAAAAAACGGGCATTTACGGAAATTTCAGTTTTTTCCCGAAAATGCCCATTTTTCTTTGAAACGGCTGCTCTTACGTAAAAGTTAATGGCGGATTCTAAAAGAGCGTTGAATTTAACATTAGAAATGATTATTATCGATCATTTTAGACTCACGGTCGATCAACGGAAATATGATATATCGAAACTCTTCCACCCGGGCCTAACAAATCAAGTGCTGGTTAGTTACTCATTTAAGTTTACGGTTCTGCTGGAGCAAGGAAGCGTTCAATTATCATGTAATGCATCTGAAGAGGGAGGAGAGTCGGGATTCTTCCATCCAGAAAACAGAAATTGTGCATTGAGATTTTTTTTGGGGGGGGGGGCTGAAAAGTAGAAATAGAGCATTACCTACTTTATAATTGAATGATCCCTCTTTTTCACTTCGATTTGTCTCTAGTAAAGCAATAAAACACATTTTTAAATGTTCACTTTTTCACTTCGATACCTCCAGCTCCAGTACAGGTGGTTGTAAGCGGGGGGAGGGGGGGGGGCTCAGATTTTTTGAATGATTATCTTTTCAAGTATAAGGTGTTCAGGTACTACTTTGAGCTTGAATAGAGTCAATTATAAAACCGTGCTAAAGAACAAATGATCAGTATATTAATCACAAATAATATTTTCGATTTGTTTCACTTAATAATCATTGTAAAGCACTATATTTTAATTAATTACAATTACTTATTCGATAGCAAGTGGTAGCCGAATTACTTTTTTGAAGGAATGTCCAGCTGTAAAACTTAGAGAAAAGTCTTAGAATAATCGTCGTCTTTTTGGCTTAAGTGCGTAATTGCTTACAACTTTTTTTCTCTTCTTTTACATCTCTTCTTCTTGTTAGTCTTCTTCTCCTTCTTCTTCCGCCTCATTGCCGCTCAACTCTGGTGTTGCCCTCGCGTCATCCATATTGGCTTCTTCTTCCCACTCGTCTGTATTAAGCACAAGCGAGTCATCACACGAGATGCCGTTGCAATGCAAGCAAACGTTTGAACATTTCAGGCCTGTTTATCTACAACCGCACGATTTTCTGCAACCCTTAACACAGCCACAGAAAATTGCGTCCAAAACTTGTTTAGGTGCAGGCCCTAAAGTGGTTCGTACAGGAGTAAGCTGCGGATACAATTTCCACCCCCAATTTAAAGGCGAGAGTGCATTACCGCGCAACGTTTGAATTTGAAGGAATGCTCTAAAACAGTGCAATTTGGCGGCATCTTCTGTCAGCGGTAGAATTTCGAGACTACTTTTTTTAGCCGTGACTGCACCTTTTTTAAACCTGATGAAACGATGTTCGTTCAAACTTTCGATATTTTTATTTGCATGATAAAGTCCGATATATATTAATCGGACGCTGCATATTAATAATATGATAATAAATATGCAGATATATAATATGCTTGGAATAAGAATGACACAGCCACAACGCGGATCGAGGGTGGAAGTCCGTGCAACTGCTCGAGATCAGTTCTCGAACTAATCGCAAATCGCAAAACATATGAAGGAGCCCCACGGGATAAATTCGATGGGGGGCAACGAGAGGCGAGAGGGGAATTTTTATGAAACCGAAGCCCCTAAACGAGCTACATAAGCCCCCCGAGTTCTAGATAAGAAGGGCTCGTCCAGCGTTGCTAGGTATAATGCCCCTCCACACCTTGGGCCATGTATTTCAGCATTCATCATTTTTCTGTCATTTGGCAGCTACGATTCCTCCAAAATGCGAAAATGCGTAGACAAAACAAAAAACGTGGCCTCATCTTTTCACATCGACTTCTTCGCGGGCTGGGACCATGCTTATCGTTCCTGTATGTTAAACCGTTGCGCGGCTAAGCCGGAGGAAGGGTAATGGGTGCCCCCCCCCACAATCACTACTCCCTTCCCTCCGATGATGGCCTTAAGTGGGAGTAAAAGGCTAATACAAATGACCCCCGAGTGAAAAAAGTATGATTTTAGTGTCATTAGAACCCCGGCCGCAAATGTTTAACTACCTAGCACTTGATTTGTTAGGCCCGGGTGGAAGAGTTTCGATATATCATATTTCCGTTGATTCGACCGTGAGTCTAAAATGATCGATAATAATCATTTCTAATGTTAAATTCAACGCTCTTTTAGAATCCGCCATTAACTTTTACGTAAGAGCAGCCGTTTCAAAGAAAAATGGGCATTTTCGGGAAAAAACTGAAATTTCCGTAAATGCCCGTTTTTTCGGCGGCCATTTTGAGGGGTTCAAAGTCATTTTACAAAAAAACTCATAGAAGTCATTTTTATTGGAAATTTTATGAACTTTCATTCACTAAATAACTCATTTTTCGCTAAAACCAATTCTTATAGAGATATTTACGAAAAACCGAGGAAAGGTCGATTTTTTGGGGGTTTTGGGGGGGCGGGGGGTCGAGCGTACAGGGGATTCTTGGGGACTTTTTGCTAGGAGTCCCTGACACCCCAATGAACAACTTGGGCACATAAAACCTTATATATAAATTTTTTTTTCTAATCGCCGATTTTTGATCTAATATGCCTGGACTACATTGTAACATATTTAAAAGAGTAAATGGTAGTTGCTTGTGCTCATACTTAAGCTATCTAATTTAGGACTGAAAATGAGCAATTAATCGAGAAAACTGCAAAACTTCACTACCTTGCGCTGGTAAATCAGGCAAAAACCTTTCAAAAACACCTCAATAAGGACAAGTTCTCACAGGGTAGATGATCAAGAGTAGATTTGACCATACATGACATTATTCTAAGCTGTTTCAATTTTCAACCAAAGTTAGGGCCAAAATACCCTTCTAAATGGGACACATCTTTTGATCTTGAAGTCCTGATGAATGAAACTACCCTTGTCTGGCAAAATTACTTTCCTATTGAAATTGCAGTGTGATCAATTTTTATTTAACATTCAAATTGATTTGACAAACTTATAGTGATACTAAGGCAAGGGGGGGACTGCGCCTTCTGATGGCTTCGAAAGTAGAACCAAATAAGTGCATATAAGAAAAAAATAGATAAAGGTAGGAATAAAAAGTAGAGAAAGTTCAAATTCACAAATGCAAGTTTTTTAAAGAATCGGAGAAAGCTTCTCTGGACTAAGTGCATTCTTTTTTTCCAAGTATTACCAAAAAGCTCATTGAAGAATACATGATGCTCCTGCCAATTGCCAGATTACCATACTGGAAGCTAAATGGTAAAGCCAAATATGTACTAATGAATTGAATTTTATTTTCTAAGAGCTGGAGCACTAACTTTCATTTTAGACTGAAATGTCGTTGGTTACTATACTAATATCAAATTCCCCTGAGAGCTTGCTTGGACAGTGAATTTTGATTATCTTTCACTCAAACAAATCATAAGCAAGTAAAACTATTAATTCTTGTCCGGACATGTGGCTCTGATGTCAAGAAGTTTCAGAGATTAACAATCGTCAAAAGTTCTGATAGCAGTTGGAATTATGGGTGCCCTGATTCCTGTTCCAAGTCTTCAAATCCTGATGACTGTCTACCATCAGTTTCAAGTAGTACACATGAATAATAATGATATTTTCATTCGGACACTCTGCACCCCTGAATTAAGTAAATGGCTCCGTTTTTTCTCAAGAGGATGCAATAAGAGGCTGAGATTCTTGGCATAAAAATGTTTAATAGTCAAAATTACAAATTAGTGGAACAATCATTGATTCTATACACGATCTCAACCGCTCTCAGCAGCATCAGTCTTCTGTTTCTTATTTTTGTTGGATTTCTTCTTCTTTTTCTTCTTCTGGACTCGCTTGCGCTTTTGACCGCAGTCATTGGGGTGCCTGGAGCCAAATTTGCAGAATGTCACTTTGATGGAGGATCCGCCTATCTTGAGTTTCGTCAGCTCAGAAAGTTTCTGGAAAAAGAGCCAAATCATGATTAACTTTGGGACCCTCCAATTACGATGTATGGTTGCTGATGTATTGCAACCGGTTCCCCTCTGCAGGCCAATTATAGAAATTTTGTGTTTGTTGGGCAGACATAGATGACAAAGATTAAATGGCGGCGCGTGATTGATCCACTATATCTTTTCGCTGCTTTGTGGGGTGGAATAGACGGCGTACTGTCGGAAACTCAAGAGGTGCCTTTAGCTTGTCGTGAATTCCACCTAACAAAGGCACGACAAAGCAGCGATAAAACATAGCCGACCAATATCGCTCCGCTGTTTAACCTTCGTCATCTATGTCCGCCCGACAAACACAAAACATTAATTGGCCCGCTGGTAAGATAAGTCTATTACACAGAACATGCGGAAAAATTACAAATAACTTAAAAAGAATCCTCAATCTGAACGTTCTGTTATATGTAAATCAATGCAACTTGAAAAGTAGGATCCTGGGGGTAGAATTTTCTGCCTCTGGGTGAATTTCGTGTCATCCTTGGATTGAAAGAAAGTACATACTCCAATAACACCGAAACTTAGGAGCAGTCATAGAATTTTTTCAGGGGGAAATTAGAGTGTTGATAATTACTTGAAAGCAATTTTAATAGCCAGATTTTAACTTATTATTTTTCAATTGAAGCGCCGGGTGCAGAAAAGGCACCCTGCGTCAGATGCGGTGTCTCAGAATCTCAATTTGAGTTTCATCCATATTATTAAAGCTAGTCTTCTTTAATTGGTTAAAACTTTGACCAAATATTCCTTATCAGTTAACAATGGGACAGTTAACTTGGCGACATGTGGAAGCTTTTACTTTCGGGGATTCAAAAGTTCCTTATGGACAATTAAAAGGGAGCAACAGTCATCACCCTAATTTCGGCTGTTGACCTACCTACATGGTAGATGATGAGCTTCGGGTGATGTCATGGGCCAAACAGGTTTCCCAAACTTCGGCCATTTTCGGTTTGTTTGCAGAACGAAACTGCCAACACATTGTTGAACATCAACCATGTAGGTAAGTCAACAGTAGAAAGCTGAAGTCCCGAAAGTAAAAGCTTCCACCATGACCAAGATACTAGTAGAGGATCTCTTGTCTTTGACAATGCTCCACAGAAAAATTTGAGAAAATTCACCGAATAGATTCCTCTTCAAAATATGTGAGAAGCGGTGGAGATTGGAAACACTGCAACCAACGGAGAGGACCCATCGCCTCAATTAGCGTTATCACCATTTTTGGATTATTGGAGGAAAATGGAATCATTTAATCCTCAAGTTCGGGAAAATGCACAATCTTCTGAAATTTTGTAAAGCAAATACATGTCGAACTTGGGGGGGAGTCGAAAAAGTCTAAGTCCAAAGAATTTTTAGCTTCACATTAACACCCAGCTGTCGTTGTTTGCCACCTTCATGAATTAGATGCTGCCTACATCTTAATATCAGGCCTATGAGGCCATCAAGGTTTCAATGAGTAAAGTTTTCTCTAATAATTGGTGATGTCTTGAGGCGATGTCAGAGCAATGAAGAGAAACTTACATTCTAAATGCACCTTTAATTTATAAAAATTGGTCAATGAAAATCAATTAATGCTCAAGTTATAATGGGAATTTTTTTCCTTCATACACTATCATTAATGCACATAAAAACAGATCCGGTAAATATGTAGTTTCCAAAAAACAAGTGCGAGAAGATAGTTCGATGTTAGATGGAAGAGAATTTTTTTGTGCTAGAACTGGGGAAAGAAAAGAAGAGACAAATGTCACATCCAAAACTTGCACCATTCAACAGATATTTACAAGCGGGATCGTTATTCCTGCGAAAAATAGTTTTCCGTAACCCGCCATACACTTTAGTGCACCGCTATAGTGGCCACAGAATAATAGCTCTCGCACCGACTCTACATTCACGACTTATCAGTTATCAGCGATTGGGAATCCCACGTTTATTTTCTTGCTCTTTTCCTCTTTCCCCTACTTTCATCGTTGTCTCCACGGTCAGGCCAGTCGGTGATAGCTGTATGCCTTCCAGGCTTCCCTCCGGTTCCATATCTTTTCCCCATTCTTCACCACACCGCAATCGGTGGCGAGGCGTGATTAATCGATTATCGATATTTCTCCATTTGAAGCCATGGTAAAGAATCGATTATTGAGGTGTAAACACCCTGTCTATCGATCTTTTTCCATAGATTTATATGGTAGATCAATCGATATATCATAAAGCACGTCACGCCACTGACTGTAACAGTGTTGAGAGGTGTAGTGAGCCACAACGTGGACATATTGGATGAGGAATGGATCCCTTGAAAATAAAAGTTAGGTTCATGCTTAAGCGCCCGCAGTAGGTCATCTACAGCCAAGGCCAAGCTATCAAATATTAATAGCATGTGACTAGATTTTTTTTTAGCTGTAACTCAAAATTTTCGCTCCTATTTTATTTTTTGAATAAATATTACAATGAAGGATGGGTGCCAGTAAAGTCTGATTTGAAGTAACTTTAGCTGCTGAATCCGAAAATGGCCTTGATTTTAAATATTATGCACCGTTTTCCCAAAAAAAATTGAATCAAAATTGAATTTCCCCACAAAAAACTCCATTTTTTTTAGGAACCTCATTTTGTGGGAAGATAATGGGTCAACGCAAAAAAACTAAGGTCAATTTTGAACACAGCAATACAAATTACACAGAAGCTTGTCAACTATCTAGTCTACCATAAAATCCACCGTGTTCAGATTTTTTTCATTTTTGGAGACCTGTATTTTTCTATGATCAGTGACTTTTAAGTGCCTACTATTCCTAAAATATTTAACTTACTGAGCGAATATGGGCGCTTCTTAATGCTTTAGTGTCTAAACTACAAGAATACTATATGGTAGAACGGTCAAATCTGTCCACCACCCCCCTCCCCCAAGGGTGAGACTTACTTGTTTAAATCTAATCAAATGTTGCACGGTCTTAAAATGGTTCCATGTTCTAAGAAAACGCCAAAAGGATTTGGAAAAAAAAAAAAAAATTAACGCGGCCCGCACAGCACCTACAGATCGTTACCTATTTTTCCGATATTTTTGGCATTTTAACCGTCTTTTTTTTTAGTTTAGTTAGTGACAAAGATTTGACGCTAAATGTTAACGCCAAACATGGAGATGGATAAATGGAGGTGTTGCATGTGTGAGGAATTTGCGATTTGACTATTGATTCTTATGTAAAAGTCCGCGAGAAACACGATGGTCCCACTGATTTTCTCTGAAATCAACTCCCAAGCTCCAAAAACGGTCTCAAAGTTGAGGCTGTAATGATCCTGAGAGTCCACGTCTACGTAAAGACAAACTCTCCATGCAAAGATAGGGAGCAAATATATTAGCAGGGTAACTGAAAGCATAAGGGTTGCCGTGCTTTCGTTGCTGCTCGTGCTTTTAGAGTCCCCAAGTAAAGTGGCAGCCCTGTCAATGTATTTGCTCCCTATCTTTGAATAGAGAGTTTGTCTTTACGTAGAGGTGGACTCTCAGGATAGCGTGGGATATTCAGGGTGATCCAAAAGTCCCTTCCACCCCCTCTAACTTTTTACCTAATTGAGGTAAAGATTTGAAACTTGGGGGATGTTCCTAGGTCAAAGGGAGCTACTTTTTGGCCCCCCTAAAATTTTCAGGGGGGCCCTCCTTGGAGGGGCAATGGACCCCAACTTTTAATTTTCAAATGGGAAGACCCCTTTTGTGATAGCTCGTTCGAAAGAGCATAAAAAAAGAAAACTTTTCGCGTAAACCCGAAGTCAATATCTTTAACCGTTCCAAAATGGCGGCCGGTTAAAGTTCAAAATGGCTACAAATTCACATCGGTTATTTGTCGATGGATTTGCGCGAAAATCGGTATTAAGGGGTATTTTGACACGAGAAAAACGAATTTAACGTTAGATTTTCAAAAAACCGAAATTTCCAAAATGGCCGCCGGTTAAAGTTCAAAATGGCCAAAAATTGATTATTTTGGAAATCTAAGTTCAAATGTGTTTATCTAATGCCAAAATACTCTCAAATTCCAAGTTTTAGGCAAATCTATCAGCAAAAAACCGAACTGACCATTTTCGGTCATTTTGAACTTTAACCGGCGGCCATTTTGGAAATTTCGGTTTTTTGAAAATCTAACGTTCAATTCGTTTTTCTCGTGTCAAAATACCCCTACATACCAATTTTTGCGCAAATCCATCGACAAATAACCGGTGTGAATTTTCGGCCATTTTGAACTTTAACCGGCCGCCATTTTGGAACGGTTTGAGATATTGACTTAGAGTTTGCGCGAAAAGTTTTCTTTCTTTATGGTCTTTCGAACGAGCTATCACAAAGGGGGTCTTCCCATTTGAAAATTAAAAGTTGGGGTCCATTGCCCCCCCAAGGGGGGCCCCCCTGAAAATTTTAGGGGGGGCCAAAAAGTAGCTCCCTTTGACCTAGGAACATCCCCCAAGTTTCAAATCTTTACCTCAATTAGGTAAAAAGTTAGAGGGGGTGGAAGGGACTTTTGGATCACCCTGTTTATTCTGGATAATACTGTGGTTTCCTTTTTTATTCAAACTTTTGGTGAAATTCTCAAGCAGATCATTATCATTTAAGTGTTTTTTTTATGAGTATTTTTGAAAACAAGCAATGAAAGAGAAATTGTATTATTCTTCTTAAATTACCGAAAACTTGGGAGAAAAATTGGAATGGTGAAATTAGACCTCTTAAGTAGAAACAGTAATAGCCCATGCCTCTATGCTCATAATTTCAATGTGACTAACTTCATACCCTAGTATTCTATGCTGAACTTTTATTGAAAAAACCTGAAAAATTTGGATAGGGTCTTCTACTACATGAATTCGTTGCTTATTTTGATCAAAAGTAGCACTGAGCTTACTGCCAAAGCCTGAAATTCACTCCTGCTTGACTGACAAAACTTGTGTAACAATTACCACGATTTGAGTTTCCTACGAGCATTCCCTTCTTGGAGAGGGGTTCAGAAAAGTTTGGCAAAGCAGCACAAGTTTACGCTATTTTCAGGTTCAAAGTTTATTAATCGTACTGAGTAAAAATTGTAAAATTGAACGTATTGAAGTAACCGACAGACTTCTAAAATTTAAGAAAATATAAAAAATTAAAGCCTTTAGAAGCATCCAAGCACCATTATTTCCATGAGAACCGCGTCAGTGCTGCGGTTTACACGAGGTTAAGACGTGGGTCTAAAAATCCATCCTAAAAAATAATCAGACAAGAACCTGAAAAAATAAGAAATAACGAGCGGGCCTCTTTTTTAACTTTTCTCCCGAATCGGAGCGACACCTCATTGGCAGCATACAGCAGAGCATTGAGCACTCACGCTTCGCGTCATCGCGCCTTCAATTTTTCAGATGCAGCACGGACGTCCATCAAGTACGAATAGTTGTATCTCTGCGCCGTGGTGAACGCGCACCTTTTCCCTCCCTCCACATCCATATTGTGTTTGTTTCCGTTTGTCTCATTCGTAATCAGAGACAAGAGACCCTCCACTAGTATCTTGGCCATTGTGGAAGCTTTTACTTTTGGGACTTCAGCACTCAACTGTTGACTTACCTACATGGTTGATGTTCAACAACGTGTTGGCAGTTACGTTTTGCAAACAAGCCGAAAATGGCCGACGTTTCGGAAACTTGTTTGGCTCATGACGTCCTCCGGAGCTCATCATCGACCATGTAGGTAAGTCAACAGCCGAAACTAGGGTGATGACTGTTGCTCCCTAATAATTGTCCATAAGGAATTGTTGAAACCCCGAAAGCAAAAGCTTCCACCTGTCGCTAGGAGGCCAGTGGAGGGTCTCTTGTCTCTGTTCGTAATAGTGCTTCAGGCACTACATGAATATAACACAGCTGAAGGTAGGAGAGAAATGTGCGGGCCACTTTTTAAAATTCCCTTCCGAATCTGAGCGACACCTCATTGGCAGCATATAGCATAGCATTGAGAACTCACGCTTCGCGTCATCGCGCCTTCAATTTTTCAGATGCAGCACGGACGTCCATCAAGTACGAATAGTTGTATCTCTGCGCCGTCGTAAACGCGCACCCTTTCCATCCCTCCACTTCCATATTGTGTTTGTTTCCGTTTGTTTCATTCGTAATGGTGCTGTAAGCACTACGTGAATAACACAGCCGAAGGTAGGAGAGATGTGTTCAGGCCTCTTTTTTAACTTTTCTCCCGAATCTGAGCGACACCTCATTGGCAGCATATAGCACAGCATTGAGAACTCACGCTTCGCGTCATCGCGCCTTCAATTTTTCAGACGCAGCACGGACGTCCTTCAAGCACGAATAGTTGGACGTATTTCTACCAAACAGACCTATGTGCAAGTGAGAAATGTGGGGTGTGCTCGTTAGTTCTCTTTGCGTAAGAGTGAATGGGAATAATTGTGCGCCAATGACGTCAGCGGCAATGAGTGCGCACTCTAACGACGGGGAGATGGTCGTCGGGGCGCTATAACTCATGAGCCCTGTCCACAACGCTCTCTTGCCATGCCCGCGGCTCATGAGTTCCGCATTCAGTTGCACATAGGTCTGTTTGATAGAATGCAATATCCCGCTTTTCCAATTCTTCAAAAGGAACCACACCCACTTTTACATTGCTTCTTATCCAGCTTCGACGAGCACACCCCACATTTCTCACTTGCACATAGGTCTGTTTGGTAGAACTACGTCCAGTTGTACCTCTGCGCCGTCGTTAACGCGCATCCTTTTTCTCCCTCTATTTCCATGTTGTGTTTGTTTCCGTTTGTCTTATTTGTAATGTTGCTTAGACTAGAGCGGGGCATTGCGAGTTTACGACTCACGCCATTGCGTCTTACATTTTTCATGTGCAATCCATCTTGCGAGAATAGTAGTATTGTTTTTAATTGCCAAATCTTCATTATTTTTTTAAACAGTCAGTTAATCGTGTCAGATATTTATGTCAAATAAGCTATAGGGTACCAACCCCTATGAAGTTCCTTCCTTTTGGGTGCTTCAAATGCTAATCAAGGTCATCTTAGCTCTTTCGGCAAGAGATATGCCACCCTCCTCTCAACATTCTCAGTATTACTTGGTTTTACAACATCTCGATTTTATTGTTGAATATTTGGCGTTTGGCCCACCGTTGACCCTGAAAAAAATAATTTTTTCTAGCTTTCTCATTATTTCCTCCTGGTTCCTAACAATTGGCGAGATGCTTTCTACCAAAGTTAACTAATATTGAGGATTTAGATTTCTTCAATACGTCTTCAAGGACAGGCGTGTCAAATATAGCGTAGAAGATTGTATTTATTTTTATTAAATTGTTTTACAATTAGGTCAAATGAAATAAAGAAATCTCATATGGAGCCAGACTATAGCTTTGAAAGGCTTTGGGCTTCAACTTTTTTATTTTGTTGGTATTGATGTATTTTTGTTATACTTTGTTTCTACATTTCTGTTGACCTATGATTTTTTTTAAATGCTGTTTCATTTCTACTCCTCTACTGATGATATAAATTATTTTAATTTCAAAGATACAAAACTTACATCTTTATTTAGGAGTTTTCTTCTTCCTGATTAATTTATTCTTTGAATTGATCACATTATTGGAAGGAACTCATTGCTTGAGACAGAAAATACATTTAATTTAAATTTAATAAAAATCTTCAATAGCATTATTTAGTACTATTCACGAAAGCTTTCGTAAGAGCAAAATATTTCATCCACAAACGACTGAAGCATTATTTACAGTTTCTTTATCTTATCAAGTTATGCCCTTATATCAAATATTTCTTTTTTTGGGGGGGGGACGAGTATTAAATAAAAGGAAAGAAAATACTATGAAGATTAAACACGATTGAAACATGATTAATATTTTTTTAATTTCGTATCATAATCAAGACAATACCTGATAAAAGGAAGTGATCCATAACAAACGACTTGTGTTACACAAGTTTTGAATATTTTGACTTTTTAAAAAGAAAGTAATATTAAAAAGAAACAAAAAATCGAAGTAATTTTCAATTAGCTCAAACACAAAGGCTGGTTGCCCCCCCCCCACTCCCCCCTGCGCCTGCTTGCATGGCGCCTTACACTGGCGCCTAGATATCAGCAGGGCCAGGGCGCCAAGAGCGATGGATCTTCTGTCCTCTTCGAAATGAAATTAAACTAACCGACTGTTGACCCAGTGAGACAAGTCTTGTCTTCCGTATCAGTAAAATTGGGCGACGGATTCGATCAGATATGACGTGTGATCGTATATTCCGGATAATCGCAATTTGATGCATGCTGCAATGAGGGGAAACGAAGATGTGAGAGATACGGTCGGAGAAGGTGCGATATCAATGAGGGGAAAGGCTTTCTTCTCTAACATGACTTCGAGCCCGGGTAATCTCCTGTGGTCAACTGAGTCATGTACGGCGGGTTACGGAAAACTATTTTTCGCAGGAATAACGATCCCGCTTGTACATGCTAACCAATAGGCCAACTGATGATTGATGCATCTAGACTAAGGTCACTTTTGTCTCTTCTTTTCTTTTCTTTCCCCAGTTCTAGGAGAGCGAATGAGGTAACGATTAACAAGCTTACCTTGTGGAGTTCTTCACTGCCATTCTGGAATAATACAACGCTATTTTTTTCACTGAACTCGAAATTAAGTTCATCCTCATCGAAATTATGACCCTCGTCTGCTAGGGCTTTTAACACATCAGCTTTAGTCACACTGTTGAGAAAATGAAGTCATTGTTGTATAGATGTCACGAAAAACAAGGGGAGCAAGTGAATAAAAATCTATGGAAACCAGACTTCTAAAATACCCTCGCCCAAACCTCATAAGTGATAATTAATTTGTTGACTGCCACAGTACCCTATGCCGAGGCTCACAGGCTCACAGTAATGCCTTCCCCTATGGCCTCAGCAGAGGTCATATAAAATGAAACAATTAATAGAAAAATAGGTATGATCACCTGATGCCTCATATGTGATAGGTCAAGAGTATCGATGACTGAAGTGTGTACCTTGTATCTCTTTTGTGGTGTTCCAAAATTTCTGCTACTTTATTTTTTCAAGGAGAAACAAGCCTCCTTTACAGTGCTTCAAATTAATACGGAATATTCTGCTAATCAAGAGGGAAAATCAAGGAGGGTTTCAAGAAATTACATTGACAAGTTTTCCAAAGAAAAATAAAATATGACAGAAAGTCTGCATTCTGTAATGTCGCAAACAGAGATACGCAGTTTCGCATTCCGACCATCGATGTGGCACTAATGGCTGGCAACATCATAGGAGGGTTATAAAGGACCCCGCACCTCTTATGGGAAGCTGCACCACGACCGATTGCCTTCTGACTTCTGTTTTTCGATTCTCCTCAAGATGCTGATCAAAAGTTATAATTGCGCCAACTTTCTACGATGCACCGTTTTCGCAAAAAACCTAAGAGAAGATTCAATTATTCGGCTATAAAAAGCCAGAAAGATTCCTCATTTCAGTACTCGAGTGAACAAATCAGGGGAACTCCCGCACTGAGCGGCAGTCTTATCTCGGATTCCGCTCGCCGTTTTGCTCGACCATCCAAATCAGATTCTTGAGGAGCATAAGAACAGGAAAGTCTGAACGTCTACCGGGCGAGTGCGGGAGAGAGATAGCCTCTGAGTCGGCAGGTACAGATAAGAAGACGGACACGCGCTACGTTTTTTCCTTATTTACATCGGGCCTGTCCTCAAATGCTTTGTTCTTTTTTATTCATAGTCGCCGACTAATTGGATCTTCTCTTGGTTTTTTGCGAAAACGGTGCATCGTAGAGAGTTGGCGCAATTATAACTTTTGATCAGCATCTTGAGGAGAATCAAAAAACATAAGTCAGAAGGCAATCGGTCGTGGTGCAGCTTCCCATAAGAGGTGTGCGGGGTCCTTGGTTAATCCAGAGTGACAACTGGATTACATTTTGCAATAAAGAACCACTATCTCTGGCTCTCCCATAAAAGCATAGGTATATCTGCATAGGAAAGCCAATAGCATGTATGTTGTTTCAAAGAATGGGCCAGAAATATGTAGTGGTTCCTTACTGCAAAATGTAATCCACATGTAAATCCATGTGTAAAGAAGACATGTGGCAAGGTGTTGTCTTGAGGCTCATCATCGATCACCGTATTTCCTGAAGTCCTGATGACAGACATTCTTCTGGCATAACTAGAAAGAAAGCATCACATAACAAGGTGCCTTCCACTTAACAGCGAAATTGGCCCTGTCTCTCCTAAGGGCCCCAGCAGAACACTTTAAATCGACAGCGTGAGTCCGCAACTACGTATCTTGTTCGCGGTGTTTGAGAATCTCAGCCTCTATATTATTTTTTTACAGGAGAATAAATTGTCATCATTCCTTAAAGTTTTTGCAGAATTGTCTTCGCTCAGAGAGGAAAAATCACGGTAGTTTTAAAGAATTGCCGTTGAGTGGTTTTCTGTATAAAAAATAAAGTATGACGGGAAGTCTGCGACAGCGCAAAACGAGATACGAATGTGCGGACTTACACCGTCGAAATGCATCTGCCTAGCCTGAAAGCTTTCTCCCAATCTGGCACTGAGACTCAACAAGGTTCAATTTTTAATTTCGATCCTAATTTTTGGTATCTCTGGCTTTGATTTTCTTTCAGAAGAGTGTCTTAGCACTACTTTCCAATCCTCTCTGAGTCCACGCCAGATAAATTTACGTATTTCTAGACTGAGACAGAAGATTGTCTGATGTCACTTTTACATGCAAAGTAAATGGGAGAATCAAGATGGCCAATCTTCTGTCCCAGTCTAGAAGTGCGTAAACTTACTTGGCGCGGACTCTACTTCCAGTGTTTAGGTCACATTTTCAGTGTTTCTATCTCTTAGAGGTATCTAGCCCTCAATGAGTTTGAAATGCAAATTTTTCACTTGTCAATTTCTTGAGGGGGAACCTTTTCATGATGGAGTTACATCTATTTCCATTTTCTTCATTTTTTTCTTTTTCGTTTCAAAGTTGACTTGGTCTTGAGTATGAATTAATTTCATTAAAAAGTAAGAAAACATACCTGGGGTTTAGCTTAAATAGACCTAATGTGATATAATTTTTCCTTGAAACGGCCAATGGAAGTATTTTGATAGCTACGCCTCCTATTTCAAGTGCATTATCCAATTCTAAAACTTTCTGAAAAATGAAGAATAATGATGGTAAGAGGGGTATCAATGTTTTAAAAAGACAAGACCCTTTCTTCACAAGGTTAAAACAAAATTATACGTGATAAGTTACTGATATAACACATTTCACTTTCTGAAGGAATGTTATTCTATTGTTCCATGTAGTCTGAATACTGTTCATTTTCCTCTTATGGGTAATTGAGTAATGCTGGTTAAGACATGTAACAGCTGCTCTTTGGGCTCCACACTTCTGAATGACAAGAGAATGAAATAGGGATCCAAGTTATGAGCTCCTCAGAGGCACATAAAATAAAGAGCCTTAAGTACCAGGTTGTCCATTTTATAATTCATTTTCTACTCAGTCAACAATAAAAATATTGCATTGAAAATTATAAAGTTTCTTTCCTTGAAACCACTGCAGCAGGATATTTTTCTGCTACAGAGAAATCTTGCCGAGTTGAAATATCTAGGGACCAAGAGAAATTTCGACTTCAGCTGCTTCTAGCATTATCTGCTTTGCCGCTTAACACAAAATAAATTTGAAAATTTGAATTAACCAGCAATGTCTCTGCTCCTGAATTTCTTGCAGGATTTCCAGTGGAGCTTTGGTACTTATAAAGTTTAAATTTTCTTAGTGAATTTTTAAATATTTAAGTTTTTCTAAACTCACAACTCCCGAGTTATGTCTGCTTGTAGAAAAAAATTATTAATTTTGTCTGCCATTAATAAAATTGCAGAGGAAAATGAAATGGTGAGGAGCACTGTTACACCAAAGTTATCCAACACTATAGTTCTTCTGTTTACTCAACGCAACTCAACAGACCCAATAACCTCCCGAGATCGTTCAACATTTGGTTGAAACATTGGGCATTCATATTAAAACACGCAAGTCATCAGGTGATTCAATAAGTTTAACTACGCTGACTGTTAGGCAGATAATTTCATTTCCAAATTAACGCAAATAGTTTCGTTTAACAAGGGAACAACAGTATTTCGTACCTGCTCTTCTTCTTTTGTTTTCAACTCGACCATGGCAGTATTGCACTCAATTTTGACTGAATGAATTTTAGACGGATCAATTTTGTGACTTTTGAGCGATGCCTTGACTGATTTTTCAGAAACTCTAAAACCAAATAAAAGAGGGGTTTTAGAAACAAAGAGATCTCAAATAAGTAACTATGATATCAAAAGAGGAGATGGGTAGGTTGTATTTATCATCACAATTCTTAGCTCTTTCAGCGTCTCAATTGACCACTTTTCATGTCATCTCCACTCTGGATGAGATGCTTACCAGTGTTCCTGTTCCTGGCTCTGATTTTCCAAGCTGCGTACATTTGAGCAGAGGCCATGGAGTAAATGAAGTTAAATTTTTATAAATAAAGACGTGATTTTAAGAGTGTGATAATGGCACAAAAAAATGCCCTTATTCAAGCGATTTGAGTCATAAACAAAAGGAATCGGATGATTTACAAATTTGGCATAAATGAGAATTTGCCACAGGATAAACCTCTTTAGAGGCTCACTGAATAAAAATCTCTTTCAGTTAGGTGACAGGAACTATTTGCATAAAACTGCTGACAGTGATCATCTTGACATTTGGACGTATTTATGCTAAAAAGAACGATAATGCATGTAAACCCTGTGCACATAATCCATTTTACCATAAATACGTCCATTTGGTCTTCAATTCATGCCAAATTTGAACATTGAATTATCCCAAACCTAGCCTCCATATGACTAGAAAGTATTGTAATTAAAGTATTAAAACATTATCACAAATAAATTTCTTAAAATAAACATTTCTGAGACCTGTGCCCTTCTTCATGATTTAGTTTTTAAGATATTGACTGTGGGAAATGCAGTTTTGAGCTCATTGATTCCATGTTAGGTAGTTTGACACTAACAAAAACAATACTAGTCAGGGACTAGTACTAGGGTGTGTGAACCGAACAGAAGAGGAAAACTGCTGATATTGTAGAGCAGCGCAGCCAAGTTAAGGAGAGACTACTTCATTGATCAGCTACTGACTGGCATTATATTGCAGCTGTTGCACCGACTAGCATGTAGTCATTGGCCTTAAACTGCACTTTTCTTGATCAATATCTTGACAATAGCATCGTCAATAGGGGAAAAGATTGACCATGGATGTCAGAAATTTTTGAATGACAATAATCCAAATTCAAACATTTTAAGAGGGAATTTCCCAATAACTTCCAGAGCAATAGATCTTAGCCAATTCTATCCTTAAGATAAATAGGTTCTTTTTAAAGAGGCCCAGGAATTTAGATAGTTTTGTTTAGCTTAGTGATGTTCAAATGAAAAGTGCAGACAAAACATACTTCTGAGGAAGGCCTAGTAAAACAACTTTAGGGGTGCTCAAGTTCATGAAAACAGGTCCTCGCTCAAACTGCATTTTACCATCCAACGCTAGTAACTTCTGCAAAAAAAAAAATGAAATATTATTACCACTCGGGAAGAACACGTTTAAAATATTTGAGATTTGTCTTGAAGAATAAAAAATTAAACTTCCATTTCTTAGTTTTACCTTAATGTCGGTGTGTTTTTTCTTCTTGGAGTTCGTTTAGAATCTAAAACTTAGAAGAGCCTTTCACTCCAAGATCCTAAGTATTTTCATGATTGCCTAGAGGTTACAACGTCAAATTAATACAGACTTTTAAGGGGCTAAAGGGCTGTCCATGGGAGGGGGGGGGAGGAGTGTCAGCTGGTCCAGCATGACAGGTTAATGACAAATGCTTAACACTGAGGAGGAAGATTTGATGCTGCTTGATGACATGCAGTACAAAACACCAATTACAGAAATTATTTAGTGGTTTTGCTACTAATATTGACCTACAAAGATAATTCCTGACCTTAAAACAGGTGAAGGGGGAAGATTATAGCAAGAAGTGTATTGAATTTTTGCGGAAGTATGGTTCTAAGCAATGAGGAAATGGGTTGATTTAGAATTTAAGCGTGCTGTGCTTGCGAACAACCCATAGGACTGTTCTACATTCATCAGAGAAAAAGACTACATAACCGTTGAGCAGGCGTACTGTCAGGAGGCAGTTCTTGATTCGTATTTGACTTGAAATTAGAGATCATGTCTCAGTTTCAAATGGAGCAAGAGAAAATGTTACTGAGACTTAAGATTAAAACTTAAGGACCCAAAAGTGAGAACACTGTCAGCTGCCAGTGCCTGACTCATCACCAGTGCATTATTCTAATTTTTAATAATTTTAATCTTTTTCCCCCCTTTTTCTTTCTTTCTTTTTCCTTCATACAATTTCTCAGTTGTACCTTGATATTTTTCACACAGCAAGTTAAGAGTGGCAAGATAAGAGATTTACAAGGGATGTGACTTTAAGGGCTTTAGGGTGGTTATGTGACAAAAGGTCTGAGGTACATATAATTCCTGGTGCGGTTGACTATTATTTAAAATTCTTGATTGATCCGACCTTGAATTTAAAGGGTTTCACAACCTGTGCGATAATTGCTAAAAATAGAATACGTACCTGCTCTGTCTCCTCACTTTCAAAAAATACTGAGCAAACCGATCGAGTGAAGAATTTAATTTGATAAATTTCTTTACTTTTAATTCCATACTCCAACAGCTTCCGGAACAAAATTTCAACAGTCGCTCTGAAAACCACAGAAAAAATTAGTTAGATCTTGAGAATTAAAATTCCCAATTCAAACAGCTGAATACGGTATTAATGAAAAATCATGAAAAAAATCAGAGCAAGCTAAAATGAATATGGTTTTGGATAATTTTTAGCGTTCTCACTTACGCATAAAATTTGTTAATTCAGACGCGTTATGAACGCACATTGGGCACACACTTCTAAGCTTGCTGACAGCTGAGGATGGAGCCAAATGTGCTCCGAATTTCCAATGAATGAATTTTCAGAGCAAGTGAGAACACTAAAAACCTTTTATTCAACTAAATGAAGTACTTCAGGCTCCAAATGAGTGTTTTCAAGATTATTTAAGTTCCTTCCTCCAATCTTGGGCATAAAATTAACTGAAAGGAGCTTCTTCAGTGATTAATTTTGCTCAGATATATTGGAGGCTCACCTTTAATGTAACAACTGTGCTATTTTTTACATTGAATGATTAAAAAATATACATTGACTCAGCACTGAACTTAGATTTTTATTCTTTTCCAACGGTAAAATATTGGGAAAAATTTATCTGGGGAAAAAAATTACTATTAATCTTTTTTTATCTTTTTTTTACTTTTAATATTCTTACAGCCTGCAACACAATTAGAAAACAAACCCACTTCCTTGTATGATTACAAATAAGACTTCGGAGACATTCACTGATACGCATACTTAATGGTGAAAGGTTATTTTTGTGTTGTAGGTCATCAAAAAATTATTTTCTTGGTGATGTTGGCTGATAGATCATTTTTTTTTTAGTTGAAAGCTAAGAGCAACAAATACTCAAGAGCGTTTATTTCTTTTAACTCATAAGACTTAAAAAATAGTTTCAATTAATGGTTAAATAGCATACTTAGGTGGCAGGTGAGTCACTTTGATGCAACGAGCAGAATATTCATAGATCAGTTTGTCCAACCAAGAAGTTAACCGCACCATTTTTCCACTAACGTTCAGCTTAGTCACCTTTTTTGTAAACTTTTCAAACGCTTGCTCGGTTGTAAATTCAACAATACACTTGTTTATATGCAGGAAAATAATGTTTTTTATTGTGTTCTGCTCAATACAACTGGCTACAGCTTTTTTCACATCATCAGCTGAAATATAGTTGGGAAGATTCTCTAGAACCACATAGAATGGAAGCCTAGAAACTGTTAATGGCATTTCTTTGATCTGCAGTTTAACCCCGGGGGCCATTAGAGATTTTGCTTGTTCACGTGTTTCACAGCAGACTAAAAATTTATTTGAATACACATTTATGCACCTTGTAATGTTGATACCTTGCTTAGAGATATATTTCTCAAATTTTTTCTTCTTGATATATTCTGAGGATGAAATTAGGAGAGAAGAGAACCCAAAATCTTTCTTTTTAGTATCTGTCTCGGCTTCTTCATCTGAGCTGTCATCAGCTATTAGTTTTTCATCTACTAATTCGTCTGATTCAGAATCTTCGTCAGTTTCACTATTTTCATCATCATCTTCCTCTTCTTCTTCTTCTCCAGCAAGAGAATCATCACTCTTGCCACTTTTTTCTGACTCATCCTCAGAACTTGATTCTAGGAATTCTTCCTCATCGATATTTTCTACAACATCTAAATCTTCAGACATCCCATTGAGAGAGAACAAATCTTTGTCAGATTTTTTTTCAACAATCAAGTGTTTCTTTTTTTGCCCCTTTGGCAGTTCATTTTCTGACTGGGAAAGTTTCACTTTTCCATTGCTCTTTGGAGCTTTCAAGGGAGTTTTTACAAGTTTTGTTGGAGTGGGTTTGGGTGACAGGCCATTCTTCTTTTTTGTTGAAGTTTTAGTTACAGATGCTGCTTTAACAGAATTTTCAGGTGTTGCCACTTCAACTTCAACTTTCACTTTCACTTTTGGTGTTTTAATTTCTTTGTCTTCCTTTTTGACTTTAGAGGGCGTAATAACTGAACCAACAGATTTTCGTTTCATTTTGACAGGGTAAAAATATGGTTTTCACATATATTCTGGAAAAAAAGAAGGGAAAATATGAAATTAGAATTATACAGTTAAGAGATTTTTAATTGCAATGGCAGAAAAATGACAAGATGCTACTGAAATATGGAACTCATCAGCCTTTAAAAAACTTGCTCTTTTTGATTTTTCTTCTCTGTCGGCAGAGTATTCTGCATAAATAGTCCAGGCAAATAAGGAAAAGAGCCTGCAAAAATACCGGGTAGCAATGTTTACATTAATTCCTATGTAATTTTTGATGCTGAATCCGAATTTCAACTTTGCACTAAAAAATTCCGACCGGAAAATTGCCAACTTCAGCAAAAATGGCCTAAAATCAGCCTTTTTCCCGGATTATGGCCTGAAACTTGCCAGAAATTGATCTGACGATAAAATTAGTCATTTTCAGAAATAAACTCGTTAAATTTCCTGAACGTTTTTTTTCTCAAGGCAAAATCAAGCGCGCTGGCGGGCTCCGAACTTTGAAAAATGAGCGAAAATTGTGTTTTTCACGGTTTTTGCCCGATGTCTCCTATGTTAGTCGTCTAATGAGTAATTTCTGGACAAATTAAGTGAAGATGATAAAATTTACACTTAGTGAAATGAATTGATGTAAATAATACGGAACCCAACACATTACAGTATGCGCAATTTTCGCACATTTTACAAAGTTTGGAGCCCGCCAGCGCGCTTGATTTTGCCTTGAGCAAAAAAATGTATAGAAACTTTTTTATAGGAAATTTAACGAGCTTTAAAGAAAGCTTTCTGAAAATAACTAATTTTATTGTCAGATCAATTTTCGGCAAGTTAGTCAGCAATTACATAACTCAGTTTGTGACGTCGCAGACTTCCTATCAAACTTCATTTTTTAAACAGAAAACTACTTAGCGGCAATTCTTTAAAACTGCTGTGATTTTTTTTTTCTGTGCTAAGAAAATTCCGCAAAAACTTCAAGGAATGATGTTAATTTGTTCACCATTTAAAAAATGACAGAGAGGCGGAGATTGACAGACACCGCAAACAAGATATCGACGGTGAAAGTACCAAACCGCGTATCTCGGTTTGCGACGTCGCAGACTTCCTGTCATACTTTATTTTTTAAATGAAAAACTACGTAACGTCCAGTCTTGAAAATTTCCGTGATTTTTCCTCCTCGTGCAGAGAAAATTCTGTGAAAATTTCGAGGAATGATATTGATTTGGTCTACTTCAAAAAAATAAAATGTGAGCGTAGATTTTTAAACACCGCAAACGAGATACGTGGTTTGGTAGTTTCACCGTCGATATGTGATTGTGGACTTACACCGTCAATTTGGATGAACACCCACTCAACTGTCAAAAAATAAAAGGAAGTTTAGGAATTATCAATTAAGATGGCATATTTACGCATTCTGTTCAAGAGAAACAATGCAGGATACTATTCATTACATCATGGAAATAATATCTCAAGTCAATAAAGTTTCTCCTTCCGTTATTCAGCTGCGCAGTGAACGTGTACTATAACGCTTCTATGAACGGAGCTATTAAAACTACGGTCCAATCTTGATCACTGCTGACACGCATTTGTAATACTACGAGAATTCAAAAATTCACTTCTTCCTTTCATTTATCAGTTGAAGGGTACCGATTTGAAGGAAGTCAGAGGTTAGATGCCTCTCAACTAACAATGAGCAAGCTCCGGTGAATGCTGCGGGGAAAAACTCTGAAGGGATAATTGAAGATGGAATAAGAAGAATTAAAAGGCTCTGACATTCAAAACCGTAACCAAACAGCAGAAATGGCTTCTGTTGTTTAAAATTGTATTACACAGTCAAGACAAAAATTATTGTTCAACACTACTTACTTTAAAATGTAGACGATAGAGAAAGAGTTCAAAACACCAGGTTAACTGCTTGTACTTCTGGAGGGATCAGACTAATTTAAAGTCACGACGGTTAGGAAACAGCTAAAAATTCCTAGAAGAATAAAAGCGATCGTTTTCGCCTTCGAAAGACGAAATATTTAATTTAAACTTGATCCAGACAAGCTTAAAATAACATTAAAAACAAATGATACACGTGGGGAAGCGCAAGGCGACCGCCATGATGGAGATCGTTGGTGCACTGTCGTTGGTTCAACGTTGTTTGTATAAACGCGCCAATTTCAATTTGACGCTCTTTTTGCCGCGACGTTTTGAAATGACGGACATTTCGTGAAATATTTCACGAAATTTCATGAGGTCCACGACACACGAGGCTGTGTTCTTGCAAATTATGAACAATTCATTTCAGGAGAGGTCACACAACTCGCATCCTAAAGTACGGAATAATGCAGCATTAATTTTCATTGCCCGCAGTTTTCCCACCGCGAGCGCGGTTTGGTAGATAGCGAATTAAAAGTACGCGATTGGTGGAGCTCTCGTTGACCAAAAGGCGGAAAAAATTGAAATTTTATAAAAAACCAACCCTCCGTGTTATTACAAACCAGAGATTGACGTTGAGAGGAGTTAGCAACGTAATTTTATTGACATGTAGCAAAATTTGATAATTAATTCATTTGCCCTGGGAGTGTCTCAAAATTACTTTTGAAGTTTTGTGTGAATTTTCTTTGCAATTTGATAAAAATTTCCTGAGATTTTCAATGTAAAGCATGCAATCGATGAGGAATATAGAAATAAACTAACAAATGAAACTGTCCAGACAAATTTATTATTCCCTAGACTAAGGAACGTAACTTCATTGCAAGGTTACAAAATTGACCCGAACGATTCAATTTTTTAACAGATATGACTGCAGTTTCAATCCGTAATTTTACTGATTTTTGCGTGCGATCGGAAGAAATTCAATGAAATGTTCAATTTGAAACGCCCAACAGTTCTCTAGTTAAAATGGGATTTGCGAGTTAAAATTTTGTATTATTGAAAAGTAAATAAGAGCCTACGTTTTCTTGTCTGGAAGAGACCAAATTTTGACCCTCCGACTTTTAGCCCTTCATTGCATTATATCCAGGATGAATACGATGAGCTCTTGAGGTTTGTATCCACTACATATTGAAGCGCCACTTAATAGTTCTACTGGTTCTACTTCTAACTTTTAATGTGAGATTTTATTCGCGCTCTGTCTTCATGGGTCAAAAATTCTTCTCTAACATTTTAATGTTGGTCAAATCTGCAGTTGACACCTGAAAGGTCACCTGAAGGAAGAGAAAAATAGTGGGTATGATGATAACAGAACTCAAAGTCTTTAATCAGATAAGATTTTTCTCACGATATAATTACAATAGGAATCATTGTATAACGATAGAATAGCATCATTGGCACATGATACAGCCATGATGAAATATGTAAATATATACAAATTAGGAAAGTACAAATGACTGCATTTCAATTCAACTGTCAGAAATTTATGATTACAACACCGCAAAAGAACAACTTTTGTTGCAGTTTATGGTGAAACTGAGGGACATTAAGTAATTATCTCACTCTGCAACATTGTAAGTTTACTTTTTAGTCATAAAAGTTTTTATTCTCTTTGTAGCATCTTATATTTCTTGACAGGATGAAGCTGTCTGGTCTCAGTTGAAAATCTGACCCTGAAACTGGTTTAGAATGCCTTGGGATTTCAGTTTGTGAAAAGTTTCCGCTTTGAACGAATGTTGTTTTTCTAACTGCTATGTCCTTTTTAAGAACTGCCGCACATGGGAGATACCTACAGTCAGACGTTTTTCTATGAAACGGAACTAAGCAGAACTAAAATCCTCAAAACTAACTCAATTTGGCGCTTAGTTCCGTTTAACAGAAATACGTCCATTTATCACTGACAATAGTCTCAAAACCAGTAAAAACCGTTTTTAAATCTGATAGTACCTAGATGCATTAATTACAGGATACCTAACTCTGCAGATTCAATGTTTAAATGAAAAATCAAAACTCCTTAGCTAACAAAACTAATAAGTAGGTACATTCTTTAAATTGAAAAAAATTGATTATTTTCTGTTACTTCTACCTTCAGATCTATTTTATGTAGAATACCTACTTTCTATAATCAACATTGTAGCTGATAGGTAAATGAGCAGGCAGAAACCAGGGCTACCTCATGGTAAAAGTTAATTGAACATGTTATTGACTGCTTTTAAACAATAAGAATCAGCTGACAGGATGACAGCTCTGATTTTTCATAGGTACTGAAGAGAGGTGTTCCATTTCTGAATGAAGATCAAAATATTGGAAACTTGAGTGCAGATCCATATTCTTCACACGATCATCCTCTTTTCAGCATTTGTATTGAATTCAAGAAAAGTTTACTTCTCACCTCTCAGACTGAAATGAAGTGAAAAATGAGTGAAATACCTTAGTGATTCACATGAAATTATTAACTTTCCACTTAAAGATGCCGGTAAACAGTGGGTAAATTACTGGATGTAATTTAAATACGAGCTTGATTTTCTCCTGTTTTATTTTTTACATACATTTTTCATTGTTGGATCCTTTTTTTGGAAATCCTTTCATGCAGAAAAACTTTTCTTTGAATTTCTTGATTTTTGGTTCAAATGTAAACGAACATATTGAATTCACCTCACTGAAAGACACAAGTATAGGTACGCATTAGTCATGAAAATATACTTGCATCCAAAAAATCATTCATGAGAGTGAATATGCACGATAGCTATGATACTAACCTACTTTCACAACTCTGAACATTGAAGCATAGAATTTTAGAAAAAAATAAAACAATAAATGGTGCACTAATTTTGTAGGTTGCGATCACTGCTTTTGTCCATACTTTGAAAAATACTTGGCGAGGGGAATGAGAGGACCAAAAGTAGGTATACCTGCTGAATAGGTAATTAAAAGGAGTTGAGATAAGCAAATGATGTACAAGAGTACTTGAAGAATCTTCATGATCTTGAATAAAAACTCCAACAGAGAAAAGAACTGAAGAACAAAAGAAAAATTGATTACATTGAGCAAACTTTTACATATTATTTTAAAAGATCATAACCTTTTCATATTGTCAAGGACTAAAGTCAACTGGGCAGGCCTAAGAATATTGCAACAGTGACTAACTTAAAGGGTAAATATTTATGAGCATTTCTCACGACACAAGTTAATAATTCAACACGGAAACTGTGGAGGGACTCTGGGCAGGAAAAAAGAATTTAAATCATCAAAAACAGAGGACAAACACCAATTTCACTACAAAAAGATGCATTGCCAACATGTGAATTTCTAGCTCTATGCTAAGCTGCATGGAACCAATTATACTGCTCCAGAAGCTATCTCTACACTTCCAAGTATGACAACGTTGGTTTTATGGCCAACGCACGATAGAATTCAGTTTAGAACTGAAGTTCTCATTACGGGGGGAAAAACTCATGCAAAAAAGATTCCTCTCATAGCGATACGCTGTTTGTTGCAAAATGATAGTTATGATGATCAATCAGAAAGGCAACTGCAGCACAGTTCCTCACAAATAGCGTACTTCTTCGAAAGAAATTTTGCTCCGTGAGTTTTTCTCTCTGCAATAGGGGAACATGTATGTATGAACTCCATAAGATTAGAGGTTCCACATTGTATACCAGCAAGAAGTCCATCGTCATTATCAATTTTGAGGTGTACTGAGCAATGTTTCAGGAATGATGCTGAAGTGGATGTATAAGCTTAACACAACATCAGATAAAAATTCACAAGGTTTTAATCCTAACAATTAACTTATAAAAAACAGCCATCATTTTTGAAAGAAAACAAGTACCCTAATTAATCAAAGTGAGAAATTAAATCTGAGGATCAAACTTAAGTACAAAGGAGCATTGTGAAGCAAATGGCAAAATGAAGATGGTATTTTATGTACCTACTTAAATGGCTAATTTTTTTCATCAGTATTTACTGAAGGTAACAAATTTAATCATGACTGCATGAGTGCAAGTTAAAAACTCAAATGAAGCATTTATTTTTAAATTTTACATTGTATCGTATCCACCTTTTTGTTGCCTACCTATTGGATTTAAGCATCAGACCTACAGTTTGGAAGAATCAAAATTGCTTAGAAAAGAAGAAAGCTTGGAAAAAAAATTGAAAAGAAAAAAACATTATTTGATTTGTCTCTCACATATTACATCAGAATCACTCTGCATAATAAATTACATTACAGTCTTTTGGGATATAAGATAAAAACTAGATACTAGGAGTAAGTATTTACAAGATGGAGCAATTGAAAAGGTATTAACTGTATTCTGACTAACTTTTACCTCTTTTGTAAGAGAGAGTTACCTTACTATTAAAAACAAGACTATACTAATAATAGTTCATCCTAGTTGGATTTTGTTTCTCAAATATTAGTTTTTCTATGCTTACTCTGGAATTTTTTCCCTCATCAAGTATATTAATTGGCCAGATTTTTAAAAATCTCTTTTCAGATTAAATTTAATCTGTTTCATAAAAATTAAAGCTCCTTATCAAATTATTCTCACAGGAAAAATTGAAGCAACAATAATGAAAATCATGCTGTTACACGATTGGTACTGAGGGTTGCACATCGAGCTGAAAAAAGCTTCAGAATCCAAGAGATAGGGTCGTTTCCAACCAATTTTAGAGATTTCTCCATTGAAGACATCAAAAAAGTGATTGAATTGTACAGCTGATGAAACTGTATAAGTATCTATTCCTTGGGAAGCTGAAAATTAAATCTTCAGATTTTATTTACTTAGTACAATATTATGAAATGTGTAACATGGTAGAACCCTTTTTGACATGGCAAAATAATGTAGGTATGAACTTCTTATTTATAATTTTTTTTTGCTTTGATATTTGAGCATTGACGCTTAATTCCCATGAATTTGATCATGAACTTGATTCACCTCTAGTGATCCCGAGGGACAAAGAAAACTATCATTGCTAGCTCAGAAAGTCATGTGTGACCAAATTAACTAGAATTCATGACCGTTGATCTTCTAGAATAACCACGCCTAGAAACAGTTGAGCCTTGCGCCTCACACTCTTTTCTAACCCTATCAATTATATCAGCAACCAACTGTTCTTCTTTCTGTCTCTGTTTCTCATACTCTTTCTCATACTTAACTTTCTGTTTTTCATAGTCTTCATCAATCACAGATGGATTTACGATATTTTCAAAATTACTTTTAACTCGCTTTAGAGCCTTGGGTGAAAGCTCCATATTATTCACTATCTTGTACTCAGTCAAACCACCCTCTAAATTACAGTCTACTATTTTCAATTTCAATACATCCGACTTTGCTTTGCCATTGTCTTCAGGTTTCCAGTGACGGGTATTCACATGACCCATGTAACCCTTCTTAGATTTAAAGAAAGCATTACATTTGTGACATTTGTACAGGTTGCCAGGACTAGAGACATGAAACTTGTATTTGTGTCTGTACCAGTGTGTTCGTGATGGAAGTACCTCTCCGCACCACTTACAGATCACCGTGTTGTCCTCTTGTATCAAGTACTCTAGTAATTCTCGTTTCTGCTGTTGCAGGTCGGGGACCTCATCCTTAACTTCTCTCTTCAAACTTTCAGATTCATCCGTCAAAAAGTGGACACCTGAAGTGAAGTCGGGATCCATGCCATCACTTCTCGTCTCTGGCTCACTTTTGATACTCGCCACAGACATCTCGATGTCCTCTATTATCAGTGATAAGTCTGGATGTTCATAGGGTGTCAAGGAAGATTCGGTTGATTCAGATGCATTGTCGCACAGAGTGAAGGTCATATCTTCTTTCACTGGCTCTGCAAAAAAAAAAAAAAACGAATAAATTATAATGATTCTTAGTGTTTTTGGAGATGAAGACAAATCGAAAAAAAGAACATTCACCATGCTCAATTAAAAATTTTGACTGAATGGAGGTGTTATCTTTCTCAGGACAAGGATCTTATTAACTTCCGCGTGGAATTTCGTGAGGGACATTTTCCCCAACTTTTATTAAATAAGAAGTGTGCCTGACCTGTGGAGTATGGAGTCAAGCCTCCAGCATACATACATATGAGCCACTTCCATAGCGCTTAAAGGTACTCTGCGAAACCTAACAGTCACAGTATGCTATCCTCCCACAGCCCTTCTGTTCAGCTTACGTAAATTCCTTAAGTTGGACTCAATAAAGCATCAAATCATCGACACAATCAGTACAGGAGATTGAGGACCATCAGTTGAATTATTTACGAGTGAAGTTCGAGAAGAATAGATATTGCTTTCTGAATGGTTTGGTAGCCTACCCCATGAGTTTTTTTATCTACCATTCACAGGTAATACAAATGCAGAGCCACCCCTCGCATAAAAAAAGAAAAAAAATGTATTAAAGAGTGATAATACAAAGATTGACGAGCAAAGTGGTTTCAAGAGCATGGTGAGAGGGTACATGGATCTAAAAGTTAGACCAGAATACAAGTGTAAATCGAACACCAAATAGATGAATTGATTTTAGGGTAGTTATACGGCTTGGAACAGCACCGTTGCTGAGAACCATCAAAATATTGTCTGATCAATCACAACTTCGAAGACAAACATTGCAGGAAAGTAGAACTTCTTTGCATTTAAACGGTACGATTATGGTACTAAAAAAATATTAAGTTCCACAGGAGCACAATTGAATCCTTTATAGCATCAGATAAACCATACCTACAATAAAAAATTAATAGACACTAGTATAAGATGATGCGATCATTGCTGTGAGAGCTTCAGTTACTGGGGTCCGATTTTACGGAAGCGCCCATTTATATTTTGTACCAAAATGCTTTGATTTAGACCTTGTATTATTTTCATGTGTTAATAGACGAAATATAACAATGCTATAGAATGATCTGTAAAAATTGATATAAATATTACAAGGATTAAAATTTAGGAAAAAATACACAATTAGTTGAGTTGAAGGGAATTTCTAAAACGAAGTCAGAGGAGGACTTCTTTCAAATCAGTGGTGTAAAGGAAAAAGAGTATCTTCTGCCCACGATATTAATTTGAATTTACAAGGAATAAAACTAATGATTTCAAGTGAAGGCTCAGTAATTGGTTGTGTTTCTTGACAGATTCAAGTAATAATTTTTAAAACAAAATTTTGTTGGGATATTAATGCTCTTCAGTATGAGTTACAGGAGTACTCTAAATGATGTTTCAGAGAGATTCAAGCATGTATGTTGCGAGGCTGATGTCTAGAAAATGACTAAAGAAATTTTAAAAGTCGAAGAGGGAATTAAGAATTGTGAATGCAATACTGAATTCGATTAAAAAAAGTCTAACATTCAAAAATAAAAAGAATGATTGGACCCTCATGAGAGGTGGATAAGGATGATTAGATGCAAATCTGAAAGTAATTTTGAAACAATTACAACATTAATTTAAATTTTTATGGCCCTTTGAGGATTAATATTGAAACTAAAGTAGAGCTTTAAGAGTTCATCTATAGGCACATGAACAAAATGCAATTCGAAACATACCCGTCTTTCGCTAATAAACATGAACACATAGCAAAATGTTCAATAATTCAATTTTACATAAAATAGGGAGACAGAGAACTGATTCTAAAACAAAGTTTTGTTATTGTCACGTCCTGCCCCTTGCAAGCCGCTGCATCATGTAAGATTTTGATGACAACCGATACGGTTTTCGATAATTGCTTCGCAACATACTTTGATAACTTTGAAAACCCGGAGTATTGCTAGCAGAAAGGAGAAAAAACAAAACAGATAATAATTATAAGTTTAAATATATTATATAAAATATAAATTTCACTTAAATAACATTTATATTTCTGGATTCATTTAAATTTTTATTTAGAAAAAAAAAAAATCATCATTTACAAAACTACTTTCCACAAGTTATTTCTACAAGTTTTCATTAATGAATTTAATTGCGATAAATTATTTAGTGAGATACAAGTGAAAGAAAACAAACAAGAAACATAATTTATACTATAATCATGAATTAGTTCGAGTGATTTTTTAATGATAATATGATACAATCACTTCATCTCCCTTAACCCAATTTTGTTTACTTTTTTCGACTAATTAATTATATAATACTCGCAAATATTTACCTACGAAACAAAATTTACTACCATTTAAAGTTTAATATGAAGTGTGCCTTTGTGTGCAGATGAGTATAGAAATTGACTTCATGGGAGAGTGTACATATCTATTTACAAGTGGCAAAAACTTTGAGATAAAACTGCAGCATTTGCACAAAAGAAGTCCATCTGCAATGGTAACCTTATGTAGATACACTCCTTTTGAACTGCTGTGTTAAATTTACTTGCAGATGCTCTAAAATTGTTACGGAGCAGAAAAGGAAGAAAAAAAAATGTCACTTCAAAATTAACAAAATTCTCATCTTAGGAATGGACTTAAAAAATTTACATGATGTAGAGAAAGTGGTATGAAAAGTTTTGACTACACATCTATTGATCTTTAAAAACACTAATTTACTCAACAAAACTAAATATCTCATGGAGGAAGCCAAAAATGTCAGAATGAAAGATAGCTACAGTTATTGACGAACGTTTGCTAACTCAAATTATTTTTAACGTGAATCATTTGCTCTGATTCATTTTTGGTCATTATCTGTCTAGTAAAAATTAATTGGTCATGTTTCCGGCAGTAATTTCCGGCATCTTCGATTTCCAGCAGAGAAATCTCAAAATCAATACATCAGAGGGAAAAAACTTAATTTCTACAGGTTTTTAACTCTCATGATTGCCTGCTTTTCAATTCCTTGTTTAAACTTACTATTTTGCATAATTGCCTGTTTAAAATAAGTACACATTTTTTTTTAAAAAAAAATAAAAATGAAGTATGTAACAACTTTAATTTACTACCGGAGACTTCGACAAAATAGTAGCTGTGGCTTACTCTCACATTAGACATTTCATTTTTTTTCTTGTCAGATGCTTGTGTGATGGTTTTCTATTTTGAGGAGCAAAAATCGGAACTCTTAAGGAACTTTATCCAATTGATCATGCTAAACTCACATTCTCCTTTAAACAAGGTTGAATTAATGCTGCTCTTTACGCTTCTTTCACTAAGCAGATAAAACAACCGTTTTACTTAGGTTAAAAATATGATACTTTCATAATAAACAAATCGTCACCTTACTATACGTCAAGTTGAGTAAGATTTTAATATGGATAATTATGACAGGATTTTTATTCTTTTTAAATTCAATAGATTCTTAGCGACAGTGAAGTCAGGAGAAATCTAGTAGCTCAGATAGCTTGCCTCAATGATCCTCTTCTACAGAGGAGTAAAGTCCTTCTTTTGCTAATTCTGATATGACAACAGGAATTGAAGAATTAAAAATTGTATTTTAAATTAGAAAAAGAAACAGATGAATGATCAGAACTAAAACTATTAACACTACATTTACACATTTTAAATACAAAATACAAACAACAATGTTTGAATGCTCTGATAGGGAAGGGAAAAATTAAAAACAAAAAAATAAGATTGCACAAACAAACTGAAGATATACAAGAGGGAAAAGAAGCAGAAAACAAAAGATGCAGAAAAACTAACTGAGTACGAGTGAATTATTCATGAAAGGTTTTTGTTCACGAAGAACTTCTCATAAAAAAATAAACTGATACATAACTTTGGTTAACTGTCATCGGAAGAGTGAAAAAATATGAATGAAGCAGAGCCCATTCGACAAAAATATTGAGAAAAAGACAAAAATGCGGTCAGTTTAATTCAACAACTGAGTTAACATAAATGTTATGAACGGAGTAATAAGTAAGGCACTCACTAAGAGGCCTCTTCTTTAATGACCTATTTTCCGATTACTTTCAAATAAAAGTATGAGAGAAAATGGAACATTTTAAAGGCACTTTGAGGAGAGATATTTAGAAATTTGGACACTATAATGCATGGAACAGAATTAGTTACAAATTAAGGTTTCAGAGTAAATGAAGAATGGGGAGATCAATAGTAGAAATACACAATAATGACATTGAAGGCAAAATTGTGTAATTCATTTCATAATTTGAAAATAGAGAGGGAAAATTAGTTAGAACTCTTTTGAACTTGAAAATGATTGTGCATCACAGACCATCAGAGAAATTTCATTGAAGCTCTGTTGAAAAATCTTCCAAACGAATCTATTTAAAGTTACTTGCTGTGTGAAAATTATATTTTACGATTTGCCTCACGGTCAAAAGTAAAGTGGGACTTCATTCGTTGCGAGAATTAAATTTGTGAATTTAGTTTCACAATAAAAAATTTCTGTGAAATTCACTCTATATGAATTCAATTCAATGAAATTCAAAGTGACAGAGAACCTGGCAAAACTGTTGAGAGATAAAATTAGGCAAAGTTGTAAGAGAAAAAGAAAAGAAAATCACAATTCACACTCATACATTACTAACTGACTTGCATCCACACAGCACATTCACACAAATCCATGAACAAATATAGAAGAAAAAATTCAATCTTTGTTAACACAATAACCTAGAAGGGGAAAATGAAAATAAACAGAGATAAAAATTTTCCAAAATAGATTAAACAAAAGAACAGAACTGAACAATTGTACAAGGTAAATAACCAAGAAACCTATTGTTTATTTATTTACAATAATACAGTATTAAGACTCTACTCTAAGCATGAACAGAAACAACCTTTAATTAACCAATATACTTTGAAGGTAGAAAACTAAACAAAGGGCACAAGTGTACACAAATAAGGTGCTTCTAAAGAGAGGTGACCCGTGAAAATACCTCCAGAGTGTTCTTAAAATAAATACATTTTGGTACCCTAAGACCCAATGAGATTAACTCGACGAAATGTATGAATCTTACAAAGTTAACAACCAGCTTTCACCATGGATTAGCTCTCGAGGATAAATATATGGAGGGCTTCTCAACCAATCAAGGCGGATGTACAGAGTCTACGATATTTCAACAATCAGAGGGTGTTTAAGGTAATTAATCCTCCTAGTTATCTAAGGCCCTTTAATTGGGAGACTATTGTGAGGTATTGGCTTTGCACAATGTCTAAGTCTGCGAATGAGTCTTGTTGCACCCAAACACCCCAGAGGCATTTTGAGCCATATCCTTAAAATAAGGTTAATTCAAAGGGTAATAGCCCTCTTTGAACAACACAATAATTATAATAAAATAGCAATACATCCTTTAATATTTGAGCACCATAAAAATTGCAAGAAAAGAAGATTTAACTTTGTCCTTAAAAATGCATATCATGAAATAATGGGATGTTCAAAAAAGTGCCTCAACTAAATGGAGAACAGTAAACTTAAGGACACAACAAGAAGGAAAGAATTATGAGCATTTTATTTGTCCCACTTAGTTTAACTTCTTTTGGGCATAACTTGATCAGTCAGCAAGGTAACAGTCAAAATGCAGATTTGCAACTTTTAGTATACAGAAGGTTTTGTCAATCAGAAAAAAGGGTAAAACAGAAATAAGCTGTGCTTCCTTTGTTTGGAAGATCGAGCAGAACAAGAAAGTGGAAGCGTTTATAAAAATGCCTTTGGTTCTATTATTTTTACTGACACCTTTGTAGTCTTGTAGCAATTATTAAATCGAGAAGTTGAAATTTACTGAGTAAATTCATGGACCAGTGAAAGTAAAATTTCATTGAATTTCATGAAGTAAAATGACCAAAAGATGCAGACGTAATCGTAGAAACAATCGATGAGGGCAAACATTACAAATTAAAGTAATGAACTCCAAGTCTCTAGCTGGATAACTTTGTAATTTCAAATCTATAATTTTCATTGCTCAAAAATATAAAAAAAGGGAAAAAAGGAATGAAAAAAATGAGAGAGAAGAGGAAGAAAGAGAGGGGGGAGAGAAAGAAACAATAGCTATGCTACACTTCAACAAAATTATCAAGCGCATCGTGACTATTATAATACAATAACAAATTGCTTGTAGCTCTTAAAATTATTTTTAGAATTACTGAAACAATCAACAATTTTCTTTGGATTACAGATTTTCTCAAATTGGATTGAACCATACTGATTCAACTACCTTTGCTACTTATTTAAAAATAAAGTTTTGATTTAATATGTAGTCATTAAAGTGCGGAAGAAAAGGACTCAGTCAAAGGTGTGATAGACCTTTCAGTTTAGGAATAAAGAAAGTGAGAACTTTACTTTTTCCCCAATGCTGATTATTTCATTATTTCTACTGCTGGTGGATTACATGGAAGTGAATTCTAAAGAAAATAATTGTAAAATTTAAGAATGAAAGTGAAAAATAATACCAGAACTCAATTACCTTTTTCAAGCAATCTACATTCGTACTGATCAGAATTTTCCACATTCAAAAATTGAAAAGTATGGTTATTGGTCAAATAGGTAAATCAAAATGGTCACTTTAAAAAGACAATATCAAAGTAAGAGCAGATAAATACTTTTTCAACTTTGAATATATACAACATACACTCAATTTTACTTTTTGAATTTTAAGAAAAAAATAATTTTCTTTAACATAAAGATTTGAAAGGACTGTACATAAAATGAATCGAACATACCTTTTCAGAAAAGGATAACTAAGATATAATTTGATAACAGTTACTTACAATGCAACATGGATTTTAAATTTACAAGATGGACCCCACAGTTCTAATTACCCAAAAGTCTGTACAATGGGTACTAAAACTGTGACTTCCCACTCAGTGACTATGCTTGGAAACAAAGAAAGACAAATTTTAGGGATAAACGTGACAGAGATATGAGAACTACAGAAAGGTGACTTTTAGTTGCTGAAATGCAAGAAAACAGCCTGAATTATAGATTAAACTTAGAGTTGAAAAATTACAGGGACAAAACTTAGATGTTCCAGTTTAAACTCATGTTCTCAAATCTTGTAGAGAAATTGTTTCCTGATTAAAATGCCTGAGAGAAGAATAGACGACTCAGCAGCAATTGGTAGGTAGTTCGTAAAAGGATACCGTCCTTATGAATTTTTAGATCAAAGTTTTAGATTTGCGCTAAACTCCAGACTCAAAATGTTAGATTGAAATGCAATTCCTGCACTTTTAGGCACTAGTCATTACTTTTTCTTCACCTATTAATATGCTTCCATTAAAATGTTAATTGATTATTTCCGACTAAGTGAGAGAATTTGAAGAAATACCAAAATGCTAACATCATGGTAAATTCTTAGTTGAACAAAGTCATTAAATCAACTTAAAAAAGGGATCAACAAGCTTTAAGACTGTTTCAATTGATCACTGATAATGTTTCAAAAAGTTTTTTTAGTAAATCTTCAATTAAAGAGCACCAGTGGGACTCAACTAAAAACTGAGGAGCACACATTTATTTCAATCAGGATGTTGTCATTCCAGGACTGAGGACATACTAAAATTCAGGCTATTTAGAGACGCTTTTTGCAAACTACTCAGTAGTGCAATTAGGTTTCTTGCCACGACAAGAGTAGCATGCGATAATGATGAAAAAAGAAAAAAATTGGAAAACTTCATTGGAACTGAAAGAAACGCTAGCTTTTATCACTTAAGCGAATATTAAGGGAAAAATCAAAGACAGGAGGATACTTGTTCCTTATAAACAACTCAACTATACAATTTTGGTTCATATCACCGGAAAAATATTGCTACCCACATCAATTATCTACTTTTAAAAAAGTGCAAACGAAATAAAAAATTTGAGAAACTTGTATCTGTTTGTGTTATTAATCTAATGCGGTATAAAAATCAAGAAGACAAAATTAAAAGACATTCAGTCTATAACGCTAAAATTATTAAACTCTTATCCAGTTAAAAAAGAAAGTAACGTGGAAATGTACAAAGTAACAATTCAATCTCTGGCAAAAGCAAGAAATGAATTAAGGAGGGGGGGAAAGTATATCAAAATAAGAATAGAAACCTTTTGGGCAAGAGGGAAAGATACTTAGCACCAAATTGTCCAGCACGTAAAAATGTTAAAAACTTCTTTTTTACAATATTTCTTGGGATAAAAAAAAATGAAGATAATAATAATAAAAAAAAAAAAATAAAGAAAATAAAAAAGCTTGATTTCTTCGAGTGCAAAGTTTTAGTTATACCGTTACAGATTTCAGACTGCATTATTTCTGTATCTAACAAATGCCTCGTAAGTTTTTGAAAATAAATGGAGCCTCAAAATACAGGATTTTCTTTTTCTAGATAATATCATACACAGGTAGAAAAACTCTGTGCACAGAGGAGCATGAACATCCATCTTGTGACAACACATGACTCGTTGCATTAAGCCAAAGTTATGAGGCTCCAAAACATTGTGCAAGGCAAGAGGGTAAAATCAGATATTCACCATAAAGGCTCCGAACTTTGTTGATAGATCTGTGAAGGAGATTCAAAGTCAAAATTTTGAAACAAAAACAACAAAAAATAAATCTGGTCAAACATGGTGAAATGAAAGAGTAAAGGAGAGAATAGGGATGTGAGATACAAGCAACAACCACATAGTGAAACTAAACTTTAGAGCAAAAAGAGAGGGGGGAAAAAAACCATGCTTCATATAAAATATTAAAAATCAACAAAACGAAATTTCATTCCAAGAAACAGCTCAGAAACTGTAACATAAAAAATTAAGACTTCTCAACTGGAAATAAATTTAAAATTTTGTGCATGAATAATATTTGATGTGCGATGTTTTAAAAAATAATCATCTCTGACAAAAAGACATTTAGTGAATAACGGCTAAAAGTAGGCTTCCTTGATACCCTTCAATACCTTGAATAATTATAAAAAATAAATGTGAGAAACTCATTTAAAACGGAAGACGCTACACGAATAAGGCAGAGAAGGCGTTTAAGGCACTGTACTGAATACAGAGGTAAGTTGAATGTGGTTGGCGGCAGAATGCCTTTGAACTAAGGCTAATAATTGCAGATAAAATTATCAAGTACAAAACATCATTATTTGTAAAAACTTTAACTAAAGACTGACATTCTCAGTATATTTTTGAACACGTGTCACAGTGGAAAAGGTAGACCAGGTTCCAAACAGCTATAGAGATATTTGGGCAGAATTCAAAAAGCACAATGCACTAAGTTTATAACTGATTGTGAGTAACGATTGTTCACTTATTAACGACCAGGAAGTAAATTTTACTAAAAATCAGAAATTTTTTTACCATGCAGGATAAATAAAAAGGAATGATTTGAGGATCCATACTGCAATATTGCAAATTCTGTAAGCCATGTATTCAAGGTGCAGTATTTTTTCGGTATGTTAACTGTATGTCTAGGGCACAAGGTTAATTTTTGGTAAAAAAAAAGTCTCCTGGAACCTTTAAAAGATCCACTTACGTTAGCAGATTTTTTTTCTCTTTCTATTCTTTCTTCTTTGAAAAATGTTTCATTGTTAGAAATGTATCAGTTTATGACACGGTAAATACATGAGCTAGTGCTTGAGATTCTTCCTGGTTTACCATTCAAGTTTCTTCAGTGCTGCGACAGTTGATGACAGACTTTGAGAGGTTAAAATACAGGATTAGATGAGTACAGAATCGATAATTTATGACAAACAGGGCTGGAAAAGGATGAAAAATTAAAATTTAGAGCCACTGAAAATAAATTATGATTCAAAAATAGACTGAGAGTGTAAGTTATTTTGACTATAAGGCGAGAAGCCTATCAACAACGCAACAATTAATGATGCGTTATTATTTCATCTGAAGGAAATTTCATTTCTTGTGTGAACTTAATATCAGACCCTGAGAGTGACGAGGGTGGAGGAGGCATGAAGAATGGTACATTTGGGAATAGGATATCCTTTGGTACATAACATTCATGAACGGTTTTCATGTGGTTCTTCATCTTATCCGGCCTTGAGAATTGCTTGGAACAGACTGGACATGGAAACACTTTCCTATGACACCCTTCATGATAGAGAAACGCATGTCTTTGAAAACTATACTTATTCTTAAATGTTTTGAGGATATCCGACTTTGCACATTCTGTACATTTGTAAACACCATCCGCAACAGAGGCATATCGGAAAAGGTTCAACCCTCGGACGGACATTTCGGTAAGCTGCTCGGCTGGGTCGTTACTGCTGGCCGCCCTTCTTCGCACCCTCCGCCTAATGGGCGGCCGTGGCAGAGGGGGCTCGGAAAAACAATTCCCACTTTCTGATGTCAGTGCAAGAGCTTTTTCAGATGATTCACCACTCATATCGAGGCAGTTACTCGAGTCATTGTTATTATCTTTGTCCAGTTCTCCATCTTCGCTTACATTTCCCATTAAAAAATGATGGTCATTGTGTACCTCGTTGCGTTTGAGAGCCATCAACTCCGATTTTGGAACTAGACGTAATTTTGGTAAATCTGGAAAAAAAAGAAGGAAAAAAATTAGAGTGATGAAAAATAGTACAAGTACTTACACCAAAACAATCATATTACGGAAAAATCATCTTGCCACTAGATCACTGTAGTATACAGTTGAATTTAAATTTATTTGTTTACGATGAATCTTAGCTTTATGTTGAAGGTATCGGCAATGTGAGATTCTATAGGAGAAGCAGGAGGGAAACAAAAAAATAATTTTCTTCGAAATTTTGGAGAAATCATCTCCTCCAACTGCAGATCAAAGTTAAAGCCTTATTTGATAAATCATAAATTAACGACTGTCTGTTTCATCATAGTTTTAATGGCAAAATGATTGAATTAAAGTGAAAAGTCATGTAATAACAGGCAGTACAAATCAATACATAGAAAACATCAGGATAGATACATCTGAAAAGAGAATCATTCAGTGCATGTAAAGAGAATACCTAAATAAGGTGGACCAATAAAAGAAACTGAAAAAAATAATAAATATAAACATGATGACCTACTGTCTACATGCTATATACTCGGAGATGCATCAAAAGTAGATTTGAATTAGACAAATCCTAAAATTACATGAAAGCACAACCTACAATGACATACAAAGAATCAAATGAGCCTACAATGTCGTAGAGACACACGAAAATTATCAACGCATCTAAAGAACGGGTAAATCAGAATCAGAGTGCAAAATATTGAGAGAACATTATAAACGTGAACATAAAACCAGAAGTAACATTGCCATTGCCTAATTCTCTTCTATGTTTTATTCTTTCAAGCAAAAAAAAAAAAAACACCAACATTATAGCTTGAGACTTCATATGAATACCTATCTGAGGATTATTCTACATATACCCATAGAAGTTCAAAGCAAAATGTTGCTAAATTTCTTTGAGAAAAATAAAACAAGGTGGAAAATGAAGCGATGTGTAATACAGTTGAACTGACTTAGGTTAAACCTGTCAAAATGAGGCTGAAAAACCAGTGAAGTTACAGAATATAAAAGTTTTTCAGCAGCAAATAAAATACTGAGATAAATCTCAAGGTACAGTTTGCTGAAGAGAAATATGCCCGATTTCAACCTGAGGCGAAAGAAGCCCGATTTCGATCTGAGGCATTTCTAAACGACAGTGGAGGATGGAAAAGTAGTTCTTCAAAATTAAAGAGTAAACCTAAAGGGGTGGGGGGGGGAGAAGGAAGATAATTAAAAGAGGCCTAGACAGTTGGTACAGGATTTTTTAAAAAACAATAGAGGCTGCGGAGTGCTGTTGTATAGCTACATAGAAGAATGGAGGTGTATCTGTAATGTACCTTCTTCAAGTAGAAAAAGATCAAGATTCTAATTGCACGAGGGAAACTATTTCCCTTCTGATTTGCAGAGATAAAGCATCGGTTTATGGGGCAATAAGCAAAGTGACAGATTATTTGAAGAAATCCATGCCCTTCACTGTTAGGTACCGCGAATATTTTTAAACAAAAAAGTACAGTGATTTCTTATCAAATGATCAACTAGTCAATGTCAAGAAATTATTAAGGCGCAAAACGTGTCATATTCCATTCCATTTTCCTTGTATATGAGTAAAAGTACTCAAGAGTAATCCTTTCTTATTATAATTCTTTATGGAGAGAGAGAGAGAGACCCCCCCCCCCCCCCAAAAAAAAAAAACCCCATGATAACCTTTCAGTAAGCCCAAGGAAAAAATGCTGACCTAAAGAAAAGATAGAAGAGATGTAAACTTACAATTTCATACCGAAAGTGAACCAATATGAACACGTACTTCGATTGGGGTGTTTTAAAGTCTATGTTTCTACTTAATTTGATTAGGGGCAGATTGCTGTACCTTTTTGTACAGAAATTTTTGAGAATGTGCCAGAGAGGGTACAGAGAAGTTAAAAAAAAATATTAAGCAATGATGATGAAAAGACACCCTCCATTTGAAGAAAAAAAATTAGACAAGAAATCTGTGACATCCCAAATCGAGATACCTGATTTTGTGGTTTCACCATCAATAAAGTAATTCGGAAATGAATCATAGTTTTCCTTGCTTAACATTTTGAAAATGTTCATTTGAGAATAATGTGGGCTCTAGAAATTGTTTGACTTGAAAAAGAATAATCTTTTACCCGTGTTTTCCTGGGTGTAAATAAATTTTGATAGTTTTTAACTTGAGGATGAGCTACTAGCAATGGATTGGAGAAAGATCCTCAAAGAAAAAAGAGTTCTAAGCAACAGAACTATATCAATACACTAAAACTTTTACCTCCATACACAGGCAAAATTACTCAAAATTCTCAAAGAGTTGTAAAAGATAATTTAAATTTTGTGAGGACGGGTCTTCGGAGAAAACTATCTGAACATAAAATAAGCAAAATTAATCCTAGCTTCGTATTATAAATGTAGCATTCCAACTACATAGACCATCAACTATACACCGATGAAAAAATTATTGAAAAAAATGGTGATGATTGGTGCTTCAACAAAATTAAAAGAAAAAAAAGAAAAGACATCAAAGTGGCTACCTGTGGAACAGGCAAATTTTGAGAGAACTTTACTTTATGAAATCTATAAAGCTTGCCAAATATAAACTTCTAACTTTACATTATTTTGATACTTCAATATTTCTCCTTTCTTAGGAGAACTACGAGCTACCACTGAGACTGCTAGTTCCTACCTCATGACAGTGCAAGGAAATAAGAATTCTTACTTGAGATACCAAAAATTATCAACATTTTCATGATCTTGAAACATAAAATGCATAAGTCACTTCAAAGGGGTTTCAATAAAAAAATTTAGGGCAAGAGCTCTATTGAAGCCAAAAAATTCATGGTGTTTTACTCATTGTTAAAATTACTGTAAAATAACTGAATCGATAAAGGGAGAAAAAGTGCCAAGATAGTAAAAAAAAAAAAAAAAAAAAAAAAAAAAAAAACTAGGCGCAAGCACGAACAAAGGGCAGAAACCACAGTAAATCATACTATTCAATTGACAAAGAGAATGAAGATAAAAAAAAACGAGAAAAACTACAGAAGCAAGACAAGTACGACCAATAGATGGAACAAATTAATAGTTAGTAGAAAGTTACCTTGAGTTGTCTGCACAGAGGGGCAAAAAGCTGAAGAATCGACAGTTCTCATGGAGCAATAAAAAATGAAAGAAACAGCAGCGAAAAAAATCCCTGGGATTTTCTCACAAAAAACACAAAAAGAGGAGCCAACCATACAGAAAGCGCAGTCCCTAAAAAGTTAGTCTTGTAAGTGTTACCGAATTTAAAAATACGTGGGAATTCAGTACTACTTTTACCGTTTGATTTGAACTCTTCATGCGATAGGTGTCCATGAAACTACATAATACCCGACACATATTGATAAATTTGAGGATTTCTATGAATTCAAAATTTTTACAACAGGGGATAACAGGAATGTTAAATTTTGCAAATAAAATAAAACATTTAGAGAAGTTAAATTTTAAGTATTGAGTGCCAAAACTAAAACTTATGCGCTTCTAAATCTTGATTACTTTTGAAAGAGTTTGGGGATGTTAGAATGAGGCGCAATTTGAACAACTTGACCCACAAATAGTAAAAAGTAGGGTAGAATCAAAGTAATTCCATATTTAGTTGTTGAAAAAGAGTGTACTAATTGTCATTGATACACAGAAAATACTATTAAGCTTTCTTCATTTAACCAAATTTTAGGGGAAAACCCATGTATTACCACAGCCTCAACAGATTCCATTTACTAACCATAATTCCCAAAAAACTATAACCCTTACAAAATTTTCGTCGCTAAAAAGAGGATGAGGAAGAAGGGGAAGAAGAGAGAGAATAAAAAAGAGCAAAAAAAATTTGATTACGTGGAAAAGACCCCCGGATTTTTAGTCAGATTTTCAGTGAGCAAGTCTACTTTGTGAGAGGAGAGGTTTGTGTCTTGACAGAAAAGAATCGATAACTTTAAAAAATGGTACCTCTTAAGAAAGCTTTCTTGTTTGGAGTCCAGAATGAAATTTAAGCAAAGTATGATGTCACTGTAATAACAGAGAGGACAGAAAGGTGCTTGAAGAGGGACAGTTCAGACTTAAAAAACCCTGGACCCCCTCTCATGGCGAAATGATACGGCTTCAGTGCCTATCTTAAGAGTTGGTAAATATAGGTGAGATATTGCTAAAAAAAATGTACTTTGATGAGTGTAAGGCCCCCGTAAAATTTTAAGAAGAACACACTCTCTGTTAAGCTGACAGTACACAATTCAAAGACTCATTTTCTGTAAGAAAAACAGACATGCATAAGTAGTTTGACAATTACTGCGAAAAAAAATTGGCGCTGAAGTAATGGCAAACGCAGCGATGTTAGGTACGGACAACTGAGCAGGAAACGAGGCCCTCACCAACCGAAACCAAAAAAATTGCTGGACAGATTGCGAAAGCTGGCAGTTTGTGACAGGAAGCACCGTTGGAGTTCGAGAGAAACAGCAAAATACCGATTTCCCTTACACGTGAATTTTGATGGGTAGTTTCTCAGTACATGAAACACCTTTTACCACAGAATTTCTTTTTAACAAAATAAAGTTTTTTACAGTATCGTCAAGTCAAAAACTTCAAAATTAAGACAGAGGTGACAGAAACTGGCCTTGGGGTAATCAAGGAAATAGAATTGTTCAAGACTGATTGTGGTGGGTACAAAAAGCACAATAATAAAATTGAACCTTGATAATTTAAAAAATTACTACAACTGGATGCCGATATTGCTCGAAAAATCTGTGGAGGTTGTATTGCTACGTTTCACCATAGTTGAAACATTATAAATACTTAATAAATGAGTATTTAACCGTGTAGAAATAATTAAGGATTTTTTTTTAATGCCAGGCTTTGAAGTTACCAAGTTTGACAATTGATGGGAGAATATACTTAACTATTCGAAGATCCTTTAAGCTACAGAAATGGACAATTCAGAATAGAGTCTCTTTTAAAGGACGGAGGAGTTGGGAAAAAGTGTATTTGTCTT